TACTTTGATATAAATAAAATTATTTTATTTAAGAATATAAATTTTCATTATTTCTAATTATAAAATAAATATAACATTTGAAAAAATCTATTAATATAAATAAATTTCATAGAAAAATAATAATCATTTAAAATAAATGTAATAAAATATGGAAAATATATTATAAGTTAAAAATTGATTTAAAGAAAATATAATAAAAAAAAAATTAAATTGAAGATTATGATTTTTATAAAAAATTTGTGTAAAAAAAAATTAATCTTAAAAACATTTAAAAATATATAAACGAATATTATTTAAGAAAGAATACATAATATTTATTTTAACATACTTTTATATAAAAAAAAATTAAATATTTTTTATTAATTATATAATATAAAAAATAAAAAAAATGTAAAATAAAAAAAAATATTTAATAATTAAATATAAATAAAATAAAAAATTATATGTATTAATAATATAAATAATAGATAATTATATAAAATAAAATTTTTAAAAAATAAATATAAATATTTATATAATTAATTATTATATAATTATTAGAAAAATATGTATTTATAAATATAATATATATATATTTAAATTTTTATATTTATTTTTATTTTTTTGTATAATATTTATATTTTTTTTTTTTTTTTTTTAAACAAAAAACTTAGTTATTATTATATCAATTTATATTTATTTTATTTAAAATTTTTACTTATATTTTTTTTTATATAGATATAAAAGTATTTTTATCTACATATCCTTTTTTTTTATCATATAATAAATATTTTAAAATTATAAAATTATTTTATATCTATTTTTATTAACATTTTATATATTATTAATTATTTATTTTTATATTTAATTATTTTTAAAATAATTTTAATAAAATAAATTTAGCATTTAACATTTTTTTATTTTAAGCTTTTTTTATTTAATTTATTTTTCATATTATTTTTATTTTTATATTTTTGCTATTATATAATAATATTAATTTATAATTAATTATTTTTGTTTTTTTTTTATATTATATATATTTTCTTTAATGAAGATTCAATTTAAATTTTTATTTCAAATATATTCTTTCTTTTTTTATTTATTATTAATATTTATATATATTTAATATTTTTTTTTACTATAATATACTTTATTTCGTTTTTTTTTCTTTAAATATTTTTTTTTTTTTATACTTCTATTTTTTTATATTTTCTTATTTTATTAATTATTTTTATTCAATTTGTTTTCTTTAATTAATACATATGTTTTTTTATTTTGATTTTTTGGAATGAAGTTTATATATTATTTAAAAGATTTTAATAATTAATTAAAGAATATAGCTTATTAATATTTATACTTTTTGTATTTTGCATTTTTTTTTATTTTAACTTTTTTTTTTTTATTTATTTGGTTTTGGTGGGAATTATTAGATATATATAAAGATCTTTTTTTTATTTTTTTTAAATATATTTTAATATATAAAAATTAAATTTTTATATTATTTTTTTTTTATAATATTATAATAATATTTTTTTTTTATTTAATTATTTCATATTTATTTTTTTAATTCTATTTTCATAATAGGCATTTGTTTTTCTTGGTCTTCTTAAGAGTAAAAAATTGAATTTTTTTAGATAATATTAACTTTTTCTATTTATAATTATTGTTTTATAATTTCTATTATTGTTACAAGTTTACTTATTTATTAATCTTATGCAAAAACAATCAATATATTTTAATTTTTTAATTATTCAATTCCTTTATTTACCATTTTTTTAATTGTACATTTGCCATTATTTGTTATTTTTATTTAATTTTAATCTTAAATTTATTCTTTTTATATTTAATCTTAATTATTTAATTATTATTATTCGTTATTTAATTTAATTTTTTTTATAATATAATCTTTTATTTTATTATTATTATCGTTTATTTAATTATTTTTATTTGTGAATTTTTCATATTTCTTTTTATTTTTTTATTACTATTATTAAGGTTTTTATTATTAAGGATTTTATTACTAAGATATTAATTCTTATGAATTATTCATTTTTTTAAATATTTTTTATATTAATAAAATATCTATCTATATATTTATATATATTTTTTTTTACAATTTTATTTACTTTAATAAAATTTATATATACTATTTCTATATAATTCAAATGTATTAGTTTTTTAATAATAATAAAATAAATAAAATTTAAAATGTAATTAAAATAATATAATATAAATCCACAAAGTATATATAACCAGAAAGGAAAACAAATATAAATAATGAAAAAATAATTAAATTTAAACAAAAATAATACACTTAAAAATTAATAAAACTATATATAAAAATATTCCAGAAACGCTACTAGTAATAATAGCTTTTAAGAATAAGAAAAGAAAGGATAACCTTTATCGCAATTAATTTTTAGTAAAAAGAAATAAGAAGAAAATATATAAAATAAAAGTACATAAGAAAGTAGTATAAATTATGATTAATATAATATTAAGAATATAAAAGTGTAAAAAATATATATTTTTGAATAAAAAATAAACGAAAAATAAATTCAATATGAAAAACTTTTATATAGATTAAATGAAAAAAACTAAAAAAATATTTCTTTATTTTAAAATAATATTAAGCTTTTAGAAAATATAAAAGATACAATATATTTAGAAATTGATTAAATAAAAAATCAATTAATATAAGAATTTAATATATAAAGTAATACTATTAAAATTAATTAAAGCTAATTAAACTAAGTATTAAACTATTTACATATTACTTAAATTGATGTTTTGAATAATAAATTTAGAATCATAAATTAAATGGACTTTAATAGTTTTAAATTTATTTTAAATTAATATGATAAAATTATTGATTAGTTTGATAAAAAAAAATACATGAACAAATTAATTAATTATTATTGGAAAGTTTAAAATTTAATTAAGAAAATTTTTTTGTTTAAGAAATTAATAAAATTTGGAAGTTAATAAATGAACTTATAAAAGAAAAAAAAATGCTATTTTTTCAAAAAAATAAAGCTTTTAGGAAAATAATTAAAGCTTTTAGTAAAAAAAATAAAGTTTTAAGGATAAAAATGAAAGCTTTTAGGAAAAAAATGAAGGCTTTTTATAAAAAAATAAAGACTTTTTGTAAAAAAGTGAAGGCTTTTTAGAAAAAAATGAAGTCTTTTTACAAAAAAGTGATTATTTAATTGAAGAGGATGAAAAAATCGATAAAAAATAAATAAATTCATATAATTTTAATAAATTAATATAACAAGGAAGAAATAAATAAAATAATAAAACAAATAAATATAATGAACTTATTAATAAAATTAAAATTAATTAAAAATAAACATAACATTTTTGTAATAATTTTATATAATAGACTTTATTTTGAATTATATATAATTATATAATACCTTTAATTTTTTATTATTTATTTTGATTTAAATAATAACAAATTTTTATAATTAAAATTTTATATTTTTTTATTTTTTTCTAATGTCAATATAATATTGCGAAAAGCATAAAAAAGAAATTAATTTTATTTGTATAGATTTATTATGCGAATATAAAGAATAATAAAGACTTTTATGCTAAAAATGTCTAAATAATTTCAGTTTTCATAAAAGACATCATTTAGTTTCGATAGAAAATTTCGAAAATCAAATAAAAGAAAATTATAATTTTTAAATGGAGTAAATAAAATAAGAAAAGGAAATCTAATATTAATAATTAAATCATATATAGTAAGAATTAAATAAAGAATTTTAAAGATTTAAAAGAATTATCTCTTTTAAAGAAATAGATAATAATCAAAATTAATAATAATATTAAAATGCAGATATAGAAGAAAAATTATGTATATATCATAATGAATATATAAATGAAAAAAAAGAAAATTTAAGTGAAAAAGATTAAAAAATATAAAAAATAATGTAGTTTTCAAAAGAACTATTATTAAATTTTAAACAAAATCATTTTGATATAAAAAAACTGGTTGGATTTAATTTGAAAACAAATAAAATTTATCTAAATGATGTTTTTTTATTTCCTTTTATAATTAAAAATCTCATAAAATTAAGTCAAAACTTAATATGTTTTATTTGTGAAGAATAAACAGGAATTTTTTGTTATGATTTAATTGAAAATGAACTAAAATATTATGTAAAAGTAGACATAAAATTTGATAAAATAATAAAATTTTAAAGTTTGAGAAAAATAGGAGCTATTTTTAATGGAAATATATATATTATAGACATAATTAATGGGGAAAAGGGAAAAATTTTTCAAACTAAAAAATAAATAATAGATGTATAGTATTTAATAAAAAGTAATTTGATAAATATAATAGTTGATTTTAAAAAAATCTTTATTTTAAACATTTAAAATAATAAAACTACAAAAATTATAAATTTCGAAAACACACCAATCTTTTCTTGTACTTTGAGTATATTTATTCCAAATTTACTTTTTTTGAATTTTATTAATGGAAAATTTTCCATATTTGATATCCTTTAGAATAAAAATATTTTTGAATCTGATGTTAATTAGAAAAAATTGTTAGGATGTTTATAAGGTTATTATTATTCCAAATATATTAATGATAATTGTATTGTCTTATTTTCATAAAATAGCCTGAATGTGTTTTTTTAAAATACTAACGATGGATGTATTTATAAAGTTATTAAAGGAAAATAAGTTTTTCATTTTTTTGATGTTTTTAGAGAATATTGGGTTCCTTTATATTTAAATAATAGTGTTTTTTTAGAATGCTTTAAAGAACAAAATTCTTTTAAGTAAATTAATTTATTGTGTAAATATTAAAATTAATTTAGCTTTTTAAGTGGTAATTGTCCAATTTGTATTTTGGACCTTTATTAATTTATTGTCGTTATTTTCAAATGTGGGAATATATTTTATATTAAATGATGTTTGTGGTTTATATAAATAAAAATATATATATGCAATTTTATAAATAAATAAATAATTTTTTTTCTATGTTTAAAAATAATTATAATATTTTTAAACCAATCAAAAAATAAATAAAAAAATATTAATTTCATTTCATCATTTAATCATCTTAATAAGAGAATTCTAATAAAAATAATATATTTAATTTAAAAATATTTATTAATATATTATTATATAATTATATATATATATATATATATATATATATATATATATATATATATATATATATAATATAATATGTATATAATTTACCTTCATATTTAGCATTAGTTGGTTCTAAAGAGTTCAAATCTTAATTAAGAGACTAAGTATCAAGTTATGTGAATTCTTGATCAAAATTAGATATATCAAGTTCATGTTTAATTTTAGGTACAAAAGGCGCTTTAATTTTTTTGTTAATTAGATTTTCCCAAATGACTTTTTAGAAAAAGGATGATTTTTGATTTATTAAGCTCCTTTAGAACCTAATCTATTTTCAGGTTCTTTTTATAAAAGTTAAAATATTAAGTCTTTTAATTCAAGACTTATTTTAATATCAGGTTTAGGTTCAGGATAACTTTAATTTTAATTTAATCAAAAAGTTATCTTCTATCTTCTTTATAGAAAGGGGGTAAACCTGTAATTAATTCATAAACCAAACAACCTAAAGTCCACCAATCAACAGGTTTTCCATGTCCTTTTTTTAATAATACTTCTGGGGCCAAATATTCTGGAGTTCCACAAACAGATGTTGCATTTTGTTCTGTTACATTTCTTTTAGAAAGTCCAAAATCAGCTACTTTTAAATACCCATCTTTATCTATTAGTACATTTTCAGGTTTTAAACTATAATATATATAAATGTATAAAAATAAAAGTATAAAAATATATATATATATATATGTATAAATATATATATTTATTTATATATTATATTTTTAAATAAAATTACTCTCTGTATATAATATTTTTAGTATGTAAATATTCTAGTGCTAATACAATTTAAGCAGAATAAAATTTTACGGAATATTCATCTAAACGTCTGTTTTTGCATAATAAATTAAATAATTCGCCTCCTGGACAATAATCTAAAACAAAAAATAATTTTCTTTCATTTTAAAATGAATAATATAGTTTAATTATAAAAGGGTGATCTGCAGATACTAGTATATTTCGTTCAGTTTTTATATGATCAACTTACTTTTTTAATTCAATGTATGATTTCTTAAGCATTTTTATAGCAAATATTTTCCCATCATCCTTCTTTTTTACAAGAACTACTTTTGCGTAAGATCCTTTACCTAAAACTTTTATTAAGTTAAATTAGTCAATAGACATTCGATTGTTTTATTTTGGAGGATTTTTAAACAAATTTACTTAGTCTTCATATGAGACGTCGTTATAATATTCTTTTCTATTTAGTCGTATTGTTGAAGATCCATTTATTTTATTATATTTTTAATTTTATTTTAGTTTTTATTTTAATTAAATAAATTAAAAACCAAAAAATTATTTTTTATTTTTTACTAAATAATTTCTTATATATTTTATATTTTTTTTATTATTTTTTGTTTGAAATATAATATATATTTATTAATTTTAATTCTATTTTTAACAAAAATTAAAGATATATGTTTTATTTTTATAAATATTGATATATATAGATTTAAATATATTATAATTCTTTTATAATTAATTAAAAATGTTTTAGTTTTATAAAAAATATGTAAAAATTTATTGAAATTCTATTTAACAATACATTGATTTTAAGCTTTTATAAATAGTTTAAATTTATTATTTTAATGTTAGTTTTTTATAATAGTAATAAATAAATCCCTCTATATTTTAATTATATAATTAAAAAATAATACAATACATCCATATATTATTTTTTAAAAAAGAAATTTTTTGTAATAGATAATTTTAATTATATATTTATTTATTAATAATATAAAAATAATTATTTTTTAATTAAAAAAAAAAAAAAAAAATTTTTTCAAATATTATAAAATTATAAAGGAAGATTTAGAAATTCAAATAAAACTTCCTATATTATTTCATTTCTAAATATTATCAATTTCCATTTTAATATTTATAATATTTTAATATATTTTAATTTAGCTTGAGTATATTTAAAGAAAATATTTTAATATGAACCAAGATTTCTGATAAAAAAAGTGTTTTATAAATTTCATATTATAAATTAAATAATAAATTAACCTTAGTTTATTTTTGTTTGACATTAATAATAAACTTTAACTTTCAAAATCAATAAATAATTCAGTTAAATTAATAAAAATTTAATTGTTAAAAATTTATTATTAAAAATTAACAATATCAATATCATATTTATCAATTTCAAAATCGAATTTTTTCAAAATATTTTTATTTTTACAGATTATATTTTATAAACATTAAAAAAATTATTGACTTTATTCTTAATTTAGTTTAATTTTATTATTTTTTTAATCAATATCTTTACATTATATTTTTATTTTTATTATATTTAATTATTTATTAATATTTTATCCAAAAAACTATAAAAAATTCACAATATCGAATTCGTTATAATAATAAACAGAAATTATCAAACTTTCCAAAGTTTAATTTTATTAAATAAATTTTCCTAAAATTTCTTAATTAGATTATTAAATAAAAAATATATTATCTATTTCCAAATACTATATTTATGTTTAATTCAAGTTCTTTAATAATTCGAATAAATTGTTTTCATTATTTTATTTATTTTCTTCTTTAATTTATCTTGTTATATTTTATTTATTGATTTGAATTTAAAAATATTTCATGTTTAATATATTATTTAAGTTATTATATAATTTTTAACTAACTAGTTATTATAAAGATTCTTAGTCAATAAAAATAGTTAACCTTTAAATATTTTAATAATTATAGTCAATGTATTTCATATAATTGCTTATTTCTTAAGATGTTTAAACTAAATATAAGTTTAGATGTAAATTTTAATTTTATTCATTTAAAATTGCATTTTGAAAATTATTTTTATTTAAGTTAATTACTTTTATTTTTTATTTTTAAATTACTAATTCATGTATTTCATTTGATAAATCTCTAACTTATTGCTATAATTCTTCGAAATTGTCATTTTAAATTTACATGTTAAAATTATTATTTGAAATTTACTTTAAAAATTATTATCCATTCTAAAAATATTATTCATATTTAAAAATATTATCATCTAATTAATTATAAAGATCACTTTAAGATTTCAAACTTTTTTGAATATAAATAATTTGATAAAAATTAACATATTCAATTTAATAGCTTTCTTAATTTATTAACTTTTTATATTCACATTTTTCAATTATATTTGCTGTATTTAATAAATCTTGATTTAAAAATTCATTAATTTATTTTTTTAAATCATATATTTACTAAGAAAATTTATTATTTAATTATTATAAATTTTTTATTTTAATATTTATTTATTCTATTAAATTATTATATTAGCTTTCTTACTTAAATAAAGCTTTTATTATTTTTTTTCTTATTTTTTCTGTTTTTTATTAATATTCATTGTTTTGATCATCTATTAAATATATAACATGTGATTCATGTTAGAGCTTAATACATTATTTACATAAAGGTATTTATTTTTATCTACATAATTAGCTTAAGCATATATATTCTGCTCTAACTAATTTATGGTTATAGCAATTCATTTATAAATAAATTTTATAATTTGTAAAGTATTTATTTATTACAAAAAAATTAAAAATAAATTGTAATAAATTTAGTCATATTTTACACTATTAAAATATTATATTTTATAATATAAATATAATTTATATATAATTAAAAAATCTAATATTACAATAGTCATATATATTAATAATATTTAATAATACATAATTTATCATATAATATTAAAATATTTAATTCAAATAAAAAATACATAGTTTTATCTTAAAAAAATATAGACATATATTTTTTAAAAAGAATAAAAAAAATATACATTTTAAATATATTAAATTATTTTATAATTCTGAAAATATTCATTATCTAAATTCTTTTTTAATATCTGTTTTGCAAACTGGACAGAGTGAACTTTTTACTAACCAAGCATCAATACAATCTGCATGGAAAGAATGTGCACAATTGAGCATTTTTAATTTTTCCCCTTCTTCATAATCAGAGAAACATATAACGCATTTTTTTTAATCATCTGATAAGTTCGGATTATTTTTAAATTAATATACAGGCATCTCTTTTAATTAATCTTTTTTCAAACCACTTGGTCTATTAGGGGCTCCTCCATTATAATTAATTAACTACATCATCATTAAATCTAAATCATTTATAAAAACAGGCTATCTTCCTTAATTTCCATTTTAAAAAATTACAACCCTTCTTTATCTTTACCTTGGCAAATTAAACAAAGGCAAAAATAAATCAGGTATTTGGAAATCAGAAATTTCATCATTTTAAATATTTGAATTACTTTATTATTAATTATTTTAATTAAATTAGTTTTATTGTCTTCTTTATTATTAGTTGTTTAAATTTACATTATGTTCTATGTAATTATTAGGATCTATAAAATCAATTTAACCTTATTAATTATCGAAAATATTGAAATCAGTTTATTATTATTAATTTAATTATTGTTATTATTAATTCCATTGTTATTATTATTAATTCCATTATTATTATTGTATGTTCCATTATTATTACTGTTAATTACATTACTATTATTATTAATTGTTTTGTTTTTATTTTGGTTTTTGTAGATTTTAATCTCTATTATTTTTAATATTCCTTGTTTAAACTTAATCTTCTTTACATTCTAAATGATGGTATTACATTACACTCATGGGAAATATTTAATTGCATTTGTAACATGATTAAAGCCTATTTTCACAATTAATTTCATGATCTTCTAATTAGTTTAATTATAATTCTAATTAGCAATTAGGGCAATGTATTTATTCTATTTCTTGAAATTATTGTTAAATTATATCTGCTTATGGATCTTATTTTTTTTTTTCTAATTATGGTTACTATTATTATTGAATATGTTGTTATTGTTGTTAATTACATTTTAAATCATGTAATATGAAATTATTTGTTAAAATATTTTTTTAACATTTACTACAGAAGGTATAATTTTATAAATGAAAATCCATATTTTTATTTAATATTTATTTTTATTTTATAAATTATGATTTTTGCTTTTTTAAATTATTATAAAAAATATATAAATTATTTTTATTATCATTACTATTATTACTATTATTAATATTATTACTATTATTATTATTATTAATATTATTATTATTTTTAATATAATTATTATTATTTATTTTTATATTTTAACATTATTATTTACCTAAATATTTATTTTTATTTATATTATATTCTAATATTCTTTTGTTCAAATAGAATGTTATTAAGGTAATAAAAATATATTTAAAATATTTATAATAATTTTATTATTTTTATTTAAAAAAATGTAATAATTAATAATATAAAAAATATTACCAATAATATTTTAAATTAATTTGAATAATTAATAGAATTTTTATAAAAAATCTTATAAATAATTTAAATAATACATGGATTTATATTAATATAATTTATTTAAATATAAATATTTAAAAAATATAAAAAATAATTTTGTTATTTGAAAATTATATTATATAATTTATGATTATTTATTATATTATATTTATATAATGAAAATAAGTTTTTTAATATCTTTTATTTAATATATTTTTTTTTATAATTAAATAAATTGTTTTTATTATTACATGAAAATTTATTTTTATTATAATTAAAATTTATATTTATATTACATTAAAAAAATTATATTATTATTATTATTATTATTATTATTATTATTATTATTATTATTATTATTTTTATAATTATTATTATTATTATTATTATTTTTATTTAATTTTTAATAAATTTTATTATAAAGCTTTCATTAAAATCTTTTTTTATTTATTAATTATATTTGTTTACATTTTTTTTTCTTTAATGAATATTTATTTAATTTTTTTAATTTTTTTTAATATCTTTTATATTTATTTATATTATTTTTATTTTTATTTATTAATTATATTTTATTTATATTCTTTTTTTTATTTATTTTTATTTGCTCTCATATTTTTATATTTTTTTTTTATAATTAATTTTTTTTTATGCCTATAATTATTCTTTTTCAATTCAGTCCTATTTTAAAATTTTTATAATTAACTTATTATATTAATTATAATTTCTATACTTTTCTATTTTTCTAATATTTTTATTAATCTATAACATTATAATTTTGTATTAATATATTTTAATATTTTTTTTATTTTTACAAATTATTCTATTTTTATTTCTTTTTAGCTTCGTAATCATTATTTCTTAATTTAACTTCAATTTAGACGTTATCATTTTTTGTTTTAATTTTGCACTTTGTAAAGTATTTATTTTACTTGTCATTAAGTTTCGAATAGAATTTCAGAAATAGTTTAACTTATATAATTTTTTTTATAAATTTCTTCAGTTTTTAATATAGAAATATTAGTTAGTTTTATATTATATAGATTCGCTAGATTAAGACTTATATTTAGGAATCAATAAACTATTATTTTATTACTTTTCATAATTTTATTTATCGAAACTTTTTAATATTATTTCAATAATAATTATTATTATTTTATTTATTATTTTTATTTTATTTTTAAAAATAATTTTTTATTATATTTTATATTTTTGATAAGATAACCTATTATATCCGAAATATATATTTATTAAAAATATAATCTAGTATTTAATTGTTTTCTTAATATAAATTATTTATACATTTTGAATTTATCTGCATTTTTTTTGTTATTTTTTTTTTATCACATATTGAGTAAAGGTGAGAAAGAGTAATTTATATTATATTATATTTATTTATTCTTAAATAAATTAAATTCAGAAATTTTATTTAATAAAAGATTATATTTCATAAAATTCTTTTAATAATAAATCTATAAAATTTTATATTTTTATCAATTTTATTAAATGTTTTTTTAAAAATAATAATAATGACCTTTTTATCATTTACATAGTATAAAAATCAATAGTTTTAATTGAAAGATTTCTTAATCCCATAGAAATAAATTTATAATAAATTATATGTAAATTTACTGATCTTGTATCTCTTTAAGCAACTTTAATCACAGTTATATTATCAAAACAATAAGATTTAACATTTTTAATAAGCCATATAAAATCATAAATTTCATATTTAGAAAGCCAAGAAGGAATTTATAAAATTTATTCTTCAATTATCCTACTAAAACACAATATTTTATTCTATGTTTATTAAAATATATTATTATTTGTAAATTAGTTCTTTCGTTAATTGAATCAAATTATCATTTCATTAATAATTTTATCTTCTTGAAAATATAGATTTAACTAAAATACTGGCTATTTATTTTAATTTTATAATTTTTATCCACTTATTCATTACTATTTTTGTATATTTTAATATATTTTATCTCATATATAGCCTTTTTTTACTGTTTATTTTTATTTCGGTTTTTTTTTTTACACTTGGCATAATTTATTAATCTGTATTAATGCGAATTTATTCAAAATCTTTTAAAAATAGAGTTTTTCGTTATTTTTATATTATTAGTATTTTTTTGATTTTCTGGATGATTTTATATTTAATCGTAACTAATGTCTTTTGAGTTTTTATTTTATAAATTAAATAAATTTCACCTGAGTATTATTAATATAGACTATAAATATTTTTTGTATATTTTAATTATAAAAATAATTAAATATAAAAAAAAAGGATAATTAAAATTTTATTAATTTGTTTTTTTTGCTGTTAAGAAAAAAAAAAAAAAAATTCTTTATTTTATAAACAAATATATTTAATTATATAATTATAATTTATCTATTTAAAATAATATTTTATTATTTTATTTAAATTATTCAAATATATTTCATAATTAATTATTTGAAATTTAATCTATATTTTTAAATTAACTTTGATAAAGCTAATCATGATTTTATATACAAGTTTTATCATTCTAATTAATATTTTAAACTGCATCAGAGCAACACTCATAATTTTGCTATTAACTTTTATATAAAAGGTGAAAAAATCCACTCATAAATACTACACTTAAAGGTTAAACATATCTGTAAGCATTAATAGTAATATAAAAAGGGATGCATTATTTTTATATTTCTATATTTAAAGTCGAAATACTTATTTAAATGAAAAAATAGGATAAAATCTAAATAACAATAACAGTATAAGAAATAAATTTAATAGAATTAACAGATTATTATTTATTTTTTGAAAAAAAAGTACTCCAAACGTTAATTAAAGTAAAAAAAATAATACTCAATGCATTAACAAACCCTAAAATATTAATTGCTAAATCACCATTTTCAACACAATTAATTTATTTATTCGAGTTACTTAAAAATATTATTAAAAAAACAGTATTAATACATATATTAGGCTAAAAGTAAAAAAATTAGTTTTCCTTTAAAATTAAACATAAGATTTCTATTTCTTTTTTTATACTTAGTATTATTAATACCTTCCATAACATACATGAGGATTAACATTATTTATTTGAGTTTAAACTGTAAAATATTACTATTAACGACCATATTATATTTAAAGTATACATTATAAAAAATTCTATACGAGCAAATTCTTTTTAGTAGAAAATGTATAGAAGTGATATTATGTTAAATAATAAAAAACATGAAAATCCATTGCTTATTACAATTAAGAAATAACGAGAATTTTTATCACAGTCTTTTTCTTCGATTTATATGTATGTTTCAGCAAAATAGCTGAATATTATTAAGTATATGGAATATTTTAATTATTGTAAAAATATGTTTATTAATTGTATTTTAAACATTCTTAATTTATTTTTATGATTGTTAAATTATTTTAATTATAATTTTTTTTGTTAAATATAAAAAAAATTATATAAAAAAGAAATATTAATTTTTCCAAATTTTAAAATTATAAAATAAAAAAAAAAAAAATATAATAAGTATATAAAAATAATAAAATTCACTCACAAGCAATTTTATAATCAAACGAAGATAAACAAATCCCAAAAGCCTATAAAATAGAAAAAGGATATTAAACATCCAAATTAAATGCATCTTCTCCTATTCTTCCAAATTATAAAAATATATTTTCATCATTATTTTCATCGATTAACTAGAAATTTTTTACACTAGGCTTATCTACTCTTCCATTAAAATTAAGTACAAAAGCCTATACTGAATCATTCCATTTAGGTGGTTTATTAAAATAATGCAATTATTATTCTTTTCTTCCAGATTTGTACATTGCTAATAAACCTTCTTTATTACTCATAGGCTTAATTACTATTTATTATCCATTTTCCATAACTTCTGGTATAATAATTTTCATTTTCCTTGGTCCCCGAGACCCTAAAAGGTTTGAATCATAAATTATTAACCCCAATTCTTTCCTGATTTTATCCGGAAACTTACATTTTTTAGGATTTTCACCTATATCAAATAAATGAAACTCTGTTCCAAGGAAATTAGAGCGTACTTTTCCTAAAAAATCAGGAGATTTTTTCGATAAATTATCTTTGCTCATTGAAATCAAATAGTTTGATGTTTTATTCGAAGATCTTTTTTTACCAGTCATTAAATAGCGGTTATCTCCAGAAAGACAAAGGTGATATTTTGGATAAAAACGGGCAAAACCGGTTTTATCTCGTTTTATTGTCATTTATAAAATAACTCCTTTTTTAATTGGATTAGTTAGAAAATTCTACATTTCGCTACTTGTGATATTTTCTGGTAATGTTTTTTGGATTATTTCTTGTGGTTATTATTATTAATTTGATTAAGATTAATTAGCAACATCAGCCTGTTAGTCTTCTTCTTCATCAGATTCTAATTTCAATGTTTTGTTTTCTTCCTTCTTTTATAACATTTCGTTGTGTGCTTTTGCAGAATCCTCTGATTCATCACTAGAATCGCCATAAAGTTCCTTCATGACATTATTTGTGGCCTTTTTTTATAACTATTATTAGGTTTCTTCATTTACTTCTATTTTTTATTCATCTTTTTTTTATACATCTTTTTTTTATACATCTTTTTTTTATTCATCGTCTTTTAATACTATATCTTCGACTTCATCTTCATCTTCAAAATCATCTATATTCACTAAATTTTAATTGTTTTAGAATTACGCTTCTGTTAGCTTTACTTTTTGGTCTACACATTTTAATGGGTTCAATCCGCTTGGTTTTTAAGATAATTTTTGCATTCCTGGTTCATATATCATTTCGGATTTTTAGTCAGATTTTAATATAGTAGCTAATTTGTCGAAGTTTATGTCTGTTCCTTAACCGTATTTATAGTTTTGGCCAGGCTTTTAATTAGTCATTATTAAATGATTGTCATTAGAGTCTGCTTTTTTATTTTTGTAATTTTAAGTTTGTTAAGACTTTTAGTCATGCATTTGGTATTATTAATTTCTGCCAAATGCCTGTTTTTGTGTGTTTTTCTAGTTTTTACCGAAATCATCTTCGTCATCAGAGTTTAAAAACATTTTTTATTTTTTTGCTTGCTTTTATTAATTTTTTTTCTTTTCTTTTTTTATTTTGTTAATTTATTTAGTTCTTTTATTTGGTTTATTTTTTAATATTTTTTTTTTATTATTTTCTAAAAGAATAATTATTTATTTTATTGTGTGAAATCTATAATAAATAATATTTTTAATATGATGTTTCTATTATTTAAATAATTTTAATTTAATTTAAATATTGGTTTAATAATTTATGTTTCTTATCTTTAATTAAATAATACTATAAGAGATTAAAAATTAAAATAATATTTATTGATGTTATTAATATAATTTTATATAAAAATTACGTTTATGATTTTTGAATAAATAAATATAAATAGAATAGAAAAGTCATTAGATTAGATAAATAAAAATAAATGAAAATAAAACTTGAAAAAAAATTAGGATTAAAATATATATAATTCGAAATATACAATAAAAAAAAGTAATATATAAAAGCTATAAATTAAATATATAATATATTTATAATAAAAATAAAAATATATAAATATACATATAATATGTATATATATATATAATATATATATTTAAGGATAAATTTAATATAAAAAAAAAAAATTAGATTTATAAATAATTCAATAATTTATTTACAATAATATTATTATAATTTTTATATAATTAATTTTTTTTATATTTAAATAATATTTTAATTTATATTCAAATTTTTAATATTAATTATAAAATTGATTTAGAATTATTTTAATTTTTATAAATAAATTTAATATTTAATAATTTTCAAATTTTAACTAATATAAATAATAAATTCATAATAATATATATATATAAAACTATTTTAAAAATTAAATATTTTTATGAAAAAATTATTTATATTAAAAAAAATTATTTTTGAATTAATCATTTTTAAATATAATTTTATAGTATTATAATTAAAATTAATTATCATGCCATACTAAATGGTATCTTTAAAGAAACATAACAATCAATTACGTAAGGATATTTTAAAATTTTGTTCAAATTTTAAAAAATAAAAATATAAAAATATAAAAATATTTTCAATGAATTGTATAAAAAAATAAAAATAAAACAAAGAATTAAAAAATATTTATTTATAATTTAAAAAATAATCTAAATATAATATTTTATTATTATTATTATTATTATTATTATTATTATTATTATTATTATTATTATTTTTATTATTATTTTTTATAATTATTTATATTATAATTTTAAATATAAATAAATGTTTTTATATATATATATATATATATGTATTTTAAATATATATTTTTTTTATATATCTTTATTAATTTATATCATAAATAAATAATAATACAAAATATTTAAATTTCAATCTAAAACTTCAAGCTAATCTAATGGCCAATCTTCATATGATTTATTAGGAAGATATCTTCTTATAATAAAAGGTATTTTTTTTTAAACAAATTCTTTTTCAGCAATTGCAATAGGATCATAATCCTCTATTTAGTTTTTTTTTATCAAAAAATAAATAATAAATTAAAAATTAAAGTTTCAAATATAAATATATAATTTTTAAAAATTATTTTTGTTTTTTATTACTTTCATCTGTATCAACATAAATTGGTGAATTTTATGCAATTTATAATGCTCTTGTACCAATAATTCTTGCTTTTTCGTATTTTGTTAAAAATGGTGGAGTTACCCTTTATTTGCTATCTTAAGTTTTTTGATGATCTTATTAAACAATTAATAAATTATCTTCATATTCATCATCTTCTTCTTCTTTATCTTCGTCTTCATCTGATTCGTCACTTGATGATTTTTCAGATTCTGATTATTCTGGTGATTCGTCTATTTCTTGTGAATCTTCATCTAATGATTATGCTTCATCATCTATAATTTCATCATCTTTATTATCATCATCATAATAATCGCCGTAATCTGACATTTTTTTATAAATAATATATTATATTTATTTTGTTTTAATTAGCAAAGAAATAATAAATAGATATTAAATTAAATAAATATAAAGAAAAATATTATTAATAAATATAAATATATATATTTATTTATTCTAATAAATAAATATATTAAAGCTAAAATATTGTTATTTTATATATAATAATAATTATATTGTAAAATTTAGTTTAATTACAAGTTAAAATACAAAAATATAAAAGATCAAATTAATTAATTAATTATTAAACAAATTCTATTAATTAAATGTATATTATTCTATTTAATTATATCATTTTAATAAAATATCGTAATTAGAAACAATTAATTTAATTAAATATTAGCATTCAATAAATTATATATGAGCTGTCCTCCCAATAATAGTATCAAAATTTCTTATTTATTAACAAAAAAATAAAATAAAAATAAATAAAAATAATTACCTTTCTTAAATATCAAAATGTACATCTAATCTATTAAAGAAATCTGCATTAATTTAATCTAGAATATTTTTAGTCATTTCTGTGTATCTTTTTCCTTTTTCAGAATTTAATCCTTCTTTAGTTAATTAAATTCTAGCTGAATCAAATGGTGCATACCTATCTTAGAAGCTAGAAGCCAAACAAATATTTTTAAACCATCCAATACCCTTATATTAAGATAATTTATATAAAAAACACTCTTCTATTTCATTATGATCAGTAAGTGAAAGTTATTATAAACATTCACTTTTTTTCCATCTTTTTAAAAACCATAGTCCTGCTTCTATAATAATATTTGAATTATACATAAATCCTAAATGAGGAGATGAGAGAGTAATAAAAGAATACATTTTTTAACTATAATCTTCCAAATAAGGTAAAGCAGCTCTTATAATAATACCACCTAAACTAAATCCAATAAATGAAATTCTTAAAAGATAATAAAATGTATATATATATATATATATATATATATATATATATATATATATATATATATATATATATATATATATATCTAAACCTGCTTAAAATATCAACTTAACATGTTTCTTATATAAAATTAATAATCTCATTAGCAAGATTTTTTCCCATTTCTTAAATATCTCCAACTGTACTATCTTCATTACAATTAGAAGATAAAAAGAGCGATTCTGGATATAAATAGGTAAGATAATTTCTAAAAACTTTCATATCAAATGAATTTCCTTGAAATCCATGTACGAGAATAAATAAATGAATTTATTCTTTTATGTTTTTTTTGTTTATTTTATCTTCCTTTTTTATAATTGTTTCTTCGAAAATTAATGGGTGATTTTCAGGTTTTATTGATGGTTAGATTTATTCGATTTTTCTGATTCCTTTAAATTAATAGTTTTGTATTTTCTGTCGTGTTTTTTAAGCTGTTTTCTCGTTTTGCTCAGATACTTGGTTAGTGCTTGGATTTTACTTTATTATGTATATTTAATTTCGTTCTTTTTCTTCTTTTTAGTATTCTAAATTGAAGAAATATAAACAATATTAGGGCGATATTTTAAACAAATCTAAACATTTGTACCATATTTAAAGTATTTATATCCCTATTAAATTTGATTCATTCAAAATTGCGTGTGTAATGTTTTCGGGGTCTGTAGTTTTGTATCTGTTTTGAAGTATATAGTTTAAATCGTTTTGTTTATCAATGTTTTAGTTATTTGTTGTAGTTTCATTTATTATATATTCAGCATTTATTAAATTTTAAGGAGGTTACTTTTTATTTTATATTAATTTAGAATATTTTAATTTTTTATAATAAATAATACTAAAAATTTTTTAAATGTTTATTTTTGTTTTTCTGTTATGCATTTTTTCTTAACATATTCATAATATTTAAGTAAATTTTCATGCACTTATTGTTGTTTTTTAACAAATAAAAAATACATATCATCACAATTAATTTCTATATAATTTTTTTGCTTTTTAGATAAATATTATATTATATTATATTTGTATACTCCCATATTATTATTATAAAGTTTAAAAAACAGAAATTTTATTTTAATTTTTGCTTTCAAGTATTAATCGTTTTTATTCAGGAGTTAATTTTGCAAAATGACTTAATTATATAGGTTATGTTCTAAATCTAAAATCTAATAAATTAGCAAAAAAAAATTATATAAATATATATAAATATATATATATATATATATATATGTATATATATTTTTATAATTAAAAAAAAAAATTAAAAACTAAAAAAATACCTAAAGGAATTGCATGTATAAATATGTTTGCTAAACAAAAATTTTATTCTTCAAAAAATGCTGGAAAAAATTAATGAATTTAATCAAAAACATTACCTACCTTAAACTTTAATGTTTATAAACTCTTACTTTAGCAAATTATATTATTTTATTCATTTTTTTTTTCATTATCATTGTTTATACTCATAAAATCATAAAACATTAAATCTACTTCTAAAAAAAATTAGGATTTTTCCATATCTTTACTTGCGTCTATTTCTATTGTGAAATGGCAAAAATCATTCAATTCTACTTCTTCTTCGGAATATTTAATAAAGAATTTTTTGCTATAAAAAGCGCTTTCTTCCTCTATTATTTCGGCTTATTTATATAATTATATATCGCCTAATTTGATTAATCTTTTTTCTTCACTTTGATTGTGTGGGTTATAATTTTCTGATAAGTTATATGGATGGGCGTATATTTTCTTTTTTTTTTTATTTTAAATTAATTTTGGTTTTTTTTTTTTAAAAAAAACTTAATCTTTTCCATCTAGTTGATATAAAGTAAATTTTAAAAAATATAGACCTTAATAAAAAAGGTCTATATTTCTGAAATTTTAAACATGAATAACAATTTCAACAACAGATTTTACAGACATTTTATTTAATATTTTTTTGTTTTATAATATATTATTATATATTAACAAAATAAAAATAATATAAAATATTTAACTATATTTTTAAATATAAAAAATTTGATTAATTTTTTTTAAAAAAAAAATAAATAAAAAAATTAACTAATATTTTAAAAAACTAAATAATATACATTTAAATAAATAATAAACAACAAAAAATAAAAATTCATAAATATAAAAAAAGGGCAATCATGAGTAAAATAATAGATAATTACATCCTAAAAGAAATAGCGGGAAGCGGTCAATACGGTAAAGTATATAAATCCACCCATTTAAAGACCGAATAAGTATATGCTATAAAAGTAATAAAATTAGAAAAATTTAAAAGTGTTCCCTAACTTCACCAATTTACATTAAACGAGATCTAAACTCTTACAAAAATAAACAATCCAAATGTCATAACATTTATAGAAATGCTCCGTTCTTAAAATAATGTTTATTTAGTTTACGAGTTTTGCGATGGAGGTACTCTTGAAGATATAATAAAATAAAAAAAAATAATTTGTGAAAAAGAAGCGATACATATTTTTTAATAAATAATAAATGCTTTCAAGTGTATGTTTAGGGAAAATATACTACACAGAGATTTAAAGCCTTCCAATATATTATTACATAATGGAGTTATTAAAGTTGCAGATTTTGGATTTTGTAAAACCTTACTTTCTGCTTCTGATTTAACATAAACTATGGTCGGATCACCTATTTATATGGCCCCGGAAATTCTAAAAGGTTGCAATTATAATATAAAGGCAGATATATGGTCTATGGGGGTGGTTTTATTTGAAATGTTGTTCGGTTATTGTCCTTATGAAGATAAAACTATTGCCTAGTTAATTAATTAGATTGATAATAAATAACTGGTTATTCCAAAACATATTAATAATATTTCAGTTTAATTAGAAGAGTTGTTAATGAGAATGCTTACTATTGATCCTGATAGAAGAATCGAATGGAATACTTTACTTAATCACCCTCTTTTTGAGAAAAAAAATGAATAGTAGTAAAAATAATTGCAGTAATAAAAAGTTGATGAAAACAATACTAATTTATATATTAAATTCCTTATTTTTATTAGAAATAAAATCCTTTTCTAAATAAAAGTACTTAATGATATTTTGGAGTAAAATGATTAAGAAAATGCACCTGTAATTAGTTTTTTAATAATGAAAAATATTTCTAATTAAACCTAGTATTTAAAATAGACTCTTAATATGTATATTAAATAAGAATAAGATAATGGTTAGTTATTATAATTTGCTTAATTAATAAGTAAAGAAATAGATTTTGTAGTGGTTTGCTTGGATTGTTTTTAGTAAGAAATTAAAAAATTGGTTTAATTTAATAATTATTTTTAGAATAATATTTCACTTAAAAATGAATAAAATAATAATTTGGTAGATTTTGAATTCTGGAAATAAACCTTTATTAAATATATTAATAATAAAGGGGGATAAGAAAAATTAGATTAAAATTTTTAACATTTAAATGATATCTGTAATTGTTTTTTAGTTGATGAGTTTTTCGATGGTATGTATGAATAAAAATTTAATGAAAATGAAATTTAAAATAAAAAATTGGATAATATATTTTTGTAATAAACATTTAATTATAAAATTGAATTAATTAAAAATAAAAAAAAACCTTATGATAAAATGCATTTGTTTAATTGAAAATAAAATAATACTATATTCATTTATATTAAGGTTTATGTACTTTTATTTTTAATATTAAAATTTAATAATTAATCAATTTAATATACAATATAAATATTTATATGTAAATACAAACTCTAGTATATATAAAGAAAAATATTATGCTCTTTTATTTTTAGGTTTCAATTTAATATGCTTATAAAATTAAATATTTTAGGAATATCGATCGAACATATAATTTAAAATTATTTTATTTATTTATTTTTAAGAAAAAATAAAAACAAAAAAATTATATAAAAGAAAAAATAAATAAAAGTGTATTATTACTATTCAAATAAACGATATAAAAAAAATTAATTTATTATATTTTTATTTATTTATAATATTTATTATCTCATAAAAAATTTCTTATTTTACTATAATTACTTTATTTTTAGTTATAATAGTGTTATTTGCAATTAATTTTTAGGTGTATAAATTAAAACTTATATATTATTTATTTTTATTTTATTTTATTTCATAAACAAAAGAAATTTTTTATTTGTTTATAATTTTAATAAAATATGAAAAAAAAAAAAATTAAAGTTAATATATAAATTATAGGATAAAAAAATAATTCATATTTAAATTTTTAAAATTACAATTTTTAATTTATTATAGATTAATTTCTATTTTATATTTTTTTTAGAAAAAAAATATATAAATTATAAATTTATTTACTAAAGAATCTTAATTAAACTATTAAAAAACAAAATAAAAACAAAACAAATATGCAACCAAAAGCCTATTTACATTTTTCTTAAATTTAATAAACGTAAGAAAGTAAAAAAAAATATTCAATTATATATTACAATTTATAAAAAAAATATAAAAAAAAGGCCAAAGACAAAAGATATGTAAAATTATTTTCCAAATAATCTGATAAATTAATTCAAAAATAATATTAAACATTAATTATAAACTAATTAAAAATAAATACTTTCTTAAACAATTTTCAACAATTAAACACACAAAAAGTAAAACATAATATTTTTAATTTAATAATATAAATAAAATATATTTTTTATTTCAAGATAATTAGAATCTATTTTTATGAATTAAAAGGGAAATAACTTATATTCAAATAGAGCTTCAAGTTTATATTTAAACAAGGAAAAATTAATAAATATTCCTATAAAAAATAATTTGATTAATAATACTAAAAAAATATTAGTCTTGGATTTAGATGAAACATTAATTCATAGCAATAATAAAATTTTAGATTAATATGATTTTTGTATAAGTGTAAATTAATATAAATATTAAATAATATACTTAAATACATTTTTTTAAATATTTAAAAGTTACCTAAAGTAAGTAGAAATCCTTTCTACATAAATATAAGGCCTTAGGCTAAATAATTCCTAAAATAAATGGCTAATTATTATGATATAATTATATGGACTGCTAGTGTTAAAGATGTAATTAAAAAATATTTTAAAAAAATAAAATTTAATAATAATAAAAATAGTATGCTGATCCTATTATAAATTAATTAGATCCAGAAAAAAAATATATTACTTAAAAATTTTATAGACAACATTGTAAAGTAAATGAAAAAGGATATGTAAAAGATTTAAGACTTTTATGTAAAAATCTTAAGGATGTTATAATAATTGATGTAAATAAATATAAAAATGTTTATATATATTTTTTTTTAAATTTTTTTTTGTTTTTTAGAATTTATAAAATTCTTTTTCACTTAATTATTAAAATGGTATTTAAATAAAAGACTTTATTAACTCTAAAAAAGATTAAGAATTATAAAATTTATAACCTTTTCTAATTTATATGAGTTAATAAAATGATGTTAGAGATATAAGATAATGGAAATAAAAATATGATTAGTAATAAAATTCGATTATATAATAATTTTAAAATAAAAATTATTAAACGCCTTCGGTTTTAGTTTAGCTTCATGCAAAAACTCCTTTAAATTATAAAAAAATATTCATATTGCAGATCTATCAACTTAATAAAGTTTGATTACATATTAAAATATAGAAAGTACCTAAAAAAAAACAAGATAAAAAGTTTTCGATATACCTTGTTTCTCTTAATATTTATGATACATTAAAAATAATTAAAATTTAATAAAGAAATTTTAAAAATATATTATTATTATTTTTTTTAAAATAAAATCTTTTTGCTTTAATTTATTTATTATTTAAAAATTAAAAATACAAAAAAATTATATATATGAAAAAAATATAATATGTTTATTATAATTTTAAAAATATTCATAATTTTAAAAATATATGTATAAAATTACCATTTGAGTCCAAATTATAAAATTCCATCATATCAAGGAAGCCGAGATTAAGATTTTCTCCAAAAAGACATTATAATAAATTCAAATTTAAGTTCAATATACTGGAAACACTCAATTGATTATAACCAAATTGATAAAACATATTACATAATAGATTCTTAAAACAATATAATCAAAAGTATAAATAAAAAAGGAGAATTTCAGCATATTGCAGGTATTCCATATACATAAGATAGTTAAAAAACTGAACGGTATAGAGATGGTGATGTAAATAATTCTATATTTAACTAACCTTAGTCTTTAGCATATTTTATGAAAAGCAAATATTAAAGCTTGTTAGAAAAAAATAAGAAAATCGTTATAAAAAAAGATAATTGTAATTGCAATAATTTAACATTTGATTGTATTGATAATGATTATATTAAAAATAAGAATATTACATAAGAAAATTACGAAAAAAACTATGCTAAAATGGAGAATATATGTGAAGATTATACTCCTATAGATTTAAAAAAAGATGAATTTGATGAACCTGTGCTTTTTGTAGCTGATACTTATAATAATTGTATAAGGAAAATATATTTATAATAAAAAAATACGGTTACTGTAGCTGGTAAATGCGGTGAATAAGGATTTAAAGATGGACCTTTTGGAATTAATTTAATTTCATTACCAATTTCTTTAGCTGTAGATTAATAAGGTATTTATTTTATAATATATATATATATATAATAAATATAAATATAATATATAAATTTAATTTTTATATTTTATAATAAATATTCTTATATATATTTATTTGTGTATTCAAATAAATAAATATATATTTAATTTTTGTATTAGGTATACTTTTTTTTTATGATAGTGGAAATTAATATATTAGAATGTTGGATCCAGTTACAGGATTTTTAAGCACTTTAGTTAAGGGGGCTTGTAGATTAGATATTAGATCCGAACCTTTAATTTACAAATAAAAATTCGAGTCTAAAAAAGTAATGTGTTATAAAAATTGGATTAAAGTTGAAGGAATACCGAAAGAACATATTTATTATAATAAAATTTCTTCTATTTGTAAAGACCATGAAAGTATCTGTTTGGAATAGAAAAAATTATAATATAGTTAGATTAATAAATGATATTTATTATTATATTATTTTTTTAAATTTATAGATTAATAAAATATTTTAATTTTTAAAATAATTTTTTTAATATATAATAATATAATATATTATTTATAAAAATTTTTCATTTATTTTATATTTTTAAATTATAAATTTTATATTATATATTTAATATAAACTAATAAACAATTATATTAAAAATATATAAAATAAAAAATATAGAAATATTTTTATATAAGTTAAAATATTTATAATATTTATAATTATATATATAGAAATATTTTTTCATAATTTTTTTTTATTATAAAATATTTAATTAATTTATTTCTTTTAATTTTGGTTCTAATCTAATATAAATATTACTTAGTTAATCATTTTTACTTATATTTAATTCAAATATATATTTAAACATTTTTAATAATTATTATATATCATTTTAACTATATTTTTAGATTTATTTACTTTTTATAATAATAGTTGAATAATTTTCATTTAAAAAAAAAATAATATATATATATATTTATATTTATATTATATTATATATATTATATATATATATCTTTTTTTTTAATTATTTTTTAAATATTGATTTTATTTAAAATAAATATATTTTATATTTTTATATATTAATTAGAAAATTTTTATGAATTTTAAAAAAAAAAATCTTAAAATTTTTATAAAAAATAATATCTATATAATATTATTTTTTAAAAAAAATTAAAATAATATATATATTAATTAAATTAACCAAATATTATTCATAAATATATATATATATATATATTTTTAATGAGTTTTCATAATTTAAATAATACACAATTAAATGATTCATCTTCTACTAGTAATGAAGATAAAGTTTAATCTGTAAAAAAGTTGATATAATAATTAAAATCTAAAATACAAGAAGTAAAAATTAAATAATTAAATAGAAATATATATATAATAATGTTATATAATAAGGAAGAAAATAAAAGAAAAGAATATTAGAATTAATTAGAAGAAGAAAAAGAGAAAAATCAAGAATATGAAAACCGTTTAAAAAAATATTAAGAAAAATATAGACAATGACTTCAGAAATCGAGAATTTAGAATTTAATAATGATATTTTATAAAAAAATTGAAATTTAAGAAACATTATAAAAAGAAAAAGTAAATAATAAAAAATAAAAATATTTTAAAAAATAAAAAAATAAATAAGTAAAATAAAAACATCACATCGTTTAATATTTTCGAGAACATTTTTTCAAATAAATAAAAATAAATGTTATAAAAGCTACAAAATCAATTAAAAAGCACAGAAGATGAATTAGAAATAAAAACTAAAGAAACAGAATAAATACACGAGAATTTATATGAAACAAAACGCGATTTTAATAAATAAATATTTTAATTATAATAAGCTGTTTTATAATTTACAGGCACTAATTAAAATTTGAATATTTAAATTGAAGATTTGGAGAAAATCTAATCAGATTTATAAAAATAAATCGAAAATTTAAAAAATTAGAAAAAAAATGTCGAAAAAGATCTTGAAAATTTAAAAAAAGAAATTTCTTACTTATAAATAAAAAGCGAAAAAGAAAAAAATTCGCTTATAAAAGTAAATGAAATATAAAAAGAACTTTTAGAAATTTAATTTATACCTTTTAGAGAATATAATGGAATGTAAATATATGATTAAATAATAGAAAACATTAGTACAAAAGATAAATAATAAAAGGAGTTTTTGAAGCATTTCTTAACTTAATGGGATATTATTTATAAATAAATATAAAATTTAATTGATTGCTTAGTTTAAAAAATGTATATTTTCGAAACTAATTTATTATTAGAAAAAAAGAGAATGAATAAATAGTTAAAAAAAGTGATTAATTTACATTAAAAATGAACTTTTTTAAAGAAGAGATTTTAAAAGGTTTTTTTTGGGATTTTAAGACATTTTTTTTTCAGAGTTTTAAATGAGAATTTCTAAAATTTAAAAAAATGCTTTAGTAGAATTGGAATGGGAAGAAAAATGTGAAAACTTTAAATTGCTTATGCTTACTTTTATATAAAAAAATAAAAACCAAGTTTCTTTAATTTTCTAAGAATACTCTGAGTATTTAGAATATGAGAATATTTATGTTTTTTTGGAAAATAAATAATCCTTTGGAGATATAATAAGCCTAATTGGGGATATAAAAATACTTTTAGACACCTTTTTAGGTGTTTTGGATTCATTTTTTGAATGTTTAGAAGGTTTAATAGCCTTTAGTTGCAAAAGTAATTAAGATAATTAATATTTAGAAGTTATCAAAGATATATTTGCAAATAATAAAGAGAATTGTGTCGATAAATATAAAGAGGTTTTCGAAAAAATGAAAGGGTTGGTATTTTAATTATTTGAGAAAATTAAAAGGAAATCTAATTTGGAAAATTAAGCTTGTAAAAATAATGAATAAGTATAACTTTTAAAAAATGAATTTGTAAGTCCTTAAGGTTTTATGAATTAAAATGAAATCCTATGCACTAGTTTAGATATTTTTAAAGTCTGTTTTAAAGATTTTGGTACTATTTTTGAATATTTTGTATAGTTTATGGCTTTTAAGGAAGATTTTATATAGGAATAATTTAAATAATTAGACGTTTTTAAAGCAGTAGATGAATTTTTATTAAAAATTGGTAAAAATGTTAACTAAATTTGCTTTATTAATCATTAAAATGTTATTAAAGTATATTTTTTTATTTATTTTTTAAATATATATTACTTAATATGGTGTATTTTTTTTTTCAAAAGACTTAATAAACAATAATAAAAGAGCTGATATATATTTTCTCTCATTTTTTTTTATGTTTATTAAGTTATTTTTTTTTAATCAAAAAAATACAGAAAAAATATATAATAATAAATATTTTATATAGGAATTAAGAAATAAAATTTATTTTTAAAAAGATTAAATTAAAAGCTTGATGGAGGCTGTTAAAAAATAGAATTAACTTTTAGATGAAAAAGAAAGAAATAAAGATATTATTTAATAAGAAGGAGTTTAATAAATTAAAAATGTTGAATAAGTTTTAAATGATAATTTTGATAAAATAATATAAGAAATATAAACTAATATTGCACCTTTAGAAAAATGTTTAAATGATAATAGTTCTTTAGATAAAAGGTCTTTAAATATTTTTGAAAAAGGAAGAGAAAAAATTATTAATTTAGTATATTTGGTATATTGTTTTATTTTTTAAATAAATTTTTTTATAATATTTTATTAATATATATATATTTTAAAAATCTTATAAATTTATTTATTTTTTAATAGAATAATCAATTAGAAAAAAGATTAAAAGATTAATAAAATAAAATTGAAGATTATGAATAAAAGCTAAAAAAAGATAAATGAAAATATTTATATATATAAAAATATATATTTTATGTTTATTATATTACAATTTTAATTAATATATAGTTTATTATTAATTTTAATAATTATTTTGGTAATTTTTTTTTATTTAGATATTATGTAATATAAGTATATAAATATAAAGATATTTTACAATATATATTTATTTATTTAAAAATAAAAATTATATTAATAATACTTTTAATAATATAATAATATATAATTTTTATATTTTTTTTATTTTATTAATTTTACAATTATTTTCGTAATATTTTGATAATATTTAAAAATTTTAATTTATAATTTTTTATAAAAATATTTTTAAGTTCTATGTAATTTATTATTATTTTTATATTTTCAATTGAATCATGTTTTTTAATATTAAAAAAAAAATTATATAAATTAAAAATATATTATTTAATTGATAATTTCAATAAAATCTCAAAATATTATAAAAATAGATTTTATATAAATATTTAATTTAATTTAAAATATATATTTTTTAATTTATGATATGTTTTTATATAAATACCTATCTTATCAATTCTGAATTAATTTCTTCTTAATTTAAATAATTTAATTTAAATGTATAGAATATTTTTCATTTTAAAAATTAATAATTTTAATAATAGATAATTTTATAATATAATATAATTCGTTAATAAATATAAGAAAGAAATATAATTTAAGAATAATTCGGAGAATAAATATAATATTAAAGGTATAATAATGGATAATTTATTGAAATATCCAAATTGATTTGTATAGTTTATATAATTTTTAATTAATATTGATTTAATGAAAAATACTAAAAAATTAATAATAATATTTATTAAAGTACAAATTTTGAATAAATTTTTTTTTTTTTTTTTTTGCAAAAAAAGTTTCTATTTTTAAAATCCAATTTTAAGTATAATTTTGTTTTACTAATAATTTTTCTTTTTTATTTTTAGATTTTTGATATTTATGTTTATATAAAATATAATTCATTAATATTTTTAAAAATTATTTCCGAAAAATCAAAAGTTAGAAATTAAAAACGAGAAATAAAAATTGAATAATTTATGTAAATTAACTTAATAGAAAGTTACTTAGAAAATTCATGAAAAAAAAGCTTAATTTAATTATATATAATTAGTAAAAAATATATGATATGCATTAAATGCCATAATATAAATAATTTTAAAATTAAATATGAAAAAAAATATTTTTTTAGATGATTAAGTTAAAAGTATTTAAAAATATTTTTTTTATAAAAAAAGAAAAAAAAATTTACTTGAATATAATTATAAAATATTCTTTATAATCTTAATTTTTTTGGATTAAAAAAAAAAATACTTATCTATATTAATTTATAATTAAAAAAATAAAATCATTTATATTTAAATTTATGAAAGAATTGTTTATAAAATCTAATTAATAATTATTTAATTATATTGTTTTTTACATATAAAGTTTTTAATATTTTTTTTTTAGATATTTTATATTTATAAATATTTATAATATTTATGAAAATTAGTAACATTAGTTAAAAATATAAATAATATAAAAGCAAGTATTAAAATAAATATATAATTTATATAATCATATAATGTATTTAACAATAATGTTTTTGAAAAATAATCATTTTTTTAATAAAAAAACAAAATTTATTAGATTTACAATAAATATAAAAAATACATAAATAAAAATTTATATGTTTTTATATCTATATCTATATCTATATATATATTTATATATATTTATATATATATATATATATATAAATAAATATTTACATAAATTTAAATATATATAAATATAAATTATTTATCATTAAATTTTATTTAAAATTGTTTATTATTAACAAAAAATATACATAATTGTTAAAAACATAAAAATACAAAAATATATATTTTATTTGTTTTGCAATAAAAAAGAATAATATATCAATTATCTAATTCTTCAAATTCTTATGTTTCTGTTTCTTCATCTTCTTCTTTTTCTTCGTCTTCATCAATTAGATCAATTGCTACACCTTTTTGTAGTCCTTATATTTAATCATTTAACTAGCATTCTTCTTCATCACCTTCTTTATCATTTTCCATATCTTAAATATATTCCTATATAAAAAAAAAAAAATTAAATATTAAAAATAATAATTTACCTCTATAGGACGAGTAACAACATCAATTAAAGTTTATAAAACAAAAGTATCAACTTCATTAACAAAAGCTTAAAAGCAAATATTAGTAATCTCTCTAAAATAATCTTATTATTTTTTTTAAAAAAATGTGTATATTTAATATATACTTGATGATTTAGTCAATAAAGATACTAATAAATCAGATAAAACATGTATATAATGTTAATTTTCTTAAATAACTTCTTCACCATCTTAATTAATAATTTTTCTTTTTTTTTTGGGTTTTTCTTGTGTTTACTTTTAATTATAATAATTTATTATTTCTTAATATACTTAACTTAATTCTTCAAGATTTTCTAAACCTTCATCATTGTTATTAAATAATGTTTATATACAAACAGCAATTATTAGGTTACAAAAAGCTCTCTTTTTTTTATTTGATAATCCATTTTTTTCATCTATTTTTTTATTAATGTTTTCAGTAATTTCTAATTCTAATTTTTAAGCAAATTAAACGTATTAATATAAGCTCTTTTAATATAAATATATATAAATATATATATATATATATATATATATATATGTTATATATATATATATTATTACTTTAATAATACTAGATTATAATTTGTTATTTTTAAAAGTATCTGCTTTTTTTAATATATGTTTCAAAATATTAAATATAACTAATTCATTCTACTAATTTAAACCTATAAATATAGAACTAGTTTTATCCTTTTTTAAAATAATTTACATATTTTTTATTTTTTTTTACTTTTTATTATATTTTCAATGTCGAATGTAATAATGAGAAAAACAATTAAGATATTTAATTTTAATATTTTTACTAGAAAATTTTCAAAGTATTTTCTTATTTATATTCTTAATATTATTTTTCATATAAAATCTACAATTTTTAAATTGAACAATTTTCAAATAGTAAAAAAGCCACATCTAAAAGTAAATTTTCTGCGAATATATAATTTTAGGAAAAAGCTATTTCTGTGAAAACATACATTTCATTTAAATAAAATACATATTTTGAAATTTAATCTGAATTTTTATGCATTTATTTTTTTAAAAAAGCTAAATATTAGTTGCTTTCATTTTGAAATTATTAAAAAAAACTTAAAATTTAAACTGCTAATTATTATTTAGGATTAAATCTAAAATTGCTTTAGTTTTTCATAGTCTAAACTAATTCAAGAAGTACATTTGGGAAATTTTAATCATTTTTTACTCTAATTAAAGTTTAAATTAGATTTTTTTATATTTTTTAAGCTAAATTTTTCATTATTTAATTTTTAACATTAAAATTATTCAACCATAAATGAATTAATTCTTCTACTAAAACATGTTTTATATCAGAAGCTTGGAAAACATTTTTTTTCAAAAAGTTTCTCAATAAACATAATACTACAAAAAACAATTTAAAATTTGAATCATTCTAAATCTCACTTAAAATACCTTTCCAGAATAAATTCCATTCATTTTTTTTCCCTTTCCATATTTCACCTAAATAAACAGATAATTCTTTACACAAAGGACTTTCTAAAGGGAAAGAATCTCTCATTGAAGTTAAAATATTCTTCAAATTTTTAAAATTACCGACCTTGTCATCTAAATAATTTTATTAATTAAACACTGCACTATTATTTTTATGCGCATAATAACCAATGATAAGAGCTCTCAAAGATACCGAAGAATGCACTTTTAATAAAGGTTAGAGGACATATTATAAAAACAACTTTGATTTTAACTTGAAATTATTTTTAGATTAAAAGATATCAGAGCATAAATCTAAGACTAAATCGGGAAATTTCTACAAATCAATAGCTAAAACCTCGAATATAATTTAGTAAAAATGTTAAGAATTTTGAGATTTATCGATTATTTAAGCTAGAATTATAGATTTGAAAATTGTTAATTTACCAATTGTAAAATGCTTTAGTTCGGTTTTTGAAATAGCGTGCTTTTGGGCAGTTTATTCTAAGGTTTAGTCGATTAAATTTTATACAGAAATCAAAGAATTGAACTTCTCTAATAATTACTTTATTAATATCCCGTAGTTCATTTATGTAGATAATACTGTGCTTTAGCCACATGCCCTTGTACTTCGCTTTAATACATAGTCGAGATCTTCAGAAACTTTGGGACCAAAATTAGATTCGAAATTATTTGTGTAGTTTTCGGATTTTGTATGAGTTATTGCTTGGATGGTTTTAAGTATTTTTTCGATACTTTCTTCTACTTTATTAGAAGATTTTGATGATTTCTTATATGGTTGGCTAAGTTAATCAAAATATGAAAGCAAATCTTTATCGTTCATTTTTGTTTTTTTCTTTTTGTTAATTTCTTATTGTTTTTTTTTATTTTAAGTAAATTTAGCTTAAGGGTTAATTTTGATTTTAATATAATCTTTTAAGATTAAAATAAAATATAATTTTTATTTTAATATTTATATATAATATAAAATATATTATTTAATATATAATTAAGTATTTAAATATAAAAAATTATTATTATATCATAAATATTTATATTTATTATTATATTGTAAAAATATTTAAATAAAATAATATAAAATATCAGAATTATTAATAGGAATAAATATAATATAAAATAATATATATAAATATATATATATATATATATATTTAATTATAATATATATATATATTACATATAATATAATTTATATATATATTTTTTTATTAAATAGTTTGTTTTATATAAATAAATTTTCATTTATTTATAATATTCATTATTTATTCTTTTTTATTAAATTCTAAATTCAAGCTTGTTAATTTTTATTATTTTAGATATTTTACTATATTAGCAAGTTTTTTTAATACAAAATTAGTAAAATTAGTATTTGAACTAAATAAATAATAAAAAAAAAAATTAATATAATCAATATATTTTACTAAAAATCTAAATTCAAAGTTTTTAATTAATCAAACTATTCTAAAGTTAAAATTAGCATATCTAATGCTTCATCTGTAAAATTTTAATTTGCGTAAAAATCTAAGTTAAGTTCATTTATTTAATTTAAATATTTTAAACTTTCTGCTATTTTAATTAAACCTTTATCTGTAAAATTTTTAGTATAACTTTTTTTTATATATTAATTAATTTTTTAATTATAAATAGAATATTAACCTAAATTTTAATATTAAAATATTTATATTTTTGCATTATTCTAAACTGTTAGATAATTAAATTAGGTTAAAATCTGTAAAATTTTCATTTAATCTATATTATGAAAAATTAATATTATTTATTTTTAAATTATTTTTAATTTAAAAATTTCTTACTAAAAATTAAGTCTTAATACTTAAAGTTTTTATAAATTAAATATAGATTAGGATAATATTTCTAATCCTTTTTCTCCGAAATTTTTATTATAACTATTTTTATAAAATATTATTTATTAATATAATAAAAAATAACTAAAAATTTATTCTAAAAAACGTTATTTCTTTTAAATCTTTAAATGATTCGCTAAATAATTATAATCCATTATCAGTAAAATTTTTATTGTAACTTTTTTTATATATATTTTTATTTAAAAAAAGAATAATTTATTTATTTACTATAAATAAATTAATATTTTTTTTATTTAAATAATTTTTTTTATTTATTTTTTCTATAAATCTATAATTTTTTTTATTTTTTTATATATTTTTTAATTTTTTTACTATAAATCTATATTTATTTTATTCAAATTTTTCAATCCCATAATTCCTTTAGATATATATTCTAATCCTTTATCTGTGAAATTTTTATTATAGCTTTTATTAATTTATTTTTTTAAATAAAAACTAAAAAAAAAAAAATATTTATTTAATTTTATACTAAAAATCTAAACTCAATTATTCTATTTAATCATTTTTAATTAAATATTAATAAATTTCAAATAATACATTGTCTGTAAAATTTTTATTTTATCTTTTTTTATTTATTTAATTAAATTAAAAGAAAATAAAATAAAAAATAATTATTACCTACAATTCAAAAAAAGTTATTTTATTTCATTGTTATTAATGTTTTCTTTTATAAAATTAATTAGAGTTAAATCATTACTAGTAGGTTTACTTTTTTTAAAAAAATAAAAGATAAAAGAGTATAATTATTAATTAAAGCAATACCTAGTCCTTTCGAGTATATGTTAAGGTTTATTCTAGTTATCTTCTTTACAACTATTTATTAAACTACTACCTTAAACTAATTCTTCTTTATTTTATAAATTTTCATTTGAAGTAGTTGCAGATTTATCTTTAAAAGTAAATTTATATATATATATATATATATATATATATATATATATATATATATATAATATTAATTTAATAAAACTATTTACTTATTTAATCGAAATTTTCAGAATTATTAATATCATTTAAATCATCAGATAGAATCGGAGAAACACTATCTGGAGTACAAAAAGTTTTCTGATTTTAAAGCTTTGGTGAATAAATAGTCTAAAAAGTAAAACCTTAAGCATAAGAAAGAGGAAATTTTAATTAATTTTAAGGATTTTTAATAGAATAATATTTAGGAATTTAAAAATCATGTTTTTTTGCATATTGGATTAGTTATTTTAAATATTTTTCTGCACTTAGTCTTTTAGTAGGATCTATTTATATCATAGTTTTTGCAATTTAAAATAAATAATTATTATTGTCAAATCCAAGGTTATCTGGTATTTACCCTAACATAAAATGTGAATAATAATAATTGTATAATTTAGATTAAGGATTTTCATAATCAAAATTGAGATGATTACATAACATAAGAAAAATAATTCCTATTGAAAATATGTCTGCCTATTTACATTTAAATATTATTTTTATATTAGCTTTAAACAAAAAAAATAACAGATTGTTTGTAGCATTTACTATGAACTTCAGGGGCTAAAAAACATGGTGTTCCAGCCTTTTAATTTATTAATAAATGTAATAATATTAATATATATATATATATATATATATATATATATATATATATATATATATATATATATATATATATATTACAAAAGTAGTTATTATGTTTCCATCGATTTCTCTTGCTAAACCTAAATCAGCTATTTTTATTTAATATTATTTCTTTTTTATTTATATATATATATTTTATTTTATATATTGTATTTTGAAATTTTTTAATTGTATACTTTTTTTAAATAAAAGTTTATTAATATTTTTAAATTATTAATATATATAATTTATAATGATTTATTTGAATTATAATTTTTATTATAATTATTATTTATATTTATATATATTTATATTTATTATTATTATTTAGTTTTCTAATTATTAAATTAATTTTTTTATTATAATTTATACATATTTTTGCATTTCCATCTTTAAATAATATATTAGATGCTTTTAAATCTCTATGTATCATATTTTATTTATGAATAGTATTTACCCCATCTAATATATTTATAGCTATTTTAATCATTATATCTAACTTTAATACTTTTTTTTGTATTCTTAGTTTCGTTAATAAATCTTTTAATGATTCTTTTTTTTTAACAAATATAAATTTAAAAAATTAATTTATAAATACCTTCACATAATTCTGTTTCTATAAAATAAAGCTTTTTATTTTTTTTGCTAATTATTTTTTAAGATATATATTCTACAACACATTCAGATTTACATTTTTATAAAAATTCTGCTTCCTTTTAAAATTATTTTATTTATGAATCTATTTTTGGATCAGCTTTTAGCACTTTCAATGCTACTTTTCTTAAAATATTGTTATTAAATGCTTTCAAGACTAAGCCAAAAGACCCTTCGCCTAAATAAGCTATTTCATCATATTTTTATTCCTTTAATATATCTATTATTAATTATAATAAATCACTATCAAAAACTTATTGATTTTATATTTGTTTTAATATTTAAGATGTTGAAATTATTGATTCTGTTTTATTTTCTTACTATTCGTTTTCATTTACAAAGGCACGAAACAAATATTTTATTGCTTGCATTTTTAATTTTTGTTATAAACTAAGTTTTTTGTTTTGTTTATATATTTTTTTTATATATTTTAATTTAAAATTTTATCATAATTTTTTTATTAATGAATTTTATTTAATGCGTAAAATTAAAAATTTATATAACTTTAAATGAATAAGTATGATTATTTTTAAAAATATATAATTATTATTTAAAATATCTATTAATTTAAATTATAAATTAAAATATTTAAATTATTATATTATAATAAATGGGATATTAGATAAAAAATTATATATTTAAATTAAAACAATTATCTTTTTAATATTTTTTTTAAGTATAATTTAAATATTTTATTATCATTAATTTTTTTTTTAATATATTCAATATTTAATTTAATATTTCATATATTCACTAAAATAAAAACAAAAATAGATATATTAATAATATAAGTATAAATAAATACATATATTTTAAAAATCATATATTTTAAAAAGTATCTTTATTATTTATAATATGTTATAAATCAAAGAAATTCTCAAGTCTAAAAATATATTTAAAGCAACTTTTTTCAAAAACAACTTAATTTTATTCCACTTTAAGATATTTTCTCAAAACTGGTACGCAAACAAACTCAAAAATATGAGCTAAAAAATACTAACTTAATGGTAATCCTTCATTATATATTTTATGTGAATTTTTAACCAATATCTTGTTTTCGAATTACCACCTACTTTCATCTAAAGAAATAAAAATTCCATTTTCTTCATTTCTTTCAATGTTATAGACAGAAACTTTAATTCCTAATAATTTATTGGCTTAATTTCCTATTAGTTCGAAACTAAGAGGCTGTGGATATTTTTTTTATTCAAAATAAAGTAAACGAACGTACCCTCCAGTTACTTTCTAACACTTAATAATCGGATTTTCAACACGTTAGTTACTTTTTACTACACTTTATAAAGATTCATCGAATTTCTCATGTACTGTCAATGTAAAATTTTCCACAAGTAATGCTAATATTGCATTTTTTTCTTCTTTACTGCACTCCTCGTATTCTATATTATATAGAGCTTTTATTTCAGCAAATGACATATTATAAATTCCTTATAATTTGATTTTTTCTCCCGAAGAACCGAAAGTTTAATAAGCATTTTTGAGAAAAATTTATACGTTTTTTTTTTAGGAAGAAAAAGTTTAGATTGATAATTAAAGTTATTTTTTTTATGTCAAAGACCATATTTTGATCTTAAAATAATATTCAGAAAGTAATATTTATTAAAAATTAAGACTATTTTAAAGAAAAAAAGTATGTATTTCTTATAAAAATTCATCAAGGAATAATACAAAACTATTTTCATTTAAAATTTTATATTATTATATTTAAAAAGATGTATTTTATGATAAAAAAGAAGTATTTTATTTAAGTTTTCTACTATATAATTCTTTCCAAATTTCATTTTTTTAACTTTCTGTTTCTTCAGTATTTTAAATGATTAAATTTAATTCATTTTTTAAAAAATTTTCATTTATATTATTTTCTTAAATTTCAAAGAGCTTTTTTTAACTTCCCATATCCATTTCAAAATCAATAAAAGCACTTTAATTTTTCTGGTTTTTTTCCTATAAAATCAATCGGAAATAATTACCTTCTATGTGGTGAAAAAACATTAAAAATTCGCCTTCATTTTCAACTTTTTTAATATAAACTTTACTTAATAATCCTACTGGATTTTTAGTTATTTTTACTTCTCTTTTTTCCTCTTCGAAAGATAAAAAAGGCTATATTATATATCTTTATAATGAATATGAATTTGTGCACATTTTTAATGTTAAATTTATTGGAAGTATATGATTTAAATTTAAAAATTAGATAAGTTTTTACAATTGAGATTAAGTGAGGACTTATTAGGCTATTTATTGGTTGTTTTATGTTATTTTTATTGATAAGTCACCTTTTTAATTTATATTAGTGGATATTTTATAGGTTTTTTAATAAGTTTTAGTTAATGTCAGTTAGGGTTAGGCTTTTATATTTGTTAAGAGTTCTAAAAAGTAGTCTTTTTAAAATTACTTTTCTTCATTTATTAGTACTTTTTGGGGAACATTTCTTCTTTTTTTTGGTTATTATTATTATTATTCAGTATTATTTATATTTTTTTAAATTTAAATTACTATAGACGATTCTTAGGGATTATTAGTATTTATTTATTATTATATAGGTTTTTAATTTTAAATTTCGACTAATTTTAATTTTAAATCTTATAATTTTGTTTATATATCTTCCAATAAATTAGAATCTTTATTCTATTTAAGATTCTCTATAAAAGATGATATTTTACAAGACAAGTCTTTAATTTCGTTATTTTCTTCTTTAATGTTAATATTTTCTGAAATTTTTTAAATTTAAGAATGTAATTCAGCAATCTTATTAGTTTCATTTTAAAAAATTTACAATTTTTCATCTAAAATATCACTTTCTTTATATGATTTTTCGTCTTTTTCCTATAAAAAAGTATTTGTCTGTGGTTAAAAAGGTTCAAAAATGCTTTTTTAAATATTTCTGACTTTTTTTATATGAAGAAACTCCATTAAATTAACTTAAAAAGGGAAGATATTATTATTATTTTCCCAAAAAGAATTCTAATGATTTTCATGCAAAAAACAATTTTATATTCTGAAAATTTTTTACGTAATAACATGAGAAAACCCAAAGTATTTTTTAGAAACAGAAAGCGCGTTTTTTAAATAAGAAAACTCTTATTAATTTCCTTTATCAATTTAGCTTTTTTTCCTTTATAAAATTTCTCCATATATATAAGCGTATATTAATATAGGTAACTCGTTCATAAAAAAAGGGTCTTTTTATAAATATTCCTTTTAAATGTATTTTATATTCTAGAAAAGCTTACTTTCACACTATTCAATACTTTATAATATTAAATTCTCGGCTTCATCGTATTCTTCGAGTAGAATTTTTAAAATTCCAATATTGTTTAAGATACATGAAGGTATTTAGATAGTTTATTAGTTTATATATATTTAATAGATTTTTTCGAATACTTCTATTGCAGTTAAATAATTGTACATTGATAAACATGAAATCGCTAAATTATTCATATATGTTAATGTTTGAATCAACTTTTTGTCATTATTTAAAATTTTCGTTTATTAAGTTTATGTTAGTTATGATAATATATTTTCGGAAAATTAAAGCTGTTTATATATTTGGGATCGAGGGATATTATTATGGATGGAATATGTTATGAATTTACAACTATATTAAAATAATATGTCTAATTCGGAAGAGTTAAATGTATAGAGTTATTAAGTGTAGTTTTGGATGAATTCGTAAAATATTTCGTAGGCATCTTTTGTTTTTGTTTTATAAAAGGAAATTTAATAAACATATTAATTTTGCGAATTTTTCTTATTCAAACATTTTTTGTTATTTTATTTTTAATTAAAGGGATTTTATTTATGTATTTTTTTATTTTTATTTTTATTTTTATTTTTTGGTATTAAAAAAAAATGTTTTTTATGTATATTTATATATTTTGTTGTTGTTGCTTTTTATTTTTTAGTATATTGTTATGTATATATATAGCTATTTATTTTATTTAATCCTTTCTTTATATATTTAAGTTTTAAAAAATAATTAATTTTTCTCTCTTTTTAATATTTATTTTAAAATTTTATTGAAAGTATACACATTCTATTAATAATTATTAGTATATTAAATCTATATTTATTTTTAAAATATTATTGAAAGTAAATAAACATTCCATTTTCAAAATATTTTATTTTTATATAAGTTTTATTTAATTAAAATTTTAAAATATAAATTACAATATGTTGTTTTTTTTATATTAATTAAATTTATTGGAATAAATAAACATTTTTTATATTTTGAAAATTCAAATTTTAAAATTATAAAATTTTAATAAAAAAATTAAAAAATTAATAAAAATTAAAAAATAAATAAAAATTTAAAAATTCAAATAAAAAACACTAAAAAAATTAATAAAAATGGATGAAAATATAGATATCATAACTTAATCTATAGAAAATAATTATTAATAAATAATGAGTTTCTAAATGTCTTAATAATAACAATTCCATAAACTCAGTTAAACTGTTAACAAATAAAAGTCTGAAATCTAAAAACAAATGTAAAAAGAATAATAGAATTAATAAGAAATATAATCTTTGAATTAATAACTTAAAAGTCTTTATGAAAGATCTATTGATAAGGAAAATGGCTATTTAAATAGCATTAATTAATTAGAATAAGAAAAGAAAGACCTTTAAAGTTAAATTGTAAGATTAAATGAATAAGTTTACTAATCTAAATAAGAAAGAGATGATATATTTGAAAAATAAGTTTAAATACTTGAAAAATATAATTACTTATAACGTGAGTATGATTCAACTTAGAATGAGCTAAATAAATTAAAAGATAAAGAATCTATTTGTAAATAATTGATTGGGCTTTCAATTGATAAATTCTAAGAATATTCAAATGAAACAAAAGAGAATATTTAATAATTACTTGAAAATCAAAAAAAAAAATATTTAGATACTATTAATAATTTTGTCAAATAATTTATTAACAAGGACATTTTAAACAAAGATTTTCTAATACAAAATTCAGAATAAATGTAAATTAAATAGATTTTTATATATAATTTATTTTTTATTTGTTAACATTATTTTTAATTTATTTATATTTTTTATTAAAAAGTCAAAGTAATACAAATGGAGAATAATAATAAAATATTCAAAATAGTAATAATTTAATTATTAATGTAAATATTTTTATTTATTAAATTATATAAATAACCATTTTATTCAAATAGGAGATTTAGTTAGATGAATAATTATTATAAAAAGACTAAATTATTAATTAATTAAAGTAAATAATATAATAAATGATTATATTTATGATTAATTTTATATCATATAATTTTTTAAAAAAGATAATAAATTTAAAATTTTTTAAATGAATCTTTTAGTTCTTTGTATTTTTTAGATAATTATATGAAATAGATTTCAGAAAAATCATCTAATTTTGATTTACTTAATTAAACTAAAACTATAATTTAAAATATGATAAAAATTGCAAATGTAAAAATATACACATATATATATTTTATTAAATAAATAAAAATATATAAATTAAAAAGGGAGATGAAGTCAAAGGATTTGTAAACAAAAAAAGAAAAATGAATGAAGTTTTAGTAATAAATTTAGAATGATTTTATATATAAAATATAAAATAAATTAAAAAAAAAAAATACATATATATATATATATATATATTTTATTTATTATTATTAAAAAAATTGAATAAATATAAGAAAAGTCAAAAAATGGTGAAGTAATTATAAACTACATGTTACTTTTAAATAATATATATATATATATACTTAATATTATAAAAAGAATAAAAATTAAAAGAAATAAAAAGAAAAAAATAAATAAACAAGCGTTATATACTTATTATAAAGATATTAGGTAGTTCATTAGTTATTGAAATAAAAACAATTACTTTTATAATATATATCTTTCTTAATAATTTTATTTATATATAAAGTTATAAATATTAATTTTATAAAAATTATATATGTATATATATATATATTATTTATTTTTTCAATTCAGTATTATTTAAAATTATTTTACAATTTTTATTCAAAATCTAACATTTTTTATTCTAAAACACTCTGAGTTCTATAAAATCTTTAGTTAAAATCATCTTATTTATTATTTTTCGTACAAGAACTATAATTAGATACATTAAAGCCAATATTGCTATGATTTCTTTAATGAACAGTATTATATTAATTTGTATTTTTAATAAATTTAGCTTCTTTTACATTAGGAATATGTAAAGTATTAAAATTTTGATTTTTAATTCTATTTAAAATCGTTAAATAACTTTGTTCTGGAGTTTATATTAAGTTACTTTGAAATGCTAACTCTTTTTTGGGAAAATAATGCTCATCTTCTAAAACTAAAGGAGATCGGTTTTATTAAAATTTAGCCGAAAATAAATAGGAATCATTATATTTTTAATTTTTTTCAATAATTCTTTTATATTTTTCATTTTCTATTTTTAAGTTTACATTTTCTTGAGTTAAATTTTATATTTAATTTTAAAAAATAGTAACCTTGTGATTTAAATCTTCACAATATTTCATTATTTTTTAAACTTTTTCATTCTATTCATTTGTTTGAGTTTTTTAATTTTCTTTCAAAATATTAATTTCTTAAGTCATATTTAATATTTAATCATCTTTTTAGCTACTAATGTATATATATATAAAAAAAATAGAATATATGTTATATATATATATATATTTTTTTTAACTATAAATTTTTATCTGAAAAAAGTTAATCTATTTTAGTATTTTCATGTATAAAAGATCTAATAGGTTAATATTCTAAAATTTACTCATTTTTATCTAAAATACTACAATTTTATCCTAAACTAACCACAAAATCATATCCGGTATATATTTTTTTAATAAACTTATTTTCGAAAAAATTTGTTTTTCCAATTATATTATTATTTAACTCAAAAACACTCTATTATTAATTTATTGCAATTCCAAATTAATCTCCAATTGATAATTTTATAAATTTGTCATTATTTTTTATTATTTTTTAAGGAAAAAGCTTATTTTTACCAAATAAATATAATTCTCCGTTTTCGGTTATTAGTCCAGAATATTAACCCGCTGCTATTTTCCAAACTTATTTTATTTAAAGCATTGTAGGGATACATATATTTTAGTTTTTATGCCCTAATCCTAATTATCCTTCGTCGTTTTATCCACAAGTGTATAATAAATTGTTTTCATCTAAAATTAGTGTATGGTAATATCCACATTTTATCTTTCGGATTTTTTTTTCCAGTTTCACTTTAGTTTGTTTATTTTTATTTTCGAAATCACCAGTTCCTAATTGACCTAACTAGTTATTTCCAAAGCCATATAATTATCCATTGGCTAATTTTTATTTAATTTAATTATTTTTATTTTTCTTTTATTACTTAGCATTATAATCGAATGATAATATCCTGTTGATATCTTTGAAACTTTATGTTCATTTTCTAAATTTAAAAGCTAAGGATTATAAAATGGGCTTTTATCATTTACAATACCTAATTATCCCTTTAATTTATATATATTTATTTATAATTTTTAAGTTTATTTTTTTTGTTTTAAAAAACATGAGTATTGTCTCCCCAACAAAAAATTTATCCATCGTCTTTTATTTAGTTAAATTTATGAATAATTATATATATTTTTATATTTAAAAATTATTTTTTTAGGAAATATTAGTTAATACCTGTTAAAGATAAGGTAAATGAGTGTCCACAACTTACTTTTTTTATTTTAAATCTAAAAAAAATAATATTTTTTTTTTTTTTTTTTTTTTCTGCTAATTTAAAATAATTAAATATTAACTTTAACAAATCTTCAACTAATTAAGGTTAAAAAGAGTTATTTAAATTTTATTATCCGATTCCAAGTTAACCAAAATTATTACTTCCTTTATTTATAATATAATAATATTAATTAAAAATATATTTCTTTTTAAAAAAACCTGTCATATATAAAATCTTATCATTAGTTATAAAAGCAGTATGATTAAATCCACAAGAAACTTTATCAATAACTATACAAAAACTACATACTCTTGGCATGAGATATGTTTTGGATTCTCCTAAACCTAATTATCCTTATAAATCGGCTTTTTATTATATTTATATATCATTAATTTTTTTATATCTGAATTAAATTGGTAAAATAAATAATTTAATATTTACATCCCCATACATATATCTATTCATATATATATTTTTTTTATAATAAAATTATATAAAGTTTATTTTTTTAAATATATATGTATTTGCTTTTGTATAATAATAGTTTAGCTTTCCAGTTTGATTATCCATCTTAATTTAAAAAAAATATATATATATATATTTTTTCTAACTTCTAACTTATTATTATTTATTTTATTTATAATTTATAGTTTGTTATATTTTTTTAATAATATTTTGCATATTTTTTAATTCAAAAATTATAAATAATTTAAAAAATTTATATTTTTTTATTTGATATAAATATTAAAAATAAATATCTTAATATACAAATAATATTACATATAAAAATAATTTATTAATTTTATTCTATTAATGAGTATATTTTCAAAAAGAAAGCATTATTTAAAATAACAATATTTGAATCAATTTACTTTATTATTATTTTTAAAAAATATTTATTTTTTTATTCTTATTTAAATTTTTGATATACTATTTATATAACATTGATAAATTAAATTAAACTCATTTTATATAATTAAATATTCTATTAATATATTTAAATTAATAAAATATATTAATAATATAAATTATATTATTTTAAAAAAATATAGAATTTGTTTTAAGTTTATATTTAATGTAATACCATTATAATTTTATCTTTTTTAAATTAAAAATCTGAAAATAATGATAAATTGAATTTAATATATTTATTCTTTTGTAATTAATATTCCATAAAATCTAATTATTAAATAAATATATTATATATATTTAAAAATAACTAAAAAATTATATATTGAATATTTTTATTCGTTTGGTTATAATTATTATTTAATATTTTTAGCATAGAAAATATTAAGTTTCTTTTTTTGATTATAATTTATTCTATCTTTTATGCAAAGTATATATCCTAATTTTTAAATACAATTTAAAATTAAAATAGTCATATTAATTCTTTTTTTATTTTTAATTAATAATCTTATATATTATATTAATTATTTATTAATTGCATCATTTCTATATTATATTTCTGTAATTAAATTATTTTATTCATATTTAATTTAAAATGAATTATTTACTTAAAGCTAATTTTTCCATCATGATTCCTAATATTAAAAAAATAAATATTTTTAAAAATTTATATAAAATTACATATTTAATTTTTAGTAAAAAACTATAAAAATATTTTAAAATAGATATAATGCTTTTTTGTATTTTAAATAAGTATTTTTAAAAATTAATATTAAAAAATAAAAATCTATAAAGTAATTTTTTTATATATATATTTCAGAATATTAACATTGAAAAATAATTATTACCAATACAAAAAATATTATTTCAATGCATATCGAAAAAAAAGAATTATTAAAATTTAGATAATTAAAAAGAACTATTTTATTATTTAAAAAAAAAAAAAATATAATATAAAAAAACATTAATTATATATATTTAAATATTTTATTTTTTAATATATTATATAAAATTATTATTTTATTATTTATATTTTTTCTTTATAAGTATTTTATTTTTAGTTTGCATATTTATTTCTACGATTTATTTTTTATATTTTTTTGTTTTCTATAATCTTTAATACTATTATTTTTAGACATTATTTTCTATTTCTATTTCTTTTAAATTTTTTATTAATTTTAAATAATGTATTTTTTAATATTTAATTTTCAAATATTACTTATATATTTATTTAATTACTTATTTTTTAATATAATAAATACTTTATTTATAATTAATTGTAATTAGTTTATAAATCACAAGTTTTATAAAAACATCGATAAATTTATAATTGTTTATTATAAATTGATATTTTTTTTTCTATGTTTTTTAATAAAATTGAAAATTTTCTTAAAAAATTATGGTAAATATTAATAAATAAATTTAAAAATATAATTTTTATATAATATAAATAAAAAGTATATTTTTTTAATCTAATAAATATATATAATATTTTAAGTATAATTGAAAATATATTATTACAAAAATTTGATTCAAATTATTTATTTTATCAAAATAATAATTTAAGCTTTTTTAAAATAAAATATTAATTTTATAAATATATATATATTTTTTTTTCCAATTATAATGTTTTTAGATTTTTATTACTTTTAATATTTTTTTTATAAAAAAATCATATTTCTAATATAAAAAAAATGATCATTAGTTCTTTTTTATAAAGTAAAATCTTTTTATAACATATTATTAGTTTAATTTAAAATAATAATAAATATATAGCTTTATTAGTTTTTTAAATTTATTGGTTCGTTCATTTTAAATACTTTTTAATTAAGATAATAGAGTTGATTAATATGAATAATTATTAATGAAATGGTAATTTAGAATTAATTTAAATTATTAATATTATCATTTATTAAAAAAGGATTATATTGATATTTTTCATAAAATTTGATGATTTATTTATTATTATATTTAACTTTATTCCATTTAGTTATTATATTTTTAATTATTATAAAATTAATATATTTTTCAGAAAAACACAAGTATTTATTTTAAATTTGTATACAAAAATAATATAATATAGATTCATGTATAAATGATTAGAAAAATTATTATAAAAGCAGATCCTGATTTATTAAATACTTTTTGCTTAACTTTAGTTTCAAAAATATTAATAAGAATAATGCACAAAGTATAAAAAAAAATCTTAAAAAAAAATTATAAAATATTAATTAATTTGATATTTTTAAGGCTCATATTTTATTAAAATCCATTAATTTACCTGTTGTAGAAAATGATTATAATTTAACATAGGAGATAAGTAATTATTTGAATAAATATAAACCATAAATATTAAATAATTCATTTGTTGACATTAATTAAAAAAATAAAAATGATCAAAATGTAAATGAAGATAAATACGCTGAGTTTTTAAATATGTCAAATTTGAGTAATATAAGTATTTAAAGTATTATAAAAGAAAAATATTAAAATATTAATGAAAATAATAATAAAAATAAATAATAATAATAATAATAATAATAATAATAATAATAATAATAATAATAATAAAAATTATAATAATAATTTTAATAACATAAAATTTAATAATTTAAATAACTATAATTTATAAGAAAGTGAAATTATTTAATAAAATTTAGTTCCAAAAAAAGTAAGTCCAGAATCTCTTCCATGTTTTTAAATAAAAATAATTCCTTAAGTTCACATTAAAAATATTATATTAAGTAATTAAGAAAATGAAAAAAAAAGTTCTTATATAGCTAATATATAGATAATATATATATATATATATATATATATATATATATATATTTATATATAATTATTATATTGTTATGAATAAATTTTTATAATTTTTTTTTATATTAAACTTATAACTTATTAAGAATTTAAATTTAAATTTATTCTTTTAATAAAATAATAAGAAAGATTTTTAAAATTCAATATATTAATTTTTTTATATAAACACGAATGTTTTTTTATAAAATTTACTTTTATAAAATATTTTCTTTTATTTTTATTTTTATTTTTATTCTATATTCTAACATAAAAATTTTAATTTTTTTTTTTTTTATTAAAAAATTTATAAATAAAATTTAATCAAAATAAATATTAAATAACATTTTTAACTAATTATACTTTGAATAAAAAAATGTTATATAAATATAAATAAAAAAATAATAAATAAGCAAGACTTAATTCAATAATTATTCATATTAGAAACTATAAGCCTTATAAAATCAGATATTTTAAATTCAGTAGTATTTTCAACTCCTAATTCTATTAACATGTCTTCGGCTTCTTCATCAGTTAAAGGTTCTCTACCTGAAGTTACAATATATTTAAGTACATTACCTCTCATAGTAGGTTCAGGTTTTTTATCTTTAGCAAATGTTTTGAACGCTTCATATAATTCTTCTTCTGGATCATTTTCCTCAGGTCTACTTGCCATCATTGTAAGAAAATCAGGAAGTTCAACTTTTTCATGGCCTAAAGGATCTACTTCTTATGACATTTATTCTAATTCTGATTCTGTTGGATTTCTGTTTAATGAACGCACTAATAATCCTAAATATTTAATGTCTATTACATTATCGCCATCTTTATCAAATAAAGAAAAAGCTTCTTTATATTCTGCTATTTATTCTTTTGTGGGTTCTCTTATTTATTTTTATAAATCTTCCATTTTAATTTATTTATAAATATATATATATTTTATTTTATAATTAGTTTTTTTTTAAAAAAAAAATAATAAAATAAAAAAAAATAATAAAATATTTTATTTTTTATTCATTTTTTTTATAAAAAAATTATAAATTCAATTTACATAAGCATTTTTATATATATGTATGTTTATATTAATTAAAAAAAAATGAAAGAAAATTTTTAATTATAATAATAAATCTAAAAAAAAAGTATAAATTTAATATAAAAAAATGAAAAAATATTTAAGAAATAAACAAACAAAATATAAAAAAGTTAGTTCATATATTAAAAAATTTCTTTATAATAAAACAAAAAAAAACAACATTTAAATATATATATATATATATATATATATAATATATATATATAATATAATATATATAAAAAAACAAGTTCACGAAGAATTTTTCTCTTCTTCAACATGAGAATAATTTATATTCCAATCATAAACATAATCCATTTAAATACCATTTTCTTGCATAATATTTTATAAAATATTTTTAATATAATCATAATCCGGTACTTCTTCAAACTCTAAATTTCTTACATATTTAAACATTTCAATAAACTATTAAGGCATTTTCTGACACAATTAATCAATAGGAATCGTCATTTTACTTTCCATAATTTTATCGTATTTTTCTTTTTTAGAAAGCGATCTAATTCCTTACCAAGGTAACCCCCCTAATAAAAAATACAATAATACGTAAACTAACCCTTCCAAATCATCCCTCCTATCTTATTCTATCCCCAAATGAGTATTTAGAGAAGCATATCGAGCCGTTCCAGTGAAATTTTTATTTTCTTTATAAGGAATATGATTCCCATCTCTAGTAACTAATTTCTTTGCCAAACCAAAATCTACTATATATATAATATGTGCATTCCTTCCCCTTCCCATAAGAAAATTATCGGGTTTTATATCCCTATGAATAACGTCTTTAGAATGTATGAATTGAATTCTTTCTAGCATTTATAAACCGATTATACATACAGTCTTTAAAGAAAAACGACGACCACATTTTTAATATAAATCTTCTAATGAACTACCTAAACGATCCATTACCATATATGTAAAATCACCTTCTCGGGCTGTATAATATACATGTGGGAGTCCTCGATTATTTAAAACGGACGCATCTTTTAATAAACGTTTATAAAATTGTGCTTCGTATAATAATTAAGGACAGTTTGAAGTGTTTTTTTCAAGTTTTATGGCTACTTCGAGATTTGATTTTGTGTTTACACCTAAATATATTTAGCCAAAACCACCACTTCCTAATTTTTTGGTTAGTTTGAAGTTTTTACCTATTAATACTTCGCTCATTTATGGGTATATTTTTTTTTTTTTTTTTTTTTTTAGTTTAATTTTTTTTTTCTTTTGTGCTTTTGTTATTGCAATTTTTAATAAAGTTTTTTTTTTTTTCAATTTTGTTCTTTTTGCTTTAGTTTTATTTAAAAAATAGTAATTATGTTTTATAATTTTTTTTTTTTATAAGAATTAATTTTATTTAATTTGTTTGTTTTTTTTTTCATAAAGTATATTTTTTTATTTAAATCTGTTCAATTTAAAGTTAAAAATTTGGCGAGTTTTCATTAATTATTCTTTAAAAACACTATTGCTTAAAATATAATAAAAAAATTATTATAAAATATAATTTATTTCTAATTAAATTTATAAACTAAAATATTAAAAGATTATAATTTTTATTAATAACATTATTGCGTTTTTTTTTAAAAAAATATAAATAAATACCTTTTAATATTATATTTATTAGATATTAAGTCTTTTTATTTTTTTTTAAAAAAAAGATAATTAAAAACTAAAAAAATAATAAATTTATTATTAAAAAAATATATTATAATAAAAAAAAAATAACTAAAAAAAAAAATATCATAATAGATAAAAAACTAAAAAATCAAATTCTTTCTAAAGGTTCGATTCCAATCAAATAAAGTGATTTTTTCAAAACTATTCTGGTAGCTTCAATAAGTAATACTCTAGTTTCCTTGTCTTCTGAATTATTAATATGATATTTATGATAAGCCTCAGCAATTTTACAAGCCAACTCATAAATATAATCAGTTAATCTATTTATAGCCAAATCATCTGTTACACTCTATAAAACATCAACAAATTTAACTAAACAAGCCACAATAGCTCTTTCATGAGGATGAGTAATTTTAAAGCCTTTATTTTTTCCTATATCTTTAAGTTAATTTACATCAATTTCACTTTTTCTTAAAATACTACATAATCTTGCATATGAATAAAGTAAATAAACAGCCGTATTACCCTTAGTATCTAACATTTTGTCATATGAGAAAATATAATCACTGATTCTATTTTATCTTAAATCATAATATTTAATAGCTGCCATACCCATAACTTCTGCTGCTTCTTCGTATTATTATTCACTCAAAAAAGTTACGTTTCCTTTCGATTCTTCTCCTTCTTCTTTGTTTGCTTCATTTTGTCTCTCTTTGATTTTCGACAAAGCCCTATCTTTGGCCTCATCAAGAAGGTCTTTAAGTTTTACAGTTTCTGAACTTCTAGTTCTAAATCTTTTCCCATCTTCCCCTAACACTATTCCAAATCCCATATGTTCTAATCTTGTTTAAGGGGGTTTATGCCACCCTATTTTTTCTGAGGCTGCAAAGCAGTAAGTAAAATGAGGTTCTTAACCTATATCAGTAATATAAACAACCCTATTACATCCTAAATTTTTCAATCTATATTTAATAGCGGCCATATCTGTACTATCATATCCAAATCCTCCATCTTTTTTAATGATAAAAAGAGGTGGCTATTTTTTGAATTTTTCTATAAATATGCATTAGGCTCCATCATCTTCTTTCAATAAGCCGGCTTCTTTTAATTCTTAGGCGACTTCAGGAATCATATCGTTGTAATAAGATTCACCCATTTCTTTAAGAGTAATATTAAGTCTTTTATATATATACTCGAACTCCTTTCTTGATAAATCGCACATCAATTACCAAGCTTTACGGCAGTTTTGGTCTCCTCGTTGTAAATCTACAACTTTTAATTAAGATTTTTTCTTAAAATCAGGATCTTCATCAAATCTTCTCTTAGCTTCTTTATAGAATTAAGTAGTGTCTTGAAGATTAGGAAGTTCGTTTAAGAAATTTGGGTATTTTCAAACATGTAGTGAATTAACATCCCGAATTAAGTGCCCCAATCTCCTACATGGTTTATACGGAAAACTTCATTCCCTTAAAATTCGAAAATACGGCATAAAGACTCACCTATTATTGTAGAACGTAAGTGACCTACATGCATTTCTTTAGCTATATTAGGAGATGAAAAGTCTACGAGGATTTTTTATTTTTATAATAAAGGGAATTAGAGGCCATGGCGTATTATTGTATTTACTTCTTCTTATAAGGTTTAATCCTTTAATTTTAAAGTAATAAAACCTTACTCTGTCATACCTAATTATTCGATTATATTTTCCTTTTTTTTTTTATCTTTTTATTTTTTTATTTAGTATTATTTTACTTTTTCTTCTTTGTTGTGGCATTCAATGATTTTCTTACATAAATCTTTTACGTCAGAAAGGCCGAATGCTAATTTGGTTTTCTTGTCTTTATTTTAGTTGAATATTTGGAGAAGTGAAGGGCTTAAGTAATCTGCGTTTTCTAAATTGGCGGCTGGTTAGATTTTAATTTCAGGGACTTGGTAATTAAAGTCAATTAAAGATCTTGATATAGTATTTTTTAAGCTTTATGCAGCTAAACGCGTCATTGAATTTAAAAATTTTCCTTCCATTATTTTTTGTTTGTATTTTTTTTATTTTTTTGTTATAATTTCTTAATTTTTTTATTTTGGATATTTAAAAGTATGTTTATATATGTATTTTTTTTTTTTAGTTTTAAATTATTATTTTTATAATTTTTTTTTTATATTTTCTAGTTTTAAATAAAAAAAAATTTTTTGCTATATTATTTTATTTAAAAAATACTTTTTTAAAGTTAATTACTTTAAATATTATTATTATAATAAATAATATCAAATTTAAAATTCATAAAAAATATAAACATAAAAAAGAAATAGTAAATTTAGTAATAATAACTAAAACAATAGAATAAAAAACTTTATATATTTTATATATGCATAAGTATATATATATATATTATAAATATTTTTTTATTTTTTTTCTTAAATATATATTATATATATATAATCTAACAATTTTTAAAAATAATATTCAAATGAGAAATATTCACTCATTTTTTTAATCTTAAACATCTAAAATAGTTAAATCCTCATCACTATCATCTTATTTTTCATACAAATCTCTTGTAGAAGTAAGATTTTTTTACAAAATGTTATGTCCATTTTGTAAAAATTCATTAATAATTTTTTTTAAAGTCATGCAATTCTTTTACAACTCATCTTCATTTTTACACAAACTACAATCCATAATAGCATCTTCACATTTTTAATTAAAAGAAGATAATTAAATACTAATTTAACAAAAAGCTTCACTTATATTATCCATATCTTCTGCAATTTCACCTCTTTATATAATTTCTGCAACTTAATTTAAAGCATATGAACCAACCAATCCTCCTAGCTATTTAAAAAAAAGAAATAAAAAATATAAAAAAATATTATTTTATTTTAAAATTAAAAATAAAAATAAATATTAATTACCATCCATGATATTTAAGTTCGGGGTAAAAGCATTTAAATAGGAAAAGATGTAGTTCCAATAAAAGAATAATAAGTAAGAATTAAAGCCCCCATCGAAATATTAGAAAGAGCAAGTCCTTTCGCCCAAATAAAAGAGGAAAGTTTTCTTATTGAAAAAGTTGCAGTACATTTCAAAAAACGTTTTACATATTGGACTATTGAAAAGTGTTGTTTAGCTTATAATTTATCAATTAATTTTTTATACATTTCTTATTCTTATTAGTTTTGACTATAATATTTATATATTTTTGCTCTTTCAATTAATTCACAGCTTAATTCTATTTATATACACCATTCACTTATTGAGTTTGCTAATCTTTCTAAATTCTTAACTATTTTTTTATTTACATTTTAAATATTTTTTTTTTTTTTTTACATAAATGATAATCTTTTTTTGCACTTTATACATTAGTGTCTTTTGGTACTGCATAGTTATCGTTAAAAATTAATTCAAAATATGGTTATTTCATTCTTTTTTGGAGTAAATGTATTAATTGTTTGTCAAATTTATTTATTAATTAACGTTTTACCTCCTATAATTACATAAAAGGTAACACTTTTAAGTGAGGTTCTAATGCTTTTAAAGCATCTTCTCTCCATATTTCAAATGTAAAAGGAATAAAAGGAGGTTTATGGACAAAAAGATCAAGTTTTTGTAATTTTTAATCAGCAAAATTATATTATTATTCTAATATTTTATCTAAATTAATATCCATTTTGATTTATTTATTTATATTTTTTATATTTTTTACTTATTTTTTGGTTTTTTTATATAATATTTTTAATTATTCTATTTGAATATAATAAAAAATTTATAATAATGAAATAATAATAAATATTCATATAAATAGATTATAATTTAATAAAAAAAAAAATTCTTCCTTAAAAAAATAATAAAATATTAATAACCTTTTTTTAATTTTTCATTTTATTATTTTACATAAAATAATAAAATTAGAAATAATAAATATATATATATATATATATATATATATAATATTATTAAAATTTTTATTTTTATATATATATATATATATATTTACATTTATACAATTAATTTTTATTTTTAAATTTTAATAAGTATAAAATTTTAATTTATAAATTATTTTTAAATATGAAAAGCATTATAAATATAAAAAATAATATAAATATAAATTCATTAATTATAATATATTTTTTATATCTTTATGTAATATTTTGAAGATTATAGAATAACATAACTTTATTTAAACATACATTTTTTTATATATAATCAATAATATATTTTTTTTTATCATTTTTTATAATATAATACAATAAATTAATATTTTTTTTTAAATTAAATTTAATTATTTATATTATGATTAAAGACGTAATTTATTATTTTTTGCAACTTTTATCAATAAAAAACTTTAAATGTTTTGTAAACATATTTATTAGAAATCGTATAAATAAAAAATTTATTGAAATATTTCTTAATAAAAAAATTAAATATATATATATATATATATATATATATATATATATATATATATATTTATTTATTATAATTAATATAATTAATTTTGTATATTTATAATAAATTAATTAATGTGATTTTAATTTATTATCGAACATTAAGACAAAATAATTTAGAACTTTCGTATATTTTCTTAATAATTTTTTTTTTTAAGATTACATTTATATATAAACATAAAGAAATAATATATTTTTATATATATAAATATATTTTTAGAAATATTAAAATAAATTATAGTATAAAATAATTTTTAAAATTAAAATAAATGTTTACAAAATTAATTAAAAGAGCTTTCTGTATAAGTGATGAAACATTATGGGCAAAAAAATATACTTTAGAAACTAATTTACCTGATTTATAAAAGCAATTAATTTGGAGGTTTAATAGTTTTTCTTCTTTTACTTTATTTTAATATAATAAATATTTAAATAGGGCAACTAATTTGGGAATGAGAGAATTAGATTTACTTATAAGCAGTTATGCTAAGTAAAATTTAAAAAACTTTACATATGATGAATGCATTAAATTTAATGAAGATGTATTATTACATGAAACTCCTTAGTTAAATAAGTATTTACTTGGACAAGAACCCTACCCTTAAGACAATGTTTATATCCCTAAAATTATTGAATTTGCTATTAAAAAACCTAGATATAATTACTTTTGATTAAAACAAAAAACTGAATTTATATATTTAATTACATATTTTTTTATATATATTTATTTTTACGAATTAATAATTTATAAAATTAAATAATATGTATATAAAATTTCATTTTAGAAAATATAAAATATAAACAATAATATAAGATTTATATACATATATATATATTTTTTATTTCAGATTAATTTTTACTTCTTTTAATTTTTTAATCAAATGTTATAATTTTTTAAATATTTTTTCGTTAAAACTTTTTTTAATATCTATTAAGAATGTTTTATTGTGTTTTCATGATTATTATTAATTAATTAGCTAATTCTTAATGTTAAGGGAAGATTTCCATTTGATTTAGTAAGCAAAATGCTTGTACATTAAATAACTTTTTTATTAATAAATATTTTTATTTTTTTAGTACATTATATATACCACAAGCTGCTAAAAATAATTAATCAGTAAAATTATAAATATACAAAAAATCTTCATATAGTACTTAGATAATTATTTTGCTAATATTAATAAATAAAGGAAGAGTATTTTGAGGAATTATTGGTTCAATAAATTTTAATAAAATCAATGCTTTATCAATTAAAAGTTCATCTCGCAATATAATATAAAAATTAAAACATTATAGAACTAGTATTTTTTTTATTTAATATAGATAAATTAATTTTTATGTTTATCATAAGTTTTTATATAACCTAATTATTCTTATTTTAATACTTCTTTATGTTTTTAAAAGTTATTGTTTTAAAAATTATTTTTAATAATTAAATACCTTATTTAGTAAAGCTATAGTTTGATAAAAATATAGCATTATCAATAGTAACTTGACATTAATCAAATATCTATTTTATTTTTTTTCATTTTAAATAAAAATATATACTTTCGAAGATAATATTAGACAAACTAAAGCTAATAATTAATGATTCATATTTTTTATAATCCTTAAATGTTTATAATTATAAAAATATTATTTTTTAATTTAAAATTCATTTATTAATAATATCTATAAATTTATGAATTATTACCTTTGGTTTTTTAGTAAATATATATGATAGAGATGAATTGAGTGGAAACTTGTTAAATTTTGTACTTCTAATAATTCCGCACATTAAAATATAAATTAAATTATTTACGTAGATATCTATAGGTTAGAAACAACTTTTTTTTAAGTACTTTGGTTTATTTTTTATATTTTTAAGAAATCTTTTATAGTTTATTAATGAATTATTTATTACTTTGAAGAAAAAAATAATGTTAACCTGTTAATTTTATACCATATATAATAGGAACTGGCCATACTAATTATTGTTGAAAATTTTGATTTTCTTATCCAAAAACTATATTCATTATAATTTATTTTATTATATTTAGTAAATATTTAGTTAAAAAAAAATATATATATATTATTAAATAATTATATTCTAAAAAATATTAAAAATCTAAATATAATATACAAAAAATAATTAAAATATATTTTTATTCCTTTTTTCTATATGCAATAAAAATTAATAATTATTATAATAAAAATTTTAAATTTAATATAAATTTTTTAAATTAATAAACTTAAACAATAATAAATAATACATATAATATAAACTTTAAAAATGGGCGCTATGAATGTTAGCGGTATGGATTGTTGTATAAATGATTATTTAGATGTATATTTAAACTATATTTATAAAAAAAAATATTTAATTTAAGTCAAAATAAAAGAAATCTAAACAAAACACTTAGTATTTTACCTATATATAAGAAGAATGCATGTAACTTGAAACATAGTAAATATGGGCAGTATAAGTATAATAAAATTATTAAAAGTTAAAAGAATCTTTTTAATATCAATATAAATTCCAATCAAAAGTATAATAAAAAAGTATAATTAAGGCAAACAGAAATTAATAATATCAAGTATTAGATAAAAAAATTTAAAAAAAATTACAAAGCTTTAAAATAACTCACTTTTAATAGAATCATAAAATAATGATATTTTAGAATAGGATGAAGGGATATATAATAATTCTTTAAATAATAGTTTTATAATAAACAATAATTTAAGTATTGCATCATCTGTAAACTCTTATTTATTTCCAATTTAATAATAATAATAATAATAAATCATATAAGGAGAAAGCAAAAGTATTATATTATAATAATTTGTATAAATAAATACTTGTATAGCAAGCTAATTACATGAAGAAAAATAATGTTTTTTACGTATACTTTTTTAAATTTTTAAAAACTGCTTTTGTGATAATTTTAAAGGAGTTTTAAGTGAAGAAGCAGAAGTTGTTTTAAACGAAAATAGTAATAAAATAAAAAATAAAATAATTGGAGAATTATAATAATTTGTTCGAGTTTTTACAAAAGCAATAGTCTTATATTATAGCCTTAATTATAATCCGTTTCATAATTTTATAAATATGCTTAATTTTACTACTTCTGAAGTTTTTAAAAGCCATAATATATATAAAATTGTTTATAATATAGTAAAATCCTAATATAAAAATGAAGAGAATTTATTATATAAAATTTATGAAAAACATAAAGGAAAATAACCTCAGGATTTCTTTGTAAAAGAAAATTTCTGTTTGAATTAAAAAACACTTTAGTATTTTTAAATAAAATAGAATGACTTTTGTTTATAATAATAAGAATATAATAAATGTATTTAATAATTAAAAAAAATATAAAAGAAAAAAAATCCTATTGGAAAGCTAAAAAAAATAATAAAAGCTTGTGAATTGATTACTATTTAAATAAATGAATTTTATTAATATTTTAATATAGAAAAATAAGTAGAATTTGATTCTGATGATAATTTTAGTATTATGCTTTATATAGTAGCAAAAAGTTAAATTATTGATATTTTTACTTAATTAGAAATTATTGATAAGTTTATTACAGATAATATAAGAAATAGTATAAATGGTTATTATTTAGTTACTTTATAAGCTTGTTTGTATTAATTAATTGAATAAGAAAAATGATTTTTTTATTTTTATGTTATTTATTTATAATAATCTAAATTGTATTTTTATCATTCATTATTATTGTTTTAAAATTAATTATTTTTACTTTAAAAATTCTTCATATTATTTTAAATATAATTATTCTTCGTATTTTAGTATTTATATATGTTCTTCATATTTATTTTTTATAATCAATTCTTCTTCATTTAGTAACATTATATATTATTCTTTTAATTATTCGGCTAATTAGTTTTATTCTTCGAAGTCTAATTCACTAAATACATAATCATTATTCTAAATACTGTCGATTATTATATCATCTTTTTATTTTACTAAATAAAAAAATTACTTTCTGTATATATTTTACCCAATAAAAGTTGTCTCTTTTCTTCTAAATATTGTTTTCGTTTTGATTTTCTAATACTTTGTTGATTTATATACATTTTCTTTATATTTAAATATGTATAAATAAAAAATAAAAACAATATTATTAATACTTAACGAATTAACTATTTTAATTATTAAATTTATTAATCTTCATATATATTAATATTTTTTTAAGAATCTTATTCCCCTTACATTTTCAAATAATTTATTTTTTATAAAAAATTAAAATTTTTTTTGACTTTTAATTTTTAAAATTATAATTGTTTATAAATTTCTAAATAAAAAAAAAAAAAAATTACAATATTTTTATACACAAACATTAAATAAAAATTTATATATTATATGTTTAATTTTTATATACTATTTTTATTTTAAAAAATAATATAAAAAATTAAATATATAATATTTATATATAGCTTCTTTATTATTTTATAAATATTAAAAATAGTGAGTTAATTCTTTTAATTTATAAATTAGATCTAGATTATTTCATTGTTTATTTGATTTTTAAATAAATAACCTTATATAGGCATTCTTTTTGCTATATTAATTAATTTACATTAGGCAAATGCGAACAAAATGTAACCTATTAACCTATGAAAACTAATATTATTATTATAAATTTTCATTTTATAATTAATTTTAAAATAGATGTTTTTAGTTGGAATTATTTCAAATTATTTTTAATCAGGAATATTTTGTATATAATAGCATATTTTAAGATTAGACAATTAAATAAAAACAAAGAAAAAAAGTTCTTAAAATTTATCAATAGAAGTTATTTTTCATTGATATATGAATATAGAATACTATCAAAAACATTATTTTCTATTTATTTTATTACTTAATATGCTCTTGAAATAATTAAAAGTGAAATACTTATTAAATAATTCTATTAAATATATATTAAATTCTTATATTAAGTTTTTATTTAAATTATTCTTTCTTATAAAATAACATTCATTAAAAAATTTCGATAAATCACTTTTATAATTGTTTTTTTAGAAATAAAATAAAGAATGATATATCATATTTAAAATGAAACCTAAAATTTTTAATGGATTTACCTAAAATTTTTAATGGATTTCCTTTATTTAAATGATTATTTAAGAAATTAAGTAGCCATATTTTATTTTTTTCCTATTTATTTATATATTATTATTGTAACTCATCTAACCTATTAATTCCTATGTATATGAAGACTTTTTTTTTTTTCAAAAAAGTCTCAAAGTTTTTAAAAAAATAAGAATATTATAAATAAAAGACTCCAAACAAAAAATAACAATTAGAAGATTTCAAAGATTCAGATTCAGAAAATATTTTCTAATTAATTTCATATAACTAATATAAGCTTCTTCGCATTACTTTTGAATATGAACAATTAGTTACAATCGAAATAAGGTTAAATTCTTTTATTTATTTTATGAATTTTGTCCGGGGCGAATTTTTCGATTCTTTTACATATTTAAGATTAAAGATATTATTATTAATTTTTTTTTATAATATTTATCAAAATTTCTATCGTATTTTTTGTATTATTATGTTTTCATTTGGTTTTCACTAAAATTAGTTATTCGGTAAACAGTTCATACAGTTTATTTATATTAGTATATATTTTAACTTATTGAAATTAATATTTGTACAGATATTATTGCTTACTTACATTTTTAATAACTGAATAAATATATAATATTTTTTAATATTAATTGATAAATTATGAAATTTATTTTTACTAGAAAATTATTAAAGTTACTTAGACTAGAGGCTAATTAGTTTAAAAAATATTGAAGTGAGTTTCGGGGGGGGGGGGTGAATTTTAAATTATTACAGAATGAAATAACAAATAGTGATTTAGTGAATTTGGTTTGGTGTTTTGGATATTCAGTGATATTTAGTGCTCTACTATCGCTTGATTGTTTTGCTTCTTAATTAATATTTTTTAAAGACTAATAGTCTTTTCCGAATTTGGAAATTTTTTAAATATATGAGTCTTATATTAGTTCTTAAATTATTTGCTTTATATTATATTGTTGGATTTATTATTATAGTTATATTAATCTGTTTTTGTTGTTGTTTTTGTTTTATAATATTTTTCTTATTATTATTGTATATTTTTAAAAAGAATATATATTTTTCGGTGATAATCATCTTTTTAGTGTTCTTTTTAACTATAAAATACTTATTTATATTAAGAGCGATATTTGGATATTTAATTTTTTAAAAAATAATAGATTTACATTTATTTTTAAAAGTATGTTTTATATAAATATTTATTTTAAAAATGAAATATTAAAATTAACAATTAAAATAAATAAATAATAATTTATAATTATTATTCGATGTTTTTAAATATTTTATTATATATATTTTTATTTTTTTCATTTTATAAGCTATAAATTCCTAACAACTTATTAATTAGAAAAATCTCTATTATTAATTTTATTTTATATTTATGTTGAAGAATCTTTTTAAATATTGAAATTTGAAATATTGCTTTAAAATTATTATTTAATATTAGAAGTTCTATCAAAATCATATCCTTGAAACAAATCTAATAATATATAAATATAAATATATATATATATATATATATATATATATATAATATATATTATTAATTAATTTATAAATAATAAACCTTAAATACTATTTTTTCTTAATTCTAACTCATTTTATATAATGAGATCTTCTTTACTTTCTTATTTATTATTGAAAATCTGAAAGTTATTATCTGTTTGCTTATATATTAAAATTATTTTATTTCAAATTAAATATTACTGAAGGTAAAAAAGGTGGTGCTAATTCTTTACTTAGATGTTTTTCCCATGGATAATTATTAAACCAAGCATGTTTTTTAATTTCATCAGGTCCATTTAACCCTAATCTATTTTAAGGTTTTCTTTAAATTGTCTTTTTTTTAAAAAAAAAATAAAAAATTTAAAAAATTCCATAAATTAGAAGAAAAAAAAAAATACTCTGTTAATAAAATCAGCTGCTTCTAATGACCAATTTTTAGGAATATCTTATTTTTTCAATTAAACTTATTTTGCCAATATTTAATCTCTTATTTCTTAACGTGATTTTCCTACATAAGGTCTTTTTCCCATCATACATTCAAATACTATTACACCTAAAGCGTAATAATCAGCTGCTATTCCATGATTGTTTCTACACATTACTTCTGGGGCTATAATTAATTGTTTTTTAGAAAAATATAATATTAGAATAAAAACCCATATATCCAGGAGTTCCACTTGTATCTTAACTATTTTAAGGTTTCCATATTCTAGCTATACCTAAATCAGTTATTCTTATATATCCTTTGTTGTCAAATACTAAGTTTTCGGGTTTAATGTCTCTATGTATTATTCCATTCTAATGTAAATATTCAAGGCCTATTATAATACTTGCTGCAAAAAACTCTTTTTTTTATTTTTAAAGATATTTTTTTATTCTTCCTTTATAAATAAATTATTTACATGTTTATTTTTCAGTAAATTTACGATTTTAGCATATATGAAATCTTAAGTCTCCCCCTGATAATAAATCCATTATTAAGTACAAATTTTAATAATCTTAAAATGCATATATCATATTTATTAGAAAACTTTTTATTTTAATTATTTTTTAGATAAAGAAAAATATAATAATTATAATATTTATATTTGTAAAAGTATATTTTTATTTTATACGGATGATTAAAAGATGATAGAAGTTATCTTTCATTTAGGATTGATAAAACACTTTTCTTTGCCATTATTCTATATTTTTTAATATTTATGATATACATATAATTAATTATATTTAGTTACTTTGCTTTTTACATTTCTTTTAATGCATATAATTGTTTAGTTTTTTTATATACTACTTTATAAACCTACTTTTTTATTTAAAAAATAAAAAATAATTTTAAAATTACTTTCCCAAAACCTCCTTTACCAATTACATGTTTAATATCAAAGTTGTTAATAGATACATCTTTTTAATAAATTTTATTTACATAATTATAATAAAGAATTCAAAAATTTTATAATGAATATAAATAAATACTTTCTTCTATTTAATAGATATTTTATTTTTTAAGACTATAATTTCCCATGTTTTTTTGTTTTTTATATTTTGTTTGTTTTTTTGTTTATTTTTTTTTTTTTTGTTTATTTTTGTTTTGTTTTTTTTCTCAGTTTTAATAAAAATAAAAATAATGATAATGATAATAAAATTAATAAAATTTTATAAAAAAGAAAAAATTTTAAAAATAACAAAAAGAAATAAAATATATATTGTATTATTTTTTTAAATAAGAAAAATAAATATTTATTTATTTATAAAATATTAAAAATATAAATAATTTTTTATAATTATATATATATAAAAAATTATATTGACAAACTTAAATATATTTTATTCATACAAAATTTTAGATTTTTCTCATTTAATTTGTTTTTTTTTATTGTTAAATTTTAATGTTTATTAATGTATTTTATTTTATTTAATATTTTTATTTATTAATTAAAATTTACCAAAAAAAAATATTTAATTAATTATAATCAACTATATATCATAATTATTAATATAATTATAAAATAACTATACTTAAAACTTTATTTTTTGTTCCCTTAAAACATTTTTACATGTAAACTAAAGTAAATTGAAAAAAATATAATTAAAATACTGATAATATATTTCTTTATTGTTAAATGAAACAAAAAAAAAAGATAGATTTAATTTAATTTTACAAGAAAAGATGAATAAGAAAATAATTGTTAATCATAATCAAAAAAAAAATTAATTAAAAATTCATTTCCAATAATAATAAGTAATACTAAATTAGTGTTTTTTCCCTTAAAATGCATTTAAAAATAAAATTAAAGAAAAAGAAAATCATAATTAATAATTTTTATAAAATGTTTAAACAAATAGAAGATGATGAAACTATATTACAAAAAAAAATAAAAAATAGAATTAAAATAAAATAAATAATAAATATTCAAACCTTAAATATTTAATTCTATATATTATTCTTAAATCTTTCGTAATATTCTAAAGGTTCTACACACGAAATTTTCTCGTTTTCATTTTCACTAAATAACATTTTGAATTTATTTTCGAGTATTTTAGTTATGTCATATATTTACAAATAATCTATAATTCCGAAAAATACGCAATTGTTTTAAAAGAAAACACTTTTATTATTAAAAACTTCGTTTTCTAAAAAAAAACTTTCATTTTTTCCTATAATAATCATCAAACTATAATCCATTATATCTAAGTCTTTCAAAATTAGACATTCCTTTTATATCTTTTCAAATAAAATTTCCTTGGTCTATTTTTATATATTATTTATAATTTCCTAATCTTCAATTTTTTATTAAAAATCGTTATCTTTTCCACAAAAAAATCCCTCTTTTTCACCTTCAAAATATCTATTTGAGTTCGAACCTTTAATATCATAAACTGACTTTATTTAATATTTATCAAAAACCCAATTCGAGAGTAAACTTTCTGTTATAATATAGTATGAAGGTTAATATTTATTCTATTAATCTTAAAAAACGAAAATATCGATGATTTTAAGTAATAAACTTTAATTTTAAATAAAATTTTGGAAATAAGGCTTTTAAAATTTTTGAATAAAAGTGTTATATTGACAAATCGGAATATTTTTTATTATTAATCTACTATCTTATGTAAAATATAAATTATTTTTGTTTGATCCTAATTAACTAATTTATTAATGTATTTTATTTATATTAGATTAATTTTAGATATTGCTTTTTAAAGAGGTTATTATTTATTCTGTTTATATGTTAAGGCTTTACTTTATTTTATCAAAATTTTAAAAATGGGTTTGCTATATTGTTATATTTATATTGTTAATAGTCATATTAAACTGATTTTTTTCATTTGGAATAATTGTATATATTTCTATTAATCCATTTATAATATTTTCCCAATTTAAAATTTTTTAAAGAAAATGTGTTTATTACTTTTTTTTTGTTTCCATATTTTTTTTTAATAAATAATAAAAAAAATATATTAAAAAAAAAAAAAAACAATAAAATTAAATTTATCATTATAAAAAAATATAAAAAATTATATATTTATTTTTAATGTATTATTGGAATTATATATATATATATATATATGTATATATATATATATATATTTTCATATATTTGTTAAAATATCAACTTTTAATTATTTTTCGAGTTTTTTTAAAGTTTCTTTTATATATTAGTATTATTTAATATCAAAACTATATTTTTAATAAAGTTTATTTGACTAAATTTATTTTTTATAATCAAAGTAAGTTTCATTTGAATAATCATCATGAAATTTTAAAAATTAAAAGTTTAAATAAATAAGACCAGCTGAACTACTAAAATAAGCTATAGGTTCAATTATATCCCAACTCCATACATAATAAGTACCATACCAAACAAAAATAAATTATGCTATTAAAATAAATATATATATTTATATATATAAATATATATATATAAATATATATATATATATATTTATATTTATTTATTTTATTTAATTTTTTTTTATATAATTATTCATATAAAATAATCATAATTATTAATAAAATTAAAAATGTATTGTTATATTTTTTACATATTAAAGCTCCTAATCCTCCTACCATTTATAATTTTTATTTATTATGTGCCTTTTTTTATATTTTTTATCTATAATATATATTATTATTACCATTTAATCAATTTTATCTTTAACAGCAGTTAATTTTGAGTATTATTCATATAAATTATTATACTATTCTTATAATTAAGCTACGAATTCTGTTTGTGTATTTTTATTATTAATAATTGCTTCCATTAAAGTTTAAATAAATTCATCTTTATTAATATTCATCTCTTATGGTTAACTTGAATCTGAGAAAATTTTTTGTCCTGTTTTAGTTTCGTGAATAGTATCTACTTTTTTGAGATAATTAGTTATAATTTCTTTACTTATATATCCTAATTTAATATCATTGCAATATTACTTTAAATTTTTATAATCATCATCTATATCTAAATCTTAATTATCTACTTGAAATGTAAGTCCATCTTTATCATCTGCAATATAAAAATTTTCTCCTTCTAAATCATCTATTAATATTGTAGGGGATAATTCTATTTTATCCAAAGAATAAGCTTTTACGTTTGATGATAAATTATATTCTGTTTTTAAACCTTCTAGAATATCATCAATAGTTGCTTGTATGTCTGTCTAAAATATTGTATAGTTATTTGTTTTTGGATTTTTCATATAAACTTCAATTTCAAAATTGTCTTCGTTTTTACGTTATATGGCTATTTTATGGGCATTTTAGAAATTCAAATTTAATTATTAAAAGCTAGATTATCTTTGGTTTTTTAAATAATGTAAAAATCTGTTTCTTCCAAAAAGTTGAGTTTTATATAATATTTTAAACATTTTTTTTTATTTATATAAAAAATAAAAGGAAAATTAATAATTTTTTATTTAAAAATCATAAATATATATTAATTATTTATTTGAAATAAAATAATTTTTTATAATATAGTTTTTATGTTTTTTATTTAAAAGTTTCATTTTTTCTATTTAAAATACTTTTAATTTATTTTGTTTATATTCTAATATTAAATTGTAAAAGAAAGATTATAGTATATAAAAAATTATTAAATTAAATAAAATAAAATTAATTATTTTTAAATAAAATAAAAATTATTATTAATAAAGCACTTTATAGATATTTTTTTTATATATTTTTATTGTTATTTATACATTTATTTTATAATTATATTAATATATTTATATTAAAATAATTTATAATTATCAATTTATATTATTTTAATTAATAATTAATTAATTAATAATTTTTATAATTAATATCTATAAAAAGCAATTAATAATAAAATTATAATTTATTTAATGAAAATTAGATCTATACGAAAATAGATTTTTTCATTTAGAGATTTCTAAATCTAATCGGAACTAATCAAATTATATTCTATAAATTCGATTGAAAAAAAAAATTTAAATGAAATTAAAAAAAAAAAATATCCCAAAAAATCAAATTAATTAAATGTAAAATAAATAAAAAATCTAATAGAATTGACTTAATAGAAATTCATATTTTTTTAGTTTATAATATTTTGTATTTTTATATAAATTTTAAAAATATATATATTTATTTTATACTTATTTCTTTATTTGCTTGATTTGAAATATTTATTTAATAATTTTTCTCAAATTATCTATCTATATTATTATAAACAATTAATTAAAGCAATATACCAATATTCCATATTCTATTATCAAATCAAAATTTTTTAAGCAATACTAAATTCATAAATACTTAAAATATATTTTCAAACCTAAGCTCAAAAATTAATTAACCTTTAGTTATATGATTTTAAAACAATTTCGAATATAGAAATCAAAAACCTATGTTCTAAGAATTAAATATCTGAATTAATTATTATACAAAGCAATACAGACGATTCCGAAAATCGAGTTGTCTTTAATATTTTAAATATGATAATTAAAAAGTTCTATAAAATGCTTTATTATATCTATGTTAATAATTTATTATCTTGAATCGCTTTATCTTGAAAAAATCTTTATAAAATTATTTCTGATTTATCACTCTTTATTTTGTTTTAAAAAAATTGTTAAAATTTAAATAATTATTAAATTTATTAATAGTAATATTTCTGTATAGTATAAATTTTCTTTTATTATTTCTGAAAATAATACCTCAATAATTTTATAATTATTATATCTGAATATAATAATCTTTAATTTAAATAATTTAATTATTCGATTTTGTATACGATTTTAGAAAAATTATATAATTTAATTTAATTACTAGTCTATGTTTTCCATTTTATTTAATAATCATATCTTTCATATCTTAGTTTTGTATTATTATATAATTGTTATGTTATGTTTTTTTTTGTTTAATTTTTGTTATTAGAAAATCTTTATTAAAATTTGTAAATATAATTATTATTCTTTATATAAAAATTATTAATTATATTAATATATATATTCAAAAAAAAAAAAAAATTGAATGCATTTTTTGAATATGAAAATAAAATAATATAATAATTTATAATTCATTATACTTAAAACAATTATATTTATTCAATTTAATTTTTTACAATAATATAATTTTTTTTTTAAAAAAAATTTAATATTTCGTCTATTTATTTTACTTATTTTAAAATTAATATATTTAAAATATCTATATATAAGTATCTTTAAATATAATAACAAAATTTAAAATATGCATGGTTAAAATATATATATATAAATCGATTTTAAAAAGACAAGAAAAGTTAATAGAAAATTTTCAATTATTATATTCTAAAATACCAAAAAATAAATTAATAAAAAATTAATGAATAATAGATAAAAATAATAGGAAAATTATATACTCTTAAACTAATCACTAAGTCCTCAATTCCTTCAAATATACGAAAAAATAAAGCTAGTTTAATTTTAAGTAATCCATCTTCCAAGCTTAGTTTAATCAACATAAAGTGCTGATATAATCTAATAACTATTCGGTTGTATAGGAATCCGAAAATTACTTTCTATTCCAAACCAACCGCCAATATAAAAAGCGATAGATCATAATTGCATACCTATATTAATAATATTTTTAAAGTAGAAATAAAATCCTGTATTAATAAAAGAAGCTATTTGGTGCCTGACAAATATAGCATCTGGGAATTCCCAACAAACCGAAAAAATATTCGAATAAGGTGTGATCTCAATCTTATGTAAAATTCTGGAAGAAAATATTTTTATTGATATTATTGAATAAGTAATATGGGCTTTAGGCAATATTTCGGCAGATTGTAAATTATATAGGAATAAAATTTTGGAATGTGGAGCTTAAAAAAAGTTGATTGAATTATTAAAATTATAATAATAAAATAAAGGTAATCTTATAAATTTGATTTCTTGGGTTCTTTCGAATTTATGTGTAGGAAATACGAATTATGAATTTGAAGATTTATATTTTGTCATAGAGCCCTTTTGTAAAATAATTTAATAGGAAAATGATATTGAAATTATTGGAAATTGCTTAAAAGCCTTAAGTTCTTTGAGTTTAGGTGAAAACAAAAAATAGAATTGCTTTTGGGTTAAAATTTTATTAAGCAACTTATTAAAGTTTTAAAGTATAATGAAATTTCTATTTTATTACCTACAATGAGGATATTGGGAAATATATGTTCCGGAAGTAATGAATAGATGGAAATAGTATTAAAATAAGGAATTTTAACAAAGCTTTTTTAATTACTTTTTCACTAAAATAAAAAAGTTTAAATTGAATGTTGCTGGATTTTAAGTAATATAGCAGCAGGAAATTCTGATTAAGTGTCTAAATTAATTAGAAATAAAAAATATTTAAAACTTATATTTAAATAAGCTAATAATTAAGATTTTAAAATATAAAATGAGGCGAATTGGATTATTATAAATTGCAGTGCTTAAGCTTCTACAGAAGATATTAAAAAAATGGTTAATGCAGGGCTAATAAAAGTTTTAATAAATATTTTAGAAAGTTCGAAAAATTTAGAATGTATTATTGATTCTTTAGATTCAATATATAATGTTTTGAAATCTGGATTCAAAGTTTTTAAATAATAAAATAAATTTTTAAACGCTTTCATATAAGAAAAAGGAATTTAGGCACTATAAAATCTAATAGAGTAAAAGTATATTGATAAAAATATAAAACAATTGGTTTAAAATATAAAGTAATTAATAAAATGAAAAAAAATAAAAAATAATATAAAATAATTAAAGAAAAAAAATTAATAAAAAAAATATTAATAATAAAATTATATATTAAAAATAAAAATAAATTTAAATATGTATTTATAAATATTTATATATTAATATATATATATATATATTTATATATATATATTTTAAAATATATATATATTTAAATTATATATTAATTTTTATTTTTATAAAGAAAATGATTTTTCAATTATATTTATATTTTTTTATATTAATTTTTATATTACAATAAATATTAATATTTATTAATTTATAATTATAATTTCAATTATTATTTTATTTTAAATAATATAAAAATATTTCTATAATTTTTTATTAATTTTTAATATTAATTTTTATATTATAAATTTTTTTCTATATTTTATAATATTAATAAATACTTATTTTTATATACTAAAATAAATTATTAATTTTTGATATATAAATATATTAATATATATAAATATTAATATAATAAAAATATAATTTCATTTTATATATACATTTATAACTTTATATAAAATACAAGATAATTTTTTACAAAGATAAAATTAATTTATTTTTCTATTATATTTATATACATTTAATTTAATTTATATAAACAATTTAAATACTATAATTTTTATAATACAAAATTTTAAAATTGACTCATTTAATATTATTTTAACTAAACATATCATATTTTGTTTAAATAATTACTCACATTGTAGCTACCTGGTCCTAATTATAAATAATGTATATAATTTATTTATTTTATTTAAAATTTACCTGGAGTTTTTATTTATTTTATTTAATATCTTTGACTTGTTCCGAATCCCCATCTAGGCCCATTATTTTTATTTAATGTTTAACTTAAGTAATTCTAATCTAAATAGCAGCCTGGTCCTGGCATCATTTTTTTTCTTTTAATATAGGATTATAATTTCTATTGGCTCCTTTAAAAGTTATTTACTTTTATTTTTTATAAAAATACGATTTATTATATTAGAATTTTTATGAATACTTTAGCTTTGAAAATTTTACTTTAATTTTCATATTATCCAGGCCCAGGATTATCTTTAATTTCATTATAAAGTGGTTTTCTAATATCGTTCCCAAATCTTAATGATTATGTAGAAGATCTGCAAGCATCTATATTTGGGTTATAATTTCCTGGTCCAGGCATTTTATATTTTATATTTTCACTACACTTGTTTTCGCTTCCGAAACTATTATTAAATTATTAAAATTAATTTATTTTTTATTTTATAATTATTACATATATTTAGGTCCTTTAGATTTAATATTCAAATTATAAAAACCTGGACCTGGAATACTTCCTGAATAATTACTTATCATTTAGTTTCTGGAAGATCCAATAGTAATTCCTTATTATTAATGTTATAAATAAGGACTTTTAATTTATTAATATTGACCAGGTCCTGGAGTTTATACACTAACAGAACGATCTTTTTATCTTTGAGCAAAAGTAAAGTTTTTCGAAAAAACTGAAGATTTTAAAAGCGGCTAATATTCTATTTTTATTTAAATAATTTCGTTAAATTTATTTTTATTTTATTACAGCCTGGACCTGGTAAATTTTCTTTTGAATAATTTTGCTCTCTATTTTATTTAGGAAATGATATTTTCAGTTTTTAAAAATCTTTTATATAATATTCTGTAGGACCTGGATTACCTAAATTTGTAAATTAAATTTATTATTTAGTTCTTATAGAAAATTTTGGACTTTGCTTATATATAATTTTTGTCGGATAATATTCTCCTGGACCAGGTACTTTTAAAATTTTTATTAATTAATTAATTATTTTTATTGAAAAAAAAAAAAACTAATAAATTATATATAGGCATATATATTTAAAATATTAACAATAATTTTAAATTTTTACTTTGTTCTAAATGATTTTTTGGTTTTTGAGAAATAGGAAATTTTATCATTTAATAACTTTTTTAATTATAGCTTTCATTTTAATAACTTTTATTATTATTTAAAATATTCAGTTATTATTTTTTATTTATAAATTTATATACTCTGCAGGACCAGGTCCAATAATATTTTAACTCAAAGACCTTAATGAAGTTCCAAATCTTTTTTAAATGTATTTTTTATATATTTTTTATGATTTTAAAATACGTCCATTTTGGGGGTGTTATAAATTGCATTTTTTCTACTTTATATTCTTATGGACTCTTTTTTATTTTTAATAATAACAAAAATAAAGTTTTATTATTAATGAATATATGAAATTAATACAGGATTTAGATAATTATTTCTAGTAAAATCACCTAATAATATAATAAATATATCAAAATTATAATAATAAAGGTTTTACTTCTTTAAGATGTTCCAAAAATAACATTTTTAGACATATAAATGTTTAATTAAATAGTTAAAAATTAAAAAAATAATTAAATAAAATATTTAACAAAAATTAACAATAATATATCATAATAAAATTAATTAAAATAAATATATATTTAAATATATGTGTATATTCCATTTTTCTATATTAATATATAAAATTGTCTATATATATATATTATTTATATTTAATATAATTAAACAAATACAATTAATTAATATTTTAATTTACTAAAGTTATAATAATTAAATAATTAATAAATTTATATGTAAAAAACTTTTTCATTGCAAATATTAAATATAAAAATAAATTATTAAGATTCGTATCATTTAATAAAATAAAATATAGTATTTATAATTAAATAAAATGTTTTTAAATATATTTATAATTAGAAAGAACATTTATTTATTTTATATAAAATTATTTTTATTTGAAGAATGTACTAAATTAAAATAATTATATATTCTTGAAAATATTTAATTATTAATTAAAAAATCAAATATAATAATATATATAAATAAATATACTTCTATAAAATATATATAATTTTATTTATATTTTTTTTAAAAAAAAATAATAATAATTTTATTAATATAATATTTATATTTTTTATTATATTTCATAATATTTTTTCTATATCCTATATTTAAATATACAAAATAATACTTTTATATTATATATATTATTTATTATAAAAATAAAATATATTTAATAATTAATAAAAGAAAAAATTTAATAGATACAAAAAATATAAATTATATTAATTAAATAATACTTTAAAAAAATAATTTGTTTCTTATTTTAATAACTTAATATATTATAATAACATGAAGTATGTATATAATTTAATAAAAATATTAAACAAGCAAAAAATAAATACAATTTTCGAGTTATTAAAATAAAATAAGATATAAGAATTTATAATATTAAATATAAGCTGATAATTCTTTAAAATAATATTAATATAATATATTAAATTAAGAATATAAAAAAATAATTATTTAATTTGTAATTACATATTACATAAGAATTAATAATTATTGGGATAAGTTATGTAATATTATAAATAAAAATAAGTAAATAAAAAGCTGAATAACTAATAGTTTAACTATATTTTAAAATAAATTATTACAAGAAGATGGATATACAAAAAAAATTATTAAAAATATAATATAAAAATTATTAATAAATTAAATATTATTTATTAAAACAGGTTTTTATTCTTTTATTTAAATAATTTTTTAAATTAATATGATATATAGTATGATATTAAATAATTATAAATATTAATATATATATATATATATATTTTTTTTTTTAATTATAATTAATTTTTTTTATAATTCTTAATTTAAATATAAAGAAAATATGTATGTTTTTAATTTATAAAATGTTATTTTTAAATAAATTATAAAAAAAATTAAAGATTTATAAAACTTTTATACATATTATTATAAAATATTTTTTAGGATTTTATTAAGTAAATGTATATTTTTTAAAAGAAACTTGACAATAAATTTAAAAATAATTTAAATAAAAGGAGAAATTGATATTTATTTAAGGTAATAGATTATAAAATTTTATTATATACATAAATAGTTTAATTATATATTAAAATTATATAAAAAATGGAATTAATAATAATGTCTTGATTAATTATTATTGTTTTATATTTAAAAGAAAATATATATATTACTATAAACTTATTAAATATATATATAATAAATTATTTAAATTTGAATATAATTTAAAAAAAAAAAAATTAGATTCAGAAAAAAATATTATTTATAATTCTATTATTCCGTATTTGTTTTTGCCTTAATATAAAATAATTATTAATTTTAAGATAAATGTTAGAATTATATAAATTTCATTTATTAAAATTAATTTTGTTTTATTTAAGAAAAAAATAAATAAAATATTATTTTTAATTTTATATATATTTATCGTAAAAATAATAATAAAAAAAATAAATATATAAACATAAAAATTTATATTTATTTTATTTACATTAAAAAAAATATGTAATATTAAAATTAAACAGAATTTGTATCATACCCTGAATGGAAAGGAATTCACTCAAATAAATTTAATTATGGAAAACGTAAACATATATACCCAAAAAACTAATTAGATGGGCTATTTGCATTAGATTTACCAATTTTAGGCCGAAAACATTACTAATAAGTTAACTCTAAATCATTAGAATATAAACCAACATTTAAAGTATTTCCTAATATAGTAAATAGGGAGTCAAATATATCAAAATCACCATTAAATTTTAAAAACATAATATATATTCCAAAAATATTAACAAATAAATTAGAGTATGGAAAAATTAAAACTGCAAAATAATAATTAGAATAGTAGAGTATTAAAAACAAAAAAAATTATATGATTAATAATAATAAATAAATCAAAATGATAAAAAAATATAAATTAATTTTAAATAAAGAGAATATTTGAATGAAATTAAAGAAAATAGAAGATAATTTGATGAATTAGATTAATGGGAATAAAATAAATAATAATAAAATAGTAAATGAAAATAAAAATAAATATATATAAAAATGTGAATTTATAAAATTACTTTAAATATATGTAAATAAATAAAAATAAAAAATAAAATATAAAAGTATAAAAAATTAAAAATATAAATAAATATATATAATAAATATATTTATAAAAAATATATATATATTTATATATATATATTTTTAATTTAATATAAATATAATATATATGTAAAATGTATTTATAAAAATAAACTAACTAAATATCATTAAAACCTTTTCCAATAATCATTGTTTTTATTTTTTTCTTAAATATCAATATTCCACTTACCATCGTTTCCTAAAACTAGATGTTTACTCATTTAACACTCACTTAAATAAAGGAATAACCCCCACATCTTTGCCTTAAAAAGTCTCAAATATCCATGCTCTTTTTTACTTTCGAAAAGTGCATTTGATTACTATTTAACATGATTATATAACTCATATACTTTTTTAGTTTCTTTTTCACTTTAAACGAATATATTCAACTCATTATTGATTCTCCAGCTCCATCTATCATTGTTTAAAGATCCCAAAGTGAAATATTTATCATCAATAATATAAGCTTTCATATGCAAAAGTCTGTCAGTAATTTCATATACTTTACACCCTTCATCTGTTAGATTTTTCATTAAATTTTTATTCGATAATTTTTAATATGCGGGCTAATCTCGATTTTAAGAAGTTATAATTTCCACTTCGACGCCTCTTTATAAAGCTTTTATTAAATAATCATCGAACTCTTTCATTGGATAATAATATGGCTGAATAAATTTAATTCGAAATTTTGAATGGTTTATTTAGTTTATTATCTCGTCTTAAATCCCTCTGTTTTCTGGGGGCCATGTCCATTTTAAAATATGCTGAAAATCTATAAATTCACTATCAGGATATTTCTCGTCAAGCTCTTATACGGTCTTTGTGTTGTTATTATGATTAGAATTTAATATAATTCCATAGTAATCAGCTGTTCGTTTAAAATGTTAACGAAAAGCAGATAAACTTATATTTTTCATACAATAATTAACATCATAAAATGCATTTGAACCATATTTATGGCCTCCGTAGCATTCCTCTATATTAGAACTACCTATTATTGCGAAATTATCGACTATAAATAGCTTTTCATGGTGTCTTCTAAAGAATTCCTGATTACTTACGTTCTTATATAATTCGGACCATGTTGGATTTAAGGATTTAAATTGTCCACCAGCCTTTATTAATTATTATATAAGTTCTTTATTTATATTATTTTATAAATCGTCAACAAATAATACTACGTTTACTCCTCGCTTTTGGGCTTATATTAATTTTTTAAAAGTAAAATTTGAAGTTGGAGAATCATTAAATGCATAAGTTGTTAACCATGCATAGGTTTTTGCTTAATCTATATATGACCATAATGTGCGAAAATATTAATCTCCTTTTTTTTAAGATATATTATTTTATATTACATATGTATTTTTTAAATTTTATAAATGTTATTTTTTTTATATTATGCCTTTATATATTATCTGAGTATGGGGGAATAAAATGGGTTTAAATTTTTTATTTTATTCTTTTATTTTATTATTTACTTCTTGTTACTTTTTGAAAAATTAAATATTGAAAAATGTCATTTATTTATAATAAAAAAAATTAAATAAAAATAATATAAATTTTAATTTTATATATATTAAATTAAGCTATAAATTCTATTTTGATTTATCTAAATAAATAAAAATAAACTAAAAAAACAAAAAGATAAGTTGATTAAAATGTGATATAAAAAATATTGATATATAAATGAAATAAATAAAATATATAGAATAATAAAAAAAATAGATTATTGATATTTAAAAACGCAAAAAAAAATAAGATATATTATTATATTATAATTATTTTTTTGAAAAATAATTATTTTATTTATTTAAAAATAAATTATAAAAATATAATTCTCCTTACAAAAATAAATTCGCCAAATAATTATAAATTTTAATATATAATTTATCTTAAAAAAGAAAAAAATAAATATAAAAAATCTAATAATAATAAAATAAAAAAAATCTAAAAAATAAAATAAAAAAAAAAACTAAATAAAAAAAAAATGGATTAAAACACTCCGAAACAAGTGGAACTAATATTCAATGCTACTAAACTATAGGGCGGAACATCATAATAAGATCCTTACTTAAAGATATTCTTCATTGATAACGAAAACACTTATAAAGAATTAGGTGAAACTGAATTTTAAAAAAGGGATCCAAACCCAAAATGGGTAAAATCCTTTAAAATGGATTTTATTTTCTAAAGAAGATAAAATTTACGTTTCGAAGTATGGGACAAAAACACTATTTCTTCTGACAAGCTCATTGGAACTGCCGAAGCCACATTATCCTAAATAATGGCTGATTAAACTAACAACTTAAAGCTTTCTTTAACTGATTAAAAAAACAATCATGTAGGAGATTTATTCTGTAGAGCAGGAAACGTAGGAACAAACTGTGTATAATGGACTTGGGAGGGAATTAAGCTTAAAAATATGGATACCTTTTCCAAGAGTGATCCTTTAATGAGACTTTGGTATAAAGGCGATAACGAAACTTATGTTTATATTAAAGAAACTGAAGTCATTATGGATAATAATGATCCTAAATGGAAACGTTTTGAAACTTCTCTCAATCTTTTATGTAAAAATGACTTGAATAGATAATTCTATATAGAAGTTAAAGACTGGGAATAATCTGGAAATTACAAATTTATAGGAGAAGCTTATGTGTCCCTAGCCTGGATTATATAAAATCCTAATGCCTTAATTGAATTGAAAGATAAAGGAAAAATTAATGGACATTTAAAATGCTCCGATGTAAAATTAGTAAAGCCTGAATTTATTGACTTTTTAATGGGTGGATAGTAAATAAATATAATTTCCGCAATTGATTATACTGCTTCTAATGGAGAATATACAGACCCTAATTCTTTGCATTGTGCGGATTTGTCTAGAAACTAATATTTGACCACTTTAAAGGCTGTCTGTGATGTATTACTTGATTTTGATTAAGATAAGAAAATTTCTATGTATGGATTCGGTGGTGTACCTGAGTTCCCAAATTTTAAGAAATATGATACTGATCATTGGTATAAATTCTTTTATTTTTATAATTTATAAAATTTTATATAGTTTTCCTGTTACTGGAAATCCAAATAATGCTGAAGTAGGAGGAGTTGACGGAATAGTATAGACTTATTTAGACTCTCTTAAGTATGTAACTTTATGCGGACCTACTTTGTTCTCTGAAATTATACAAAAAAGTATGGAATATGCAAAAAAATAGTAAGATAATAACGTTTATACTATCTTACTTATCCTAACTGATGGTGTTATAGATGATTTGTAAGAATCTAAAATTTTGCTTTCTTAAGCTGGTGAATTACCTTTTTCTGTAGTAATTGTAGGTATTGGTAATGATAAATTTACTAGTATGAAGGAATTAGATGGACCTGATGTTAAGGAAATGACAGATGTTTAATACAAGAGAGATTGCTGCAATTTCATCAGATTCGCAGATTACAAAAAAGATAGCAAAAAATTACTCGAATAAATTTTAGCTGAAATACCATAACAATTAACTACTTATAAAAAACAACATAAATAATTTGTTAGATGAATAAAGAAAAAATCATAATTTTATTTTATTTTAAATATAAATAAATATTAATTATTTATGATAATAATTCTAATAATATTTTGTAGGATATTTTTTTTAATTAAAAATAAATAAAATTTGTTTATAAAAAAAAATATATAAATAAATATTTATAATAATAAATATAAAAATAAAATAAAAATGAATATTATGTATAAAAAAAAAATATATAATTATTATAAATATATATTTATTTATTTATTTATTTATATATATATAAATATATTTAATTTATTTTTTATAATTTTAATATATATTTTTTTAATATTTATTAATTTAAAAATAATAAATATTAGAAAATAACCAAATTAATATTATTTAATTTTTTTTTAGAATACAAATAAATTTTAATAAAAATAACCTTTTATTAAAAAAAATTAATAATTAATAATATAAAAATATATCAATCAAATATATAAATAATGATATAATTTTATATAAATATAACATAAATATTTATATATAATAATTTTTAAATATTATTTTTAATTTATTACTTTATCATTATATTTTTATTAAATATATTAAATTTTATCTTTTAAGTTAAAAATTTTATTTTATTAGAATTTATTATATGCTAAAATTATGCAAAAAAAATTATATTTTTTAATTTTTAAAATTAATATTATAATATTTCTAATATTTATTGTTATATAAAAACCAAAATAATTAATTTAATTAATATATGTTAAATTACAATATATTTATTTTATATTTCTAATTAAGATTATTTAATATATAGTTTTTTTAACAATATAAACATATATTATATATATTTATTATTATTAATATTTATAATAAATATGATTTAAAATAATTTACAAATAACTACAAAATTCATTCTTAAAATCAAACTTTTTTTTAGAATTAGATAAAAGCGTTACTTTTCAAGGTCTTCTAGAACTTTTGGGAATATATTGTATTTATTAATTTTATTAGCATTTATAATCTATTGATAAGGATATATTCTTTTGGAAATCATTTTAATCATCAAACAGTATTTTTTCTAATGAATCTTATGAAAAAAGCTTACCAAATTCGCTTTTAATATTCTTCAAGTTTATTTAATTTTATATCAAAACTATTTTTTTTTATTTAGATTACTCGATTAATTAGTCAAATCCTAAAGGAAACACAGTTTATTTTTTTTGAGCAATAGAATTTTAGGCTTTATAAGTAGATTTTTAATTTGGCTTTCTTCTTCTCCTTTAATAATTTGTTTAATCATTAATTTGTTCACAAAATGAGCTATTTAAACTTGAATTTTAGGTGTTTTTTTATTATTTTGATAAACTTTATTATGTAGAGTTTTAACTTTGAATTAAATTTTTCTAAGAATTTCGAATGAGAATTTATTTTAACATATGTTTTTATTATTTTAATTTTTTTTATTTTTTTATTAATTAATGTTTAAGAAATTAATTAATTGATTTTTAATAATGTTTATAATTTAAAATAATGTAATAGATTTTAATTTTCAGAAGTATTTTTTAAATTAAATATAACTAAATAAAATTTTAATATATATTTAAAAATAAATTTTATTTGTATTGATATAGTGATTTCGTTTATTTTTTTATATTCTTATAAAAATAAATAAATAAAAATACAAATATATTAAATTAAAAATATATATGTATTTTTAATTTATTTTTTTAAAAAATTGATTAATTATTATTTTATTTTATAAAAGTATTTATTGGATTAAAATTTTATTTATATATTTATTTAAATTAAAAATAAAAAATTAAAATATATATATATATATATATATATATATATATATATATATATACAATATTGATCATTAAATATAAATAAATTATTTAATAAAATTTATTAAAAAAAATAGATATTTTAAAAAATAAATATTATACACAGAATAAAATACAATAAATAAATAAATCAAAATAATTTTAAATTAAAGAAAAGAATTTTATATTTACGTTTAAAAATATATTAATAAGAAAAAAAAAATAATAAAACAAATAAAATGAACCTAAAACAATCCCCTTTAACTCCAGAAAAATCATCAGACCTTTTAAAAAAACAACACAGTCGAGCTCCCATATTATACTCCTCTCCGTCTGGAAAAGAACCAAAATATGTGTATAATAAAGCTTTAGATAGCGTCGCTTTATTAGGAAACGAATTCGAATAAACAGTAAAGGCATTCTAAAATGTATAAGAAGAGAAGCAATAATGGAAAGATTAATACACATAATTAAAAAATGTTTCTAAGAAATAAAGCGAATAAGACTAATAAATTATATAGAATAAAGAATTCTAGATAGAAAAATTATTAAGAGAAATAAAAAATTAAAAAGATGTTTTTAACGACTTGAAATTTAAGTATGATTTTTCTTAATAAAGGTTGAAGGCTTTAGAAAAAAAATGCTTATATTTTAAAGATTTATAGGAAAAATATGATTAATAATAAAATGCTATATATGAAAAAGAATAACAAATAAATACTTTTGAAAAATATTTTGAATAAATAAAAAGTTAAAATTCTTTAAATGAAATGGATAGTAATGAAAAAATAAAAAGTTAAGAAAAAAATAAAGCCTTAGGAAGTCAAATTGATAATCTTAAAAATTAAATTTAAGAATTTTAAAGTTAACTGATATAAAAAAATAGAATATTGGAAAGGTAAAACAACCAAATATAATAAATAAATAATAATAATAAATTACTAGAAAATTAAAATAATAATCTTAGTAAAATATTGAAAAATTATGAAAGAGTAATATAATATAAAATATATAATTAAAATTAAAAGATATAATTAAATTTATATATATTTAAATATATATAATATATATATATATATATATTTTTTTTATGTATTATTTATTTATATAATTAATTCTAAAAGCAAATAAATCTATTAAATAATGAAGTAAATGAAGTTCTTTTATAATAAGGAATTTAAATAAATAATTTTAATTCAAAAAAAAATGAAGAATACAAAGTTTAAAATATATCAAATAATATTACTGAAAATAACGAAATTTCTACTTATATAGATATTTCACAAAATTAAAATTTCGAATATTAAATCTAAAAAGAAAAAACAGATTAAAAAATTTAATAAAAAAATTTATAAAAAATAAAAAATACTGAACATAATAAAATAATAAAAAAAGATGAAATATATCAAAATTAATAAAAAAATTATATTATTAATAATAATTAATAAATAAGAAATAAATCTTAAACATAATAATAATTATCAATAATAAATAATTAATAATAATAAGAAAATTAGTAGATTAAATTAAGTATAAATAATAACAAAATTAAGAAAATTGAAAAATAACAGAAATAATAAGATATATATAAAAAATAATAATAATAAGAAATTAAACCATAATAGTAATAATAATAATAATAAAGTTAAATATAATAAATATAATAATAATAATAATAATAATAATAATAATAATAATAATAATAATAAAATCAATAATAATAATAATAAAATTAAGCTAATAAATAATATGATAGTATTATATAATCTAGTTCGTTTCATTATAATAATATTTCAAGCCAATTTTTGGTTTAAATTTGTTAGGGAGATCAATCTATTTTGAAGAAACTTTCATAAATAAAAGTAATATTATTTGAAAAATGTAATCTGATTGAATAATTTAAATTATAACAGAATTAATATTAACAATAATTATAAAATTAATTAAATTAAAATGAAGATTTATAATAAGATTTTGATAAAACTAAAGAAATACTACAAAATGTTAAAGATAATTTATAAAAAAACATAAAAGAAAACTAAGAAGACCTCGAAATTTTAAATAAAAATCACTTAGAATAACTGAATAAATTATAAATTGTAAAAATTATTTAAATATTATATAATTAAAATAAAAAAATAAGTAAAAAGAAGAAATTGAAAGCGAAAAAAAAAAATTAATAGAAGAAATTGTAAAACTAGAAAAAACTTTAAAAGAACTTGAAGGTATTTATGATTTAAAAATTCGAGAATCTAATTAAGAAAAGGAAGAAGCTTAATAATTCTGTGAAAAAGTACTCGAAGAAAAGGATAATTTAAGATAAGAATTTATCTAATTAGAAGAAAATTTCTTAATCGAGTAAAAAGAAAAATCCCAAATTTAAAAATAAAATGAAAACCTTTAAAATAAAATCGAAGTTCAAGAAAGAGACTTAGACACTTGGAGAATTAAATATAGGTATTTAAAGAAAGAAATTAGTGGATTAAAGGGTTAATTTTTTAAATATAAATAGTCGGTTTTGTAAGAAATATAGTCTTAATTTAATTCGAAATCATACGATTTCTAGAATTTAATTAAGAATATTAAAAAAAAATACTACGAATTGGGTGATTCGTAGATTTCCTCTACTAGGGATATGATTATTTAATAGGATTAATAAGAAAATTAGGAAAATAAGGAAAATATGGTTAACATGGAAAATAATGAAAATATGTCAAATTATAAAAATTATAAAAATTATAAAAATTAAGAAAATTAGAAAAATTAGGAAAATTAGGAAAATTAGGAAAATTAGGAAAATTAGGAAAATTAGGAAAATTAGGAAAATTAGGAAAATTAGGAAAATTAGGAAAATTAGGAAAATTAGGAAAATTAGGAAAATTAGGAAAATTAGGAAAATTAGGAAAATTAGGAAAATTAGGAAAATTAGGAAAATTAGGAAAATTAGGAAAATTAGGAAAATTAGGAAAATTAGGAAAATTAGGAAAATTAGGAAAATTAGGAAAATTAGGAAAATTAGGAAAATTAGGAAAATTAGGAAAATTAGGAAAATTAGGAAAATAAGGGAAATTAGGAAAATAAGGGAAATTAGAAAAATTAAGAAAATTAGGAAAATAAGGGAAATTAGGGAAATTAGGGAAATAAAGAAAATTAAGAAAATTAGGAAAATCAGGGATATTAGGGAAATTAGGAAAATTAGGGAAATTAGGGAAATAAAGAAAATAAGGAAAATTAAGAAAATTAGGTAAATTAGGAAAATAAGGGAAATTAGGAAAATAAGGTAAATTAGGAAAATAAGGGAAATTAGGAAAATAAGGGAAATTAGGAAAATAAGGGAAATTAGGAAAATAAGGTAAATTAGGAAAATTAGGTAAATTAGGAAAATAAGGGAAATTATGAAAATTAATCCCAAGGAAATAGTTATAAAAATAACACCTTTGACGAATTAGATGCTTAAAAATATGAAGATGATTAGTTTTAGAATGATTTAAAACAAAAAATTAACTTTTCTAATAATAATAATTAAGAAAACAGTTAGAAATTTTAAAATTTTCAATCCGTGAATAATAATAATTCTGGTTAGTTTAATTAATTTTTATAAAATAATGATTCTTAACACAGTTATTAAGAAGAAAATAATGATTATGATGATGATTAATAAAATGAATAAGAACATTATGATGATGAATAATAAGAAAATTATGACGATGAATAATAAGAGCATGATAATGGTGATGACGAATAATAATATTATGATGATGATGATGAAAACAATTAATAAGAAGATGAAGAATAATTAGAAGAAGAAGATTTATAATAATAATAGGATTATGATTATCATTAATAATAAGAAGATGATGATTATGATAATTAATAATAATAAGATGAAGAAGTTTATGACATTTAAGATGATTATAATAACTAATAAAATTATGAAAAAATAGAAAAATTATAATAATAATATGAAAATTATGATAGCTAATGCAATACTTAATAAATTTAAGAAAAGAGTGAATAATATATAAATTAGAAAAAAGATAGTTATGAATTATCTATTTTAAAAGAGAAATATGAGGAAGCTTTTGAAAGAGTAAAAAATGAATATGAAGATTTATAATAGAATTGATATAATATTTTTATTTTATTTTTAGAAATTAAAAAAAATTTTTTTTTTTTTTTTTTTAATTTTTTATATAAATAAATAATATCTTTTTTTAAAAAATAATTTAATTTTACTCTAAAATAAGTATCTTTTTTAAAAAGAAAATATTATTTATTAGTTTACTAAATAATATTAAAAATTTTTTAATTAAAATAATAATTAATTCAATATAAAAAATATAATATCCATGTGAAAAAAAATAAAAATATTTAAAGAATAATTTTTAGATAAAATAAAAATAACTAAACATAATTTTATTTTATTTTAATGAATTAAATACGTAAGTTTAATAAAAAAAATATTTAAAATTTTAGTTTGCATTATTTTTATAATAAAATCAATTTATATTTAAAAATATATGAGAATATATTTATGTTTATTAATTTTTTAAAAAAAATGTCTTAAAAAAATATTTAGTTTAATTATATTATAACTTTATTTTAACTTATTTGTTTGTTAAATATATTTTCACATAAATATAATAATTTTTTGTATTAAAATTATTTAAAATTTAATTTTTTTTTTACATAATTAAATATTGTTGAATTATTAAACCATGCTAATTAATCTTTAATAAAATATAGAAAATAGGAAAAAAGTAAAAACATATTAAGATAAATGAAAGAGTAAAAAATACTCCTATTCCTTTAGAATTAACAAATAAATTAATATAAAAATAATAAACAATATACTAATATACATAAATATAAATAAAAACGTTTTGAAAATATCTTTTATTAAACCTTATGTTTTTAAAAAATAAAAAAAATTAAAAAAAAAATAAAAATAAAAAAATATAAAATTTTTCTAATATTATAAAATAAAATAATTTAAATAACAAAATCTAAAATTTTATTTTTAATAATAATCTATTTTTATAATTTTAAAAAGTAATTAAATTTATTATAATAATTTAAGATTTCTATTATTAGTTTTTTTATTTAAATTTATATTTTAATAAAGTAATAATATATCTTATTTTTAATTATAAATTAATAAAAAATATTAACTTATCGACTATCTAAGGTTTTTAAAAAATAATTATATATTTTTTTTTTTAAAAAATATTTTTATAAATTAGTTTTAATATTAATAACTTTTATTGATATTTTATCATAGTAAATAATATTAAGTATTTTTAATTAAAATGTATTAATATATTTCCTTTGATTATAAGTAATTTTATTAAAAAAATAAATATATTAATAATAAATTTATAATATAAAAATTATATAAATTTAAAAATCTATATTTTTAAATAAAAAATGTCTAATTTTATAATTTTTTTTTTCTAAAGTAAAAAATTTATCATTATTTATATGAGTTTTATTACTTATTAAAATTTATTGAATTTGATATTTTTTTTAATTCAAAAATTATTAAATAATATTATATTTATCTCCTTGTTAAAGGTAATTGCTTTACTACAATGAATAAAATTCATCAAATTTTATTTTTATTTTTACTACAATACTTTTACGTAAAGAGTTTATCAAAATAATTATTTGACTTTTTACAAGATTATTTTAGCTAAAATCTTCTTTAATCGTTAATTTTTATTTAATAAGGTTTTTAAGAGCCATTAACCAATTATCGACTAAAAAAAGGATTGCATATTTCATGATAATTTTATTATTAATCTTAAAATTAAAAGGTTGAAAACTATTATTATTTAAATTAACTTTTTTGATTTATTTAATCTGATAAAAAATACAAGCTTAATAATTTCTTTTTAGGCGTTCTGTTATTATTATTATTGAATAAATCGTCTTTTTTTGGAGTTTCTTAAATTTGATTTGTTGAGTATTTCTCATTACTTTTTTATAAAATGGCATTTTTTTTTTATTTTTCTTTTTAGTTTTATTTCCTTTTTTATAAATTTTAGCTTTTATAATTTCTAAGTAAAAAATTTGGTTAAAATTCTTATTATTCTTCTTATAAATTTTATTAACTTAAAATTGAAAATTATTTAGATTTTTATGTATTATTTTAAAATAGACTATAATTTTATTTTTATTTTTAAATTTCTTTTATTCTTTTCTATATCCATATATCTTTGTTTAGCTTAACATTAATTTAATTATTTTAAATTTTATCAGTTTCTTCCATATAAGTCTTTTTTTTATAAAATAAAAATTAAAAAAAATGAATATTAAATATATGAAACAATAGTTTAAAGGGAAAAAAAATTACTTATAAAATTTATAATGGTAGTCTATAAATAATAGCTTAAGTAGATATACATTAAGCAGAGGAGTCTCTAAATTATTTTTTATTAATTAATTCTTCTAAACCAAAATAAGAATTTTAAGATAATACACTTATTCTTAAAGTATTTTATAATTTTTAATAAGCCTTTGCTAATTTTTATTCAATAAGTTATTCATCATATATTTTATTTTAAATTATATTATTTTAATTTTCTAATTTTTTTGTTAATTCGACTTCTCCTTCTTTTAATAAATAAATGTCTTTTATTTATTCTCCTTCTTTGTATAAATATTTCTCTTTTTGTATGTTTTCTATTTTAAAATACATTAATATACTCATAATTTTATTATTAGGAATCTAACTAAAAAACCAATATTATTTAATAAAATTTATTTTTTCAAGTATTTTTTGTCTACATAATTCTCCTATAATCTTATTAAAACCATTTTTAGATATAACTATTAAATGAGTATCACTTTTACATATCATAGTAGCAGTCCTTTATAAAAATTTATAAGATTATATTTTTATTTATATTATTTTACCTTTTAGCTTCTGTATATAATGCTATTTCTCCAAAGGCTTACCATTATTTATATATTTAGGCAATTTTTTGATTTTGAAAAAAGTTATTTACAAATTGATCTTCAGATTAATCTTAATTATAATTATTTAAAGATTGTTTAATAGTTTTATTATCAATATTATTTTATTCTTATTATTCTATTAAACACCAGACTTCTCCTTAGTTTTTTATAAAATCAATTATTATTTTTTATAAAAAATTAACCTTTTATTATTATATAATATGCTTCTCCGTAATCTCCTTAATAAAATATTGCTATACGAAGTTATTACAATTTATAATGAATTTCTCTAAAGAAGAAATTTAAAACTGATTAATTTTCAAAAATTTCTTAATTATTTTAAAACTCCCCAATATTGGAAATTATGTTTTTGATAAACTATTTTTCTTTTTAAGTTTTTACTTTTTTTTCATCACGTCTATCATTACCTATTATATTTCTATTTTTTTAAAAACAAAAAATTATTTATTGTATTTTATTTATACATCATCAATATATGGTAGGCTAAAATCTATTTTCATTAAATCTATAATTTTATAATATATAAGTTTGAAATTTATATCTTCAATCTTTATTAGTTTATTGCCGTCACATCTTTTAAATTATCTAATCAATATGTTATCCAATAATTTTTTTCATTATTAAATTTTCTAATAAAAATTTATAATTTTTTTCTTTTCTTAATTTTTAAGAAATATACTAGTAAATAATATAATAATTTACAAATTAAGAAATACAAAACAACAATTTTTTGGATTAAATACATATATTTTTTTTATATAATAAAATTCATAAAAAAAAATAAATATTTTAAAAAAATATATGTTTTTATTTTGATAAATCAAAACATATAAAAAAGGAAAACATATTTTATGTTAAAAACAATTCAAATTTTATTTAATATATATTAGATAAAAGCTTTTATTTATTTTAAATATTTTTTCTTTTTTCCAAAGATAAACTAGATAATTGTTTTATATATAAATTATAAAATAAAACCTTAATTATATCATTAATTAAAATTAACAAAAAAAAATATGAGAATATAGAAAAATTAATAATTAGACTTAAATTGATTTTATTATAATTTTGTTTGAAAATTTAGTTAAGATTATCATTTATGATTAATTTTAAAAATAAAAAAATCTTAGTTTTATTTTCTAATTATCTTATAATAATGAATTTAATTTTTTTTGATTAATTCGAAATTATTAAACACCATTGTATATATGCATATATATATTTACTTTAAATATTAAATTCCAAAAAATTATTTAGAGATTTACATCTATCCATATTATATAAATTTACACATAACGACATATTTCTCAACATAGTAGCACAGAAACTATTAGAAATAATAATAATAATATATATATATATATATATATATATATATATTATATGATTTTAAATATATAGATATATATCTTTTTTTTATTTATTAGTTCCATTATTAGTTTATTATCATTATCAAATCATTATTTTAGAACTTTAACTTTATTAAATTATTTATTATTATTAATTTAGACTGCTATAATTATATCATTTATAGGATTTTTAATATTTTCTTAATTATGCATTAATATAAGATAATTTATGACTATATTTAATAAGTAATTAATCAAACATACATATTTTATCTTACTTATATTCATATAGATGATACACTATATTCATCTTTTAGTTTACCAGTAGTTTTTTATTTTATTTATTCGCACATTTATTTCCTAATATTCTTAGTTTAAGCAAATATATCCATTTAGTTATTAATTTACTTAATTATTTTAAACATATAGTTATTTATTTAAGTTTAATATGTTTTCTATATTTAATTTATGTTTATTTTGTTTAATTTTCTAATATTTAATTAAAAATTATTTCATTAATTAGTTTTTATTATATTATAACTAATTATTCTAGTTGTTCTATATTTTTATTAGATAAAATTTCTTTTAATTTTTAATTCATTGATTTTTGTAATATAGTTTAATTTTTCTGAATTTTTATATATTTTATTAAGTATAATCCGATAGCTTAGTTTTATTGAGCTATAATTTTGTTTTTCTTTTAATAACTAATTATTTTCTTGTTTTTATTTATATTTAGTTCAAATATATTTATTAATTATAATTATTTTTTAATTAATTAATATTTGATATAACAAAAATACCATGTTTGTTTTTTTTTTTAATTTTCTATAGATGAAAAAAAAAATTATTATTATTTAATTTTTTCTTAATTTTTATTATTAATGTTTTTTTCTTTACCAAATTTGGTTTTATATATTATAACAAATATTTGCTTTTTTATTTTATTTTTAAAATAAAAATTATTAAATACTGTTTACCATAAAAATTATTTAAAATGAATTTAAAGAATATATGTATATTAAAATTATAAATTATATAATTTAATATTTAATAAAATATTTTTATTTAATAAGACAAAACTTATAACTTTTTTATAAATAAGATATATTATGAATAATTAATTATATTAATATTTAAATATATAAATTATATAGTATTTTTTATTATTTTTAATAAGTATTTTTGATTTATAAAAATAATTAATAATCATAAAAAAATAAATATAAAAAAGTATAAAATTATTGAATATAAAAATAAATTATAATTAATAAAAAAAATATTTATATAAAATACAAAACTCTAATTAAAAATATATATTAAAAAACGCAAAAACATAAATTAATAATATTATTATTTTATTAATTTAACTCTATTGTCCTTTCTTTGTATTTTTACATAAATTATCTTTTTAAATTATACTTTTTACATTACAATAAAAAAATACTCCCCAGGTTAATATATTATTAGTTTCCCATTTAAATATTAAAATTTAAAACTTAAAAAACTGTACATAATTATTAAAATAATTGCTTTAATCCAACTAATAAAAATTTAAAACAGGAATATAAATATAATCTTCCTTAAAATCTTTTTTATTAATTAATTATTTTATAAAATTTAAAATTATAACTGTTGTTATCTTTTAATGATATATTAAAAGGAAATATTTTTCATATATTAGAGAGAAATATTGATATTATAATATAATATAATATATAATATAATATAATATAATATAATATAATATAATATAATATAAAAGTAAAATACAAACATAAACGTTTTATAAAATTAAAACATTTTTAAAATCTCAATTTTCTTAAATATAATTAAATATTTCAATTTCACATTTTTGAAGTTTCAAAATAAATCTTTTATATTTTATATTGAATTTAATACATATTTTTAAATATAAAATATAGTTACATAAAATATATTGTTATATTAACAAAATTTCCATTTTATTATGTGTAAATTAGAGTTAATTTGTTAACGTATAATCCTTAATGAATATCGCAAATAGTATATTTATGATATTTAAAATCATTATTATATTATTATATTTCTTGTTAATTTTCATTACATCATTAATAAATCCTTAATAATTGGATTTAAATTTAAAAAAAAAATATTTTTAATAATATTAATACAATATAAATAACTATTAATTTTAAGATAAATAAATTTAGAAATAAGTAAGATTGTTATTATTGATTGTATTTTAATTCTAAATTTAGGCTTAATATTTTTTTATATTTGATATTTTCATATTTTTAAATGATTATAAAATAATTTCATAATAAATTTTAAAAATAATATATATTGTTAATTTGAGTAATAAATATTTGTTGACTTTTTATAATTTTCATTTATATATATATATTTAGAAACAAAATAATAGTATTTAATACTTAAAATTTTAATAATAAAAATAATATTAATATATACACATATTATTTAAAATAATTATATTTTTAAAAATTATATTATTATATATAAATATATAAATATATAAATATTTATACATATATATAATTTTAAAAACATTATGTTTTTTTCAATTTTTAAAAAAAACTATAATAATATATATATATAAACATTTTTATTATAAATATGAAGTAAAATAAATTTTCTAAATCACAAAAATGATTTTTTAATAGGTATATAATTCATAGTATTTTAAGAGTTTTTATTTATATTAGTCCTTTTAATATTATAATTTTTTTAAAGATTATCTTTAAAAAAATAAATGTAAATATTATATTAATTATAGTATTTTTTTATTTATAATTATAATGTTTTTAAAATAAATTATATTTAATAGATTAAATAAAATAAATTATAAATATTTATGTTAAGTAATATTATAAAATAAAAAATAAAACAATTATCATATTATTAAATAAAATAAATGAAAGGAAACAAATTTATTTTAAAAAGAATATATCTTGAAAGAAATATGGAAAGAGAATATTAAAGTCATTAAAAAAGATTAGAAAATATAAAAAATAAACCTTCAAATATAAAATAAAAAGTTTAATATATATAAGGTTTAGAAGAGACATCTTTTTAAAACCATTTTAAAGCCATAAAATTTTCAAATTTTGTTAAATAAAAATCGCAGTTACAAAATGATAAAACATTAATGAAAAATCTTTTCGAAATTACTTCTTAATCTAATATACCTAACTTTACAAATACATAACGTTAAACTAAATTAAATAGTGTATAAGACAATAATAAAGTTAATAAATAGATTACATTGAATGATGGATAAAATTAATTATAATCTTAAAAAAAAAGTTATACAATATCCTAATTTTAAAAAACTAAAAAGAAAGGTTTTTTTTATTTTAAAAAAAAAATAATAACATTTATTTAAATATATATATAAAAATAGGAAAGCATTCATTAGGATAAAAAAGAGAGTTATAAAGGATTTTCCTCGAAAATTTAAATTTAGCAAATAGAATGATTAGCTTACCTCCTGTAATATAAAATAAAAAACTAAAAGAAGATTACAAAAAAAATAGAATTTTTAGCAAAAGTATAATACGCTTCCATAATTTATAATAAAAATAAGACTTCAATCATCTAAAATAAGTTAAAAATTAACAATAAGAGAAGCGAAAATTAACAATTGAATTTGATTAAAAAGATTAGAATTTAATGAATTAAAATATCGAGGTAAAACTTCAAATTTAGCAAATTTAATTTATTCATTTTCTGCCTTTAAATAATAATTCAGAATCATATTATTATTTAATAACTTAACCTAATAATAATATTATTAAAACTGAACCAGAATCATATAATATTTTTTCTAAATAAAATATTGACTAAATTTACAAAGTAGCAGACATTCTAAGCAAAAAAACTATTTTTATAGGATTATATTAATCAAAAAATGGTAAAGATAATTTTTTAGGCGATATATAAATTGATTTAAAACCCTTTATTTTGGAAGGAGTTTAAAATAAATAAATTGAAGCTTAACTTAGAAATTTTAAAGAATTAAATTAAAGCCCTAACCATTAACCAACTGATATGAGAAAAAAAGGAACTTTGGTAGCTAATTTAACAGTAGTTTCGAATATAAAAAAATAAATTGATTTAAAAGGCCAATAATAATGAAAAAATTCATTATTTTTATCAAATAAATTTATTATTTTTTTTAAATAAATTAGTTTAATATTTATTTTTATTTATTATTTCATTTCATTTAAATAAATTTATTTTTAAAAAATAATTTTTTAATTTTATTATTAAAATTATAAAAATGTATTTAATTTATATTAAAATAAAACTTATTTATTTATTTTCATATATAAAATTTGTGTATAATTAAATAATAAAACAAATTTTTATTCTTTCCTTTATGAAAATAACACTCTAATAAATTTTATTAACGAATTATTAAGCATATTTATCCAAAAATTAATTAAAAAATATATTTTTTCAGTTACAAAAATTAGAATTAATTCTCTTTAATCGTTATATTATATGCCTTTATTTAAATTATTTCATAATACAACAAATATGAAATATAATGATTAAAAATTTATTTTTCATATTTAAAAGCATGATATTTATTGAATTAAATGAAAAAATTAGAATATAAAAAATATAAAGTAAAAAGTAAAAGAGTTAATAAATAAATTAATAATTAATTATTAGAGAATATATTTACATATTATCATATGTTTCGTTATATGAGTTATAATGTTCTTACACATGAACTTTGTAATTTATATTCATTTCGAAAAATATAGATTAATTTTAAAATTAATTATTTTTGAAATAAAATTCATATTAAATTTATGTAATAATACTATAGTAATTAATTGTTTTTAATTTTATTAATAAAAACTATTTTTTACAAATATTATAAAGGTGATATAGTTTATATTGATTGAAAAATCTGTTTGTCTTCTAGATAAAGTAAAAAAAATTAAAAAATTGTAGATTTTAAAAATGTTTAATTTCTTATTTATTTTCATTTAAAAATTTTTATTATTTTAGATTTTATTAAGTTGTTAATTTTTAGACTAATTATGTATAATAATAAGTTAATAGAATTTATAAATTTTTACAAATTAATAATTTATTTTAATTTTTTATTTGTTTTTTTTTTATTTTCTTTTTAAATTATATTAATATTTAAATAAATATAATTTTAACATTTTATTTATGAAACTTAAAAGCAACAAAAATTTTAAATAAAAAATAAGTATTATTAAAATTATAAAAAAAATAAAATATTATATTATTTAATTAATTAAAAAAGAAAAAAATGAATTCATTTATGTAAAAAGAAAAAACGTATTTAATAAGTTCTCCAAGATCAAAAGCAGATGAAATTTTTGATGAATTCAATTAATTTAGACAATAATTACAAAAGAAAGCGGAAAACATAAATCCTAAATAATTTGTAAGAGAAACATATTCGCCATAAAAATAAAAATAGTTGAATTATTCTCCTTAAAAATCCCAAAAACTTTTCTAAAATTTAGGTAAAAATATAAATTCTAATTTTTAAAATAGAGAAAACAATTCACCTTAAATACTCAAAAGTAATACTTTATAAAACATAAAATTATAAGAAGCTAAAAATTTATTAAATACAATAAGTTCCCAAAATAGAAAAAGAAGCCCATTAAGTTATGTAAAAATAAACTATTAACCAAGTAATAACAATAATATTTAGTAACTGCTTTAATAAACAAAACAAAGAATTAAAAATAACACAATGAATAGTTTATTAAGCAGTCCTAAAACTAATAGTTTACTTTCAAACAAAAATAATTTAGATTTTTTAAATATTAAATATAATAATTCTTATTTAAAAAATAATTAAGTTAAATCTTCATTATAAGAATTATATAATTATTTATAAAATGTATCTTAATAGGAATTCAATTAACTTAATTAACATTAAATTGACTAAATGCTTAAAGTTGCAAATATGATTACATAAAAAGTAAAGAATTCAAATTTTTATAACAAATGCCAAATATGAAATATTTATAAAAATAATTTATTTAAAGCAATATTTGAAAATAATAAATAGAAAATATTCGCTTTATTTTATATTGTTATAATTATATTTTTATTAAATATAGAAATCTTTATTTTTTGAATATATAATTTTTTTTTTGTTGTGTATAAATAAATAATAAATTTAAACTAAACATTTAATATAAATCTCTTATAATTAAGAGTTATATAGTATTTTGTTTTAGAAATTTTTAAACAAAGAATTTTATTTTAATTCAGATTCCATATTAATTTTTTATTAAATATATGTATCTTAAAATTGCTTCGGGATTATTCTTACATTATAATGCTTATTGAAACCCCTATAAAATATAATTAAAAAATATTTTTTATAAAATAGATAATATTATTACATTATATATAAAAAAAAAATTATAATATTAAATAAAAAAATATTTTTTTAAATATATGAAATATAATAATAGAATATTTACTTATTCGGCTTGTTTAAATTATATTGCGTAATCAATTTGTCCATTATTTAATAGTTGGAAAACTTTATTTTCTTAATTTTATTTTTAAATTAATAATTTAATAATATAATAAATAAATGATTAATACAATAAAAAGTAATTATATCCTGTTTATATTTATTAATTTAAAAATCTATTTGTGAATTACTCATTTAAATAAAATTTTGTTAAATAGAACTTTGATTATTTAAACTATAATTTTTTTATAAAATAATATTTTAGCTTGTTTCTATATATTCTTAATCAATAAAATTTTAGTTTTGTTCTTTAATATTTGGGGATTTAGAAAACTAAAATAAATATTTTTATTAATAAAAAATTAATTTCATAACTTTACTTCATTTTATTTATCTATTGTTTATTATTATTTGTTTTCTATAATTTATATTTTTTTTTATTTTTCTTGTTCCAATATTTATTATTCTTTAAGTTTTTGTTTTTATTGTTCTTGTATTTATTATAATTAATATTTACAATATAATTTAGCGTATATTTCTGCTCTTATTTTTTTATTTTTTCAAAAATAAAAATAATTTTTTAAGTGTAAGAAATATTATATTTATTTAACCTTTTTTCAATATCATCATATGTTAGTTATGTTTAAGAATATAAATAATAATAATTTAAAGATTTTATCTCAATTTTTTTTAATCTTTATTAATTAACAAGTTTATACATATAATCGCTATCTTAGTTTAATTCGCATTTTAATAAAAGTCCGTTACAATTGTTTTCATTTACTTAATCTTAATTTTCTTATGACGGCCATATTTAGTATTAGTTTATTATTTCTTAAGGAAGCTTATGCGTATATTTTATTTTTAAAACCTTTTATGAATATTTTGTAAAATAACAAACTACTACTTATATATTTATATATATAAATATTTTACATCTAAACCTTCTATATTATCTGTTAATTCTATTTATTAAAGAGACATCGATTCAAGATCATTAATACTTTTTTAAAGATTTTATTCCCCTGGAAAATTTAAATCATCAATGTTAAATGGCTTTAGTTTTTTAAAACTTTTTTAGAAGATTTATAAATATTTGATTTTTTGTTAAAAAAAAATTCTACTTTTTATCAATTTTCGATTGTTCTTATGCTTTTTCTATTAAATTTTACTTTTCAAGTTCGATATCTCTTTCTTTCTTTTTTATTCTTTTTGGTGCTAAATTTAAAATATTAATAATAGGTTCTAAATAGGGAAATATTTTTTGTGTTTAAGTCTCCATTAATAATATTTATTTATTTATCTATTTATTAAAAATATTTTTAATAATATTTATATAATTAAAATTTATAAATAATACATAATATATTTTTTAGAGATTAAAATAAATTCAGTTAAATTATATAATATATTTTTTTATTATATGTTATTTATATTATATGTGTATTACAATTCAGACTAGATATACATATATTTGAATAAATAAAAAGTTATTAATTAATATAATTATGATTCTTAAAATAAATAATATAATAATTATTTAAATATTAAGTATAAATAGATTATATTTTTGTAAAAATTGTATTTATTTATTTAATTATTATATATATGTATTTGATTAATATTTTTTTTATTTATTAATTAATATTTATTATCAAAAATTTCATTAACTTAGTGCTATTATACCTTATGCAATTTCTTAATTAAATTATTATTGTTTTAATACAAAAGACATTCCTAATATTGAATTTTAACCTATTAATTTTATACTAGTATCTTCTAATTATATTCTAAAAATTTAATTAATATTCCCTTAAAATGATATAATGTTCTTTATTAGAGGATTATTAATATTATTTAAACCTTAATAATATCCATATTTATGAATGCTTAAAGTATAATATTAATTTTATAACCCATTAATTTAGATTAAAACAAATGTTTTATTGAATTATTATATTATTTTTATTATTCCTTAAATACAAGAAATATTTATTGGATTTAATACTGAGAATGCTTAAATTGGCTAAACAGCAAACTAATCTGTATTAAATTCTTTTTTAAGATAAGATAAACGATTAATTTTTAAAAATTGTTTTTTGAATATTAATGAACAATTATTAATATTTATAAGATAAAATATTAATAATTAAAATTAAACATATCTAATTAAGATTTATTTAATATAAATATATAAATAATATAAAAAATTATTATATGAATAATAAAAAAATATCTTTAATAATTTGATTTTCCGCAAATATAAATATATAAATTTTTATATACAAAAAAAAATAAAGGCTTAATATTATAATATATGATTATAAATAAATATGAAAACTTAAAAATAAAATTAATTTTACAATAATAATTAAAATAAATTTAAAATTTTATTTTTATATAAATAACTAAAATAAAATATAACAAAATAAAACAAAAAACAATATTTGTATGTAAAAAAAAAGGAAAATAAAAATAAGAGCAAATAATATTTTTTTTTTAAAAAAAAAAAAAATCATACTTTTAAAATAGACTCATCAATATTAATAAAATCATCTTCGATTCCTCTTTCAATTTCGTCAAAAACAATCTCACTTCTCAATTCATTATTTTTAATGAGTTCTTCACAAAGTCTAAATGTTTACATATTTATATCATTTTCTCCTTTAATTACAATTTTCCTTTCTCTTTTAGCATATTCTTTTTACAAATTTTCAATGAATTCTTAATTAACATAATTGACTTTCCCATATCCTTTATTAATGCAATTGGCTATATAAGGCAGGAAAATAAATGGGCTGATTTTTTCGCTATTTTTATCCTCTTCGATTTTAATTCCGAAATAATCAAAGGCGAACATCCATTAATGCAAATAAAACTCATCTAATTCTATCATCGAAAGTAATTCAATTACTTTCAATCCAGCAAGCATTAATGCATCTTTCTTTTATTATTGTCCAGGAGTGGGTTTTGAATAAATTTAAATCAATAATGTTAATAACATAGGCCATATAGTTTAAAAAAGTTCATTTAGATTACTCGGAGAGAGCCTTAAAATGAGAATTCTGATACAAAATAGTATCAATATAAGTAATGAAGGATGCGCGTTTTCCGAATTTTTTATCACTTCGGAAATTTTATCGAGTAATTGTTATATTTTGGTTGCATATTTGTCCTTTTCGCCTGCAAAAACGATAAAACAAACCCTTTTGAATGCTTTTATTCTCTTTTTGTTCTCATTTTGTTCTTTAGAAAAAAATGAAGAAATTAAAGTAACTTTAGATAAATATTCGGTAAATAAATCATGCATTTTGTCATATTAAATTAGCCAATTTATTATTTTCCCCCAGTATTTTAAATTTTCTTTACTACAAGAGAAAAAATTGTCCTTATTAAATATCGAAAGAATGTGTTTTTTCATATCTTTTGTTAGTAAAATAGGGCATTTGTCTAATAACATGTATAGAAGTTCAGATGCACTTTCCATGTAAATAGTGTTTGTTAAAGCTTTATTTTCTATTACTAAAAATATATCTTCCATAAATTCAAGTACTCTGACGATTATACGATCTGTCCTTTCAGCTGAGTAACAGTTTTGGAGTACTTCAAGGCCTAAGTATTTGAATATTTATAATATTTAGAGTCTGTATTTATTATATATTTGGATTTCTTGATTATTAGATTATATATTGGGGTTGAATAATAATTCGTATCTTTCTTCTTCTGAACTTTTAGGAGGAATTTCTTCAGTTTGTTCTACATAAATGTTTTTTTTATTTTGTTTTAAGAGTGTCTTCTTATAAAAGAGATTCTTCTAAATTTGGATTAATTATAGGTTATAATTGATTTTATTTTGATTTATCATTACTTTCCGTTTTTGAATAATTATCTAAAAATGTATTTTATTAGTCTTTGTTTTCGTATTATTATTAGTTTTCTTATTTTATGGTTTATTCATCTTATTATTTTTCTGATTAAATAATTGCTTTTTCTAAATTTAATTTTTCTTTTTAATTATAAATATAGTTTTCAATTATTTCTTAATTTTTATTTTATTCATTGTTATTAGAAATGTTTGAAATATTCAAATTATTGGAAATTCCTTCAAATAATTATTTTTATCTATAATCACTATTAAGATTATTATTTGTTATATTGGAAATATTATTTAGATTATTTGCACTCATAACATTACTTTAATTTTCAGTATTATTAATTTATATGGACTAAACATTTTTATTGGAATTAATTTTTTCTTTAAGTTTTACTTTAAGTATATTTTCAGCTTTTTTCTCCTCTTTATTACTCCAGTAAGTTAAACATAATTCATATATGGAAGGGGGAAAAGGTGCAATAACTTAATAATCGTTACTAAATTTGACATTAAATTTACTCTAAGAAACCCAAAAAGACATAAAGAGTAACTTTTCGTTTAATAAATCATGTAATTCTTTTTTAAATTTACTATCACTTATAATTTCTTTAGGGTTATATTTCTTACTTGCCATAAAAAGAAGTTCTACAAGCCAAGTGACAGTATTAGGATTTTTCGAATTTATAAAAATATTTGCAATTTTAAGAATAGAACCCCAAAGCAGCAAAAGCTTTTCTTTCTTAAGTGTTTAAGGTTCGATTTATATAAAAACAAGGTATGTATATATCAAAAAAAGCAAATTTGTTTCCAATTAACCTATTTCGAATTACAAAAGGAAATTATTTAATTATTAATTCTTCTTTTCTTTGTAATAATCATCCAAAAGTGAAGTCACAAAACTTTTAGAAATTGCATCAAAAAATACTTCACACTAAATATCCATTACTATTAATAATTGAACCATTTTATTCAAAAATATATTAGGTTTAAAATCCTCATGCTTTTAAGGTATTTATTATGCACATTCTCTATTCCATAAGACTATAAAAGAGTTCATTATTTCGTTTGGGAATTCGAAAAAAAGAGGCTTTATTATTTATATAATGACTAATTTTACTTACTAAGTTCCTTTAATTATCTCACCTAATTTATTATTAAAAGTGTTGTATTTTTCAAAATCATAGCACCTAATTCCATAGCTATTAAACTCATATAAAAACTCAGTTTAACATTGCCAAGAATTCACAAAAAGCTCAACAATTTGCATTATGTCATATAATAAGCAATTACACACGTCATTATATTCTCTAATTTTTTTATCTTTACCTGTGTTAGAATAAGGACTGTAGATCCCTAAAGATAAAAATGAGGCCATTATATCGAAAAATCCGGTTTAGTATTCGTTTTTTTTAGCTTCTTCGATTTCTTCTAGAGTTCTTATTTTCAAAAAATGCTTTAGAATTAACCTTACACCTTCCAAAACGGATTAAATTTCAAACTCGGTATCGTCATCTGGATTTTCTTCTATATTTTCATTATAAGGGGAGAATATTTTGACGTTTTTTCCTGATTTGATCCTACTTTTGTCAATTTCGATTTTATTATCAACTTTTTCATATTAATTATTTTTTTAAGAAAGCTCTTTTATTAATTAATAATAGACACTCATTATTTATTTTATAACTTCTACAAGTTTACTCTCAACTAAAATTTCGCATAAAAAAGGTACAGAAACACTAATAAAATAAATAAATTATCCTCTCACATATACTATTGGAGTATTTAGGCCTTTTACAATAGTAGGAATGAACAAATTGCTATCTAAAACTTTAATTATTTTTGGAACTGTCTTCATATGGAAAAGAGGATTAAAAAACATTACTTTTAATAAATTTAAGATTTATACTTGCATTACGTAATCTTTATTTTTTATGTTTTCTCTTAAGAGTTTTAGTATTTTCTCCATTTGCTATTGGCATATGATCGAGCACTCTTCAGCATCGTCTAAATGGACAATTAATAATTCAAAAATTTCACATGCGGAGGCATTTATTTATTAATTTTCGGCATAAAATTGGAGGTTTTAGCTTTCTAGGACTTGAGCTTGCATAAAGCGCATGCATATAATACTTAAATATTCAAGATAATTGCTTATCTAGATTTTTTTTTTTTAATTAACTTATAGATTTTCTTATTGTTTTTCTTCTTGATTTTAATTTTTTTATTCTTATATTAATTATTCTTATAAAAATTAGGTTTATTATTATTGCTATTTTTATTAATAATATTATTATTAGAATTGCTATTAGTTTTATATATCTAATTAATAGAGAACGGCATTATCATTTGGTGCGTTATTTTTTAAAAAATTAATAAAAATATCGCCTGCTAATCCAATAATAGTTTTAAATTTTTTAAAACATTAAGCTATTCTTTTAGTATTATAAGGCTATATATAAATTATTTATTAAGAATCGCTCACATAAACTTACTATTCTTCAATAGAAGCTTCCAAAACTCTAAAAAGAGGTATAAGAATTCTCGCGAAATCCTCAAAAGATTCCACAAGCCAATTTTTTGCGGCACTTCTAATTAAAGGATTTTCATCTTCTAAAAAATCAATCATTAAAAAAAGACCTTCTTAATTTATTTCCTATAAATGAATAATATTTAAATTTTCATTTTAATATTTATTATTAGTATTCGTGAGTTACCAAAAAGTGCTAAATCTGCAAATTTCAATTTCTTTTTGTGTAATTATGATCGAAGAAAAAGAATCAGAAAGGGCTTATTTAAACATATGAGGAAAATATTAGCAAAAATTAACAATTAATTCAATAATTCTAGTATAGAAATCTTAAAAATCTAATAAACTCCATAATTTTTATAGCATAATTTATGTATAATCAACTTCTTATTTTATTTATTTACTATTTTAAACCATAAGTTCTTTTAATCTTTCATAAACAGGATGAGTTTTTTCATTTATAAGAATTTCTATAGTTGATTCAATAGCAATTAAAGAAATAAAAGGATTTTCAGAACTTATTGAATTAGATATTGATTTAAACCATAAAGGAAGTTCTAGCATTTTTTCTTTGAAGTTTTTATCATATTTTTATAGTTTTATTAAATTCTCACATACTAGTTAATACAAGGATTAGTTTTGGACATCTTTACACATTTTAACATAAAAGCTTGAATATATATCTATTTAGTTTTCTAGATTTTATATAGAGGACAAATGGGAATATCTCTTTAATATTTTATTTACAATTTTCATAGATTCTTCAATAAATTTGGATTATTAAATTTTATTTTCGGGAATATAATTTATTGCTTAGAAGATGTTTTTGAAAATTTCTCCCAAAGAAACCTTGGCAATTTCTTCATTAAATACTTCTTCACATTTTAATAAGCTTTCGAATAAAAAATCTAGATATATAACTCTATTGCTGCATTCTTAATCATCAAAATTATTATCGTTTCCATTTTCTATATTCTTATTTTCATATACACCTTCTAAAATTTTTAATGAAATACTATTTAAAATTACTTCAATATGATTTCCTAAACTTTCAACTAACCTTTGTCCAATTTTGATTATTTCATGAGAATTTTGAGGATTATTCTTTTCACTTTTATATATATAAGCAATCATATAAGAACTTATTTTTTTAAGAATTTATTCAATAATTTCATCGTGTTCCATAAAAAAATTTTAAAGAACTTTAACTCGATCTTTAATAGATTTGAAATCTTCCTTAATATTTTTATTTAAAAGGTTTTAAAAAGCCTAAGTTACTAATTTTATTGATTTTCTACTTCTATCAGTTGAAAAATCGAACTTGTTTTCATCATCTGGCTTTCCAAAAAGCCATATATTAGCTCTTCGGATTACTGAAATATCTTTTTTGATAAATAAATAAAGCAATCCTTCCAAAATTTAAATTTTTTCATTTTCCGAAAGGATATCATCATTTTAGGCTGGAAGATGACTTTATAAAAAATCAATAATGTTTCTTTTTACTATCACATTTTCATATTCTATGCAGCTTAAAATTGTATTTACCACAACTGTACTTTTGTTTGGATAATTATTTTCTAAATTATTTTCGTCTATGTCTTTTTCTAAATATAACAAATCTTTATTATGATAAATATTTTGCTTTATACGATCTATATTATCTCTTAAAGTTGTCCTTTTGTTTGGTATTTTTTTTTAAACTTCGTTTGTTTGTTATTATGTTTATACTAATTCTTATTCATTTTCTATAGACTAATTTTGTTCAAATCCTTCTTATTTATTGTTTTATTAATAATTTTATATTTCTTCATTATCATTTTCTTTTTGTTAATTTTCTTAATTGTATTATTATTTATCATTTTATTAATTTTCCTTATTTTATTATTATTCTTAATTATTTTATTCATTTTGATATTCTTCATAGTCTTATTTAAATTCCTAAAATTCTTAATATTCCTAATATTCTTAATTATTGTTCTATTAATATTCTTAAAACTGATAAAAACACTATTATTATTATTAATCATTATTATCAACCTATTAAGGTACATCATCATTATGATTTTCAAAGCTTTCTTCTTCATCAAGAAAGCTTAATTTGCTGTTACTGCTATCTCCACTGATATCATCATTATCTACATTTTTAAATTTAGGAATAATTTTCGATAAATATTTGATTCCCGATCCTTTTCCTCTATCACTTCTCATGATAGCCATCCAAAAGCTTCCAATAAAATATTTCCTTCCACACACAACCATAATACAGGTATAAATTTCATGTATTTCTTTTAACAATTCTTAATTATTTTCATCTAAGCCAGGTAATATACTCAAAACTAAACCAGGAGCACACGGAATAAGATCCTTTCCTAATGGAATATAATATTTTTTTATCATATTCAAAAAATAAAATTTATTTCTTAATTAGCCATTACTAAAAAAAGGAAATAAACCAATACTATATACTCCTATATAATCTGTGAAAATTTTAACGTATTCTTCTATATTATTATTTGATACACTTTGCATATTTTTGAATATGTTTTCATATATTCGAAGCGCAGCTAAGTTTATGGCTTCAGGAAGTTCGGGATTTAAACATTAGGCTAACCTTTTGCAGAAATTTATTCGATCTTCTATGTATGGACTGGGGTTTTCTTTTAATGCTTATTCAACTTTTTATAACCATTTTCCTACAGAAGACCAATCTTTGTTTTTTTCAAATGAATTTAATAAATGCTATAATGCTTTATTTAAATTTTATGTATTCTAAATAATTCTGGTTTTATCCATTTTTGTATTTTCTTTTGTTTATTAAATCTTTTATTATTAATTTCTTTCTAAGAAAATAAAAATTAAATATTAATTTTATATTTTTAAAAATAATTTATAAAAAAATATATTATATTTTATATTTTTTAATAAAAATACTCCATTTATATATTTTAATTGATATTTTTTTATTATTTTTCTAATAATGTGTTTTTTTTTTTAAAAAAAAAAATATTAATATATTTATTGCTATTATAAAAATAAATTGATTTTATAAAATTTTTATTTTTATATTTATTTAATTTAATATATATATATATATATATATATATATATATATATATATATTAATTTATTTTTTTATTAAAATGATGTTTATATTAATTAAAATAATATTTTATAAAAGTATATTATTTATTAAAGTTTATAAAAATAATTTTAAATCTTTTTAATAATAATTATATATATAATTTTTTTATTAAAAAAAACAAAATAAAACAAAAAATATAAAAATTCAATAAATAATATTTATTATTTATTATTTAGAATTTTTAGTACAAAATTTATTTATTTTTAATATATATTAATCATTTTTCAGAGTTTTCTTAGCTTTTTTTTTATTTACTTAACTTATCCATATATAATTCTAAATTGCTAATTTTCTTTTTAGGTCTACCCCTTTATTTAATCATTGTGTTTTATAAAGATTAGTTTTTGTTATTTTCTTGCTAATTATTATTATTTTCTTAAACACATTATATTAATTATTATTAATCATGAATTTAATCTTTTTATTTTAAATCATTATCATTTTCATTTTCATTTTCATTCTTTTTTTCATCTAAATCTTCATTTTTTGTTTAAATTTTTACTAATGTATGATATGTTTTATGTGAACTTGCAATATTAGTTTTAAAATTATCTCTTTTGGTATCATAACAACTTTAACAAAAATAAAAACAATAACAGTTTAAACATTTAAATATTTCTCCATTTAAATTTGCTAATCCACATCCTCCACATTTGTATTTTTTAGTTTTGCTATTTTTTGTTGGACTTAAAATTGGATCCATAACATGCTCTTATTTATGTCTTTTATTTGCTATTTTTTCCGAAGATTTATTAAAAAAGCAATTTTAACCTATTATATTTTATAAATAAATAAAGAATTTGAAATTTTTTTTATATTTTTACATAAATTAAAATTTCCAGAGCATTAATGACAAGTAAAACATGTTCCCGTAATAGGCATCATATAACATGAAGAACATCTTTTTTTAATATATATACAAATTAAATCATTTTTTTTTTGAAAAAAATACCTTTTATCATGTACTGGAAAACCATCTGCATATATAGGGACTTCAATGACTTACATTTAATGTTTTTAATCATGAAATTTATCATTTTCTTTAATATTTAAATCAACACATGCTTTAAATATTTTTAAAAAATACATAAATTAATTTTTAGTTCGTTTTTCTTTTTTATACCTTCACATAAATCGAAATCTTAACAATCTAAACAGTGGAATCTTATTCCCCAAATAGGTTCAGTTCTACAATGATTACATTATTAATATTAATGAAGAACATCTTCATATACTTTGTTTTAGATTTCAAAAAAGTCTTCCTTATTATGATGTTATACACAGTTTTGACATAAATCATAATTATGGCGATATTTACTTTTATATCTCATTAATTTCTACTTTGTTATTTCTTATTTACATTCGTCACAGCAAACTAAATTTAACCATTATTCATAAGTTTCACCTAATTAATTTCCTAAGCTATTTATTTGTTTTTTTATTTAAAAAAATAATTTTATTATATATTTATTTTAAAAAAAAATCACCTTAACCAGCCAGGTCTTAAATTATTATTTCTAGCAAAAATTTCGATTTTTTTACTTCCAGGTATTAAGAGTTCAATTATTTCATAAATTTCATCTGGTTTCTATGATTTTTTCCTTACTTCGGAAAATATAACATTATTAGTAATATATTAATGGAATTAAGGATAATTTTATTCCATGTAATTGCTTTTAGATTCGCCACTAAATTCATTATTTTTATAACCAATTAGACACATTTCAAATGAATGCATAAAATAATATCCATGGGTTAATTAAATATTTTTATCTTTCATTTTTATCCATATAAGTTTATCAACTACTTCATATCCCCATTTTTACATCATTTAGCAAGCTATATCCATTTGTGTATTTAAAATCCATAAAAATAAAAACCCTATATAAATAGTTTATACTTACAATTTTTTGTTTTATTTTTTTAAAATAACCTTTTTTAGATAATGTTTCTATATTTATATCTATAATATCTTTGTTAGACATAGTATTGTATTCCAAAGAAAATTTACTATTCGAAAACATAAATTAACTATCAACTTATTATCCACCTTTGATTCTCCAGGGTGGATCCATATAAATAACTATAAACAATAAAAAATTAAAATAATAATAAAAAAAAAATACTATCGAAATATCCTATATTCTAAACTAAAAGGTCTAAATTAAAGTATTTTATATCACAGTTAATATATGATTTACTTGGAAAATATTTATTATTAAGTTCATCGATTTCTTTTTATATTTTTCTCATACTTTCTATATACCCTTACTTATAGATAACATTCATTCCAATATCTAATAATTCAGTTTTAGAATTTTATTCAGTTGAAGTTAGAAGAGGATTATTACTATAAGTACTACTATTAGTTTCTAATTAATTATTATTCAAAACAATCTACTATTAATTATTTAAATTGATTTATTGGAATTATTATTAATATTCATAATAGGGATTATATTAATTTGATTCATTTAAAGGTCTAAATGTTTTATAATAATTTTAAAAAAATATATTTGCATTAACAAATTCGCTATTTGAATCAAAAAAATACTCATTCATATATTCACTTGGTTTGTTTGTTTTTTATATAATTTTTTATGTATCTTAAATTTAGTCTAAAATTTATAATTGTTATGGTTATTATTATTTTAATTTACTTTATTATTTATTTAAAGTTTCTGTAGCTTGATCTTTTTAAATTTCAGTTTACTGTTCTATACTTTAATTTTTTGTTTAAAAACTAATTTCCTTTTTTTAACTGGACTAAATTTTATTAGATTGTTTGATTACTTTATTTTACAAAGTAGGCTTTCCTTATTCTTTTTTTTGTTTTTTGTTTATTATTTAGATGTTTGGTCGTTTTCTTATTAATTTTAATTTATTTTGCTTTCTTAAAATATGTTTTCCTCATTATTTTCACTAGTAATGCATAACTTTTAGCTATAACTTCTTAATTTTTTTTATGTTTTTATGATAATCTTTTTTCATATTTTTATTTTGAATCTTTTTTTATTTTTTAACTTTTTTTTGATTAGTAAGTTCATTCTTTTCATTTTCTTATTAGTTTATGTTTTATGTTTATTAAATATCTGTTATTTATTTGATTTCAGTTTTTTAATTTTTTATTTTTGATTGTTCTTTTTATATTCTCTCTTTTATAATTTTAGCTTTAATTTCTTTTTTCAAATTGTTTGTTTTATCTTTTTAATTTTTAAATTTTCTTCATTTTATTCTTATTTGTTTTATTAGTTTAATTAAGTTTATTCATTTTCTTCTTCTACATTTTTTTTCTTTAAATTTTAGATTTAATGTTCAGAAATATTTTTATTAGAATTTATTACATTTTTAGATTTTTTTGGTTTCTATTATTATGAATTGTTAATAGTTTAATTTTTATTAATAGTTAGTTTTTAAGTATTTCTTTCATTTTTTTATTAATTACGTTTTTAATTATATTTGTTTTTATCATAATTCTATTCTATTTATATATAAGCTTTTGCTTATAAAGGTTTTATATCTAATTCAAATTGATCATTTTCTAAAGTATTTTAAACTTCAAAATTATTTGTAGGAATATATAGTTTGGATTTATCATTCATTTTAGAATTATATTTTTATATTAAATAATCTTTATTTAATGTTTAATTGTATAATTTATGAAAATTTATATATGGATGAAATTAATTTTCTAAAATTAAATTTTTAGAAAAGGAAATAGATTTTTATTATGGTATTCTATTAGGTTTATAACTATTTTTTAATATACTTTTAATAAGAAATTAATTTTAGAATTAGTTTTCATTATTCAATTTTTTTTTTTTTTTATATTTAGATTTCTTATAATTATTTTTGTTTTTTATTTATTTATTTGATATTTTTTTTTTTTTTAGAATTTTATTATTTTGAATGATTTTTTTAAAAATATTTTTTATAACTTATTTCTTTTAAATCCTTTTTGTTTTTTCCTTTAATATTAAGTCTAAATCTAATTTTTAATATTTAAGGTCAAATAAATTAATGAAAAATGAATGTATAATATTTTTATTAATATGCAAATTAAAATGATTTAATATTGCATTATTATAAATACTATAATATATTTATTTTATTATTACTTTTGTTTTATATCTTTTTTTTAATAGCGTTTACCCTTTCTTTGATATTTTTTCTCATTCTTTTTTCGATAATTACATTGTTTAGATCTAAATCCTTCAACAATCCGTCAAATTTATATTTATTCTATTATTATTATAAATATTTATGAAATATAAATAAAAAATAATAAACTTTCTAATCAAAATCTTGCCCATTTTAATATTTATCCATATTTTTTTTCAAACGATAATTAATAACTGTAAATTGTTTTTTATTATATATTTTTCTTTTTGATAAAATTATTATTTGTTAAATTGATACGTAAAGTAACTTTTTTACTCAAAATTACAAATTAAAAGGCTAAAAAATATAAAAATATTTTTGTTTTTACGGAAAGAGTTTTATATTTATAATTTTTTATATAATATAAAAATTAAAACAAAGTTTTTTATAAATAATTACCATTTTTGTGGATTTGCTTATTATTATATATTTGTTTTAAAAATCAAATTTATTTATATATTATTTTGCTGTTAAACATAAAATAAATAAAAAAAATAAAAAAGTCTTTATATAAAATTATATTGATCATTAATTAAAATATATTTATATAAATATCAACCATAACATAATATTTAGAATTTAAGTTATTTTTCATTTATATTTAAATAAATTATAGTGATTCGTACTTTATATGAATAAATAATAGATATATAAATTACGAATTAGTAATATATTATAAAAAAATATTAATTTTTAAATGTATATATATAATTTTTAAAAATTATAAAAATTTGAATGTTAAAGAAATAAAATATTTAAGTTATAAAAAATTATAATTTCAATTAATTAAATTAAAGATGAGCAATGCATAATATAATTAAAATAAATAATTAGAAAAATGTATTGTCAATATGAGATTATAAAATATAGATTTAATTTAAAGATATATTTATTATTTATTTTCATTCAAAAATAATCAGTATTGTTTAAAAAGTATTATTAAATATTTAAATTTCTATTTATTTATTTTTATATTATTATTAAAAGAAAATTTATTATTTTAAGTTATATCAGTATTTTTTTATCTTTTCATAAATTTATCTTTATTTTTTAAATATAAATATATTATAAAATTTAAAAATAAATATAAAAAAATATTTATTAAAAAAAAAAGTATTTATTATATTATTATAATTTATTTAAAATATAAAACAATTTAAAAACATAAAAAAAATAATAAAAATAAAAAAAAATACACGATTTATATCAATTATCCTCATCTTCAATATTTTGATTATCTTCAATATATTGATCATCTTCATCATTTTGATCATCTCCATCATTCTCTTCTTCCATTTAATTATAATTTTATTAAGTTTTAGTTTAATTATCTTAACCAATTAAAGATTAGACATATTCTTAAGCTTTTTGTTTAACATAATTAATTCTATCAGAGTTTCCTTTATTAGCTTCAAATTATAGATATTTTTTAAAGAAGAATTTCATCTATTTAGGTTTGTATTACATTGTAATAATTCTATCGAATAAATTTCTTGCTGTTTACAAAGTTCCATATTTAATTTCCATGTCTAAATACACACTCCAAATATCCGTTCTATATTTTTTTAAATATTAACTTAAATATATATAATAGAATTTACCTTTTAGGATAATTAGAAACAAAAGCTTCAAATGTAGTTCTTCCAGTTTCTTATTAATTATTTTGATATTACAATTTCGCATATTAAGAAAGAACTGTTATATGTTTAGCTTTTTTTAAACACACTAAGGCCCTTTTTAAAACTTCTTTAGGATCATGACTTTAATTAAGTTTGAATTCTTGTTTATTTTTAGTTATTTGATTTCTATAAATTATAACATTTTTTAAATGTTCAATCCAACATTTACTTGAGTGTTTGAATTTTTAAATCATATTCTAATTTTATTTAAATTATTTAATAGGTTAATATGTTATAAAATTAAATAAATTACTTTGGACAATTAGAATAATAAATCTTATTTATTTTCATCTTTTTTATATATTTCGAGAAGTTTTAAATAAACACTTTTTGGTTTACAAAGTTATTTAGCTCTTTCAAAAACTCTGTTTGTATTAAAAAATAGGTTAAAGTTATATATATATTTTATTTATTACTTAATAAGACTCTTAGAATCACCAAAATTATGTTCTAAATTCAAGTAAGCAGTCCATAAATTAAGTTTTTCATTTTCATTAGCAAAATTGATAACTTTAAGTGCTCTTTCAATAATTTCTCTTGCTTAATAAATATTTTCATTTTCCATTACAAAAGCTATATATTAAATCCAAATATAAGAACTGTTTGGATTTTTTAATACTAATCTATTTTTTATTAATAAAAATACTAGATATTTTTTTGTTTTTTTACTTTTCATAATCATCATTTGTTTCAGGATTTTAATCTGAGTTTATTAATTTCTTTTCTTATTCTCTTATTGCTTCTTCTTTTTTACGATTAAGTATTTTTTTCTATCTTTAAGATTTTTTTTTATTTGTTATGTTTTTCTCATCTTCTTCTAACTCTTCATCAAGTAAACTTTATTCACTTAAAATTTCATCTTCATTATATTCTTGTTCCTCATCTTCCTCACTTTCCTCTTGCTCACATTCTTTTTCTTAACTTTATTCTTCATTACTCATATCATCAGAGTCTTAATTATCGTTTTCTTATTCAATTTACATTTAATTTGATAGTTATTCTTCTTCTTCTTCTTCTTCTTCATTTTCATCTTCATCTTTATATTTTTTATTAGGATCAACAAAATTAACATTTTAATTAAGTTTTATTTCAGTTTTTCCATTTTATTTATTTTACTAAGTACTTTAATTAATTTAAAGAATCGAATTTATCAATTATTAAATATCTTCAGAAACTTATTAATTTTTATCAAAATCAAAATCAACTTCATTACTAAACTTCTAGATGTACTTTTAACTATTTCCCAAAATAATTCTAACTTTTGGTTCTTTTTCAAACTTAATAACTTTCGCCAAAACCTAACTTCCTAAGGGCAATAATTTTTCTACAAAACCCATTCTTTATTCCTCAGTACTATTATTATATATATAAATGAAATTAATAAAAAAAAAAATACAAATCAGTATCATCTTTATCTAATGATCCTCTAAATTTACATCCTTAAATAGCAACAGAAGCCTTTCCTTGATAATGTCCCACAACAACTCCTTTAACAGTCATTCCTTATTTAATTTTATTTTCATTTAAACTAAATCCAAATTTAACAATTGAATCTCTTAAAGAACCTTCTATTTTTCCATCTTATTTAATATCAGTAATTCTTCCTACTACAAGCTTGTTTTTGTAAAAAGAAATTTAAGGCTTTTCTAAATAATCGTCACTAAGTTCTTATAAGCCAACTCTAATTATTGTATTATATGAAATATTTACAAAACAACCTTTGTCATTAGTTTAATTAATGTATCCGACGAAAATCATTCCTTATTTGAGTGATCCTTGACCTAGCTTTATTAAACGATTTCTCAAGTCTCCTTGCTTTTCAACTTCTTGGAATATTTTCTTATATTCGATTGTATTTCCGGATGGTCCTAATGCTTTTTTCCAATTATTTTCATTTGTGACTGCTTGTCTTAATGATATTTATACATTTTCATCATCTCTTTCCAAAATACGGCCCTTAGTATATTATCCACTTTCAAAATGCTCAGCAGGAACTCCTTCCCATTCATCACAAATTTCACTTATATGAATGTTTGTGAACTTTTCATCTGATATTTATACTCTGATACCTCCTTGAGCATTTTTTTTTAAAATTTTGACATTTAATAATGTTCCTTATTTATATTCAGAAAGCTCTATACCAGCAGGAAGTAGACGAATGTTTTTTAGACCTTTTTTATTTTCCTAAATTCCTACAATTTTCCAATCACAAAGATTTCCTATTGAATATTTATCTTCAATATTTTCTAAATGAGAAAAAGGAAGGTCAAAAGCACTGACATAACCAGAATGAGAATTTGTCAATTCAACATAAATGGGATGGATTGAAGATTTGTCAATTGATTTTACTAAGCCAAGGAATTTTTAGTTGATATTTTTTTCCTAAAAAGTACTTTCGTATTAACTCAAGTAATTATTTTCATCTAAAAAATCAGCTTTTAAATGACAAGAAAGAGCAGTTAATTCAATATCGATGTTTTTCTCATTTTTTTTCACGTATAAAATTTTGCATTAAATTAGTTCGTTTTCTTGGAATTTTCCAAATTATTTTTAATCATCAAGTTATGTTTTATGGAGTTTTCCGTATAGTTTTCCTCTTAATTACACGTGTAAGTTATTTCCTTATTTTTTGAGAATTTTTCCGCTTACTTTTTCACCAGGAACAAGATTTACATGTGAAGTATTATTTATTTAGTCTTAATTTTATTCTCTTCTAATAACTTTTTATTCATATAAAGGTACATAAGTACTTTTGTTAATTGATTGTTGCTTTTTTTTATCAAGTAAGTCTTTATTTACAAGCCTTACATTGTAAATTTTATCATTAAAATATTTCTTTTCGTGTTAAATATTATTTATATTATTAGTATTGACATAACAGATGATATTCGTGTTTTAAATAATGCAGATTAAATAATGATTTTTTTCTACTAAAACTTTAACTTCTTCTATTATAGGAATATTTTAGAAATTTCCATTGAAAAACTCATCCAAATTTTACTTATTATTAATTAATTATTTTAAAGGTAAAAAATCTACAGGGATTAAATCGAGCACTTCTTTTTCAAAATCAATATCTATTATTTTACATTAGATTTTTTTTCCTTCCCAAATTTCTATTTTTTATTAGGCTTCGTTATTCATTAAATGCTCAATTAAAATAAATCCTGTTAAAGAATCATTTCCTTCTATTTTTGTTATTATTCCGAAATCTTTTATTATATGGACTGTTGTATTTAAATAATTTCCTACTTTGAATTTTTACCAAACTTTTTTGTTCTTGTCTTATAATACAGCATATTATTCAGTAAAAAGATTAGAAAAAAATGATATTTTTTTACTCATTTTATGTCTGAAAATATTCTCGTTCAATAAAGTAGCATTTATTTTATTATTTTCAATATTTTTTACTAAAACAGCTACACTGTCATAAGTATTGAATTGCACGTTCTCTTCAAAACTTTCTTTTCCCACAAATATCTTTATTCTTTCATTAAATTTCACTACGATACCTTTTCTTGCTCCTCTATCAATATAACCGGTATAAATATACCCATTTTTTATGTCTTCAACACAATTAGGGTTCATGTTTGATAAAAGAGAGGCTTTAGCAGACACAAGGACATTTTTATTTGGAAAAATATTGATTATTTTGCACTTTAAACTACCTTTAGTACTTCTTAAATGTTCATTTAAGATTTCATAATGCCATTAGAAGTCCGATAGATGTTCTAAAGGTAAAATAGCCTTATGGTTTTCGTTAAAAAGAACAATGACATCTTTGTAAATGTTATTAGAATCAACTTTATATTCACAAATATCTCCTTCGTTGACATTTAGTTCCACATCTTCATTATTTAAAGATTACATTTCAAAAACTGTTTTTCTGGAAGTATTATTTTTCTTTTAATTTTAAGCTTCCTAGAAGCCTTTTTCAGTTAAAGAAAGTGCTAATTTTTAATTTAGGGGATTAATAAATACTACATAAGTTTCCAAAATCTAGCCTATTTTGTAATCATTTCTATTTTTTTTATTCAGATTTTCAATATCTTTGTATGTGAGTAAACCTTTAACATTATTAAAGAATTAAATAATATATCCAAAGTCAGTTTTTCCAGAAATATAACCCAAATATTTGTTATTTTACTATATATTTTCCCAACTTTTTATTATACAATCTTCTGGGGCATTCACAAGGGTTTATTTAGCAGTTAATTTCAGCTTTTTTTCTTCCAAATTTACACTCAAAATTCTCACTGTAACTCTTTTTCCTTCTTTAAAGTTTAAGTTTTTACTTTAAGGGTGATCTTAAGTATTTAGATAGTCTATAATTCCTTTTATGTTTTCGTTAATTTCCACTTTTACTTTGTATTGATTTTAATGTCCTTGTATTATTTTTTCTACTTTTACATTCAAAACCATTCCAGGTCTTAAATCTGTCCAATTTTTGACATTTTTGACAAATTCTTCTTTTGCTGTGAAAATAGGAAAATGCTCAAAGTAATTAATTTCTTTTAATTTTAAAGCTTTAGTGTAATTTTATCCTTCTTTAAATGATTCTTTATCTGCATGCAGTTAGTTTTTATGTAAAAAACCATTATCTATGGATGTATTTTATATTTTAACTAGGTAAGAATCTCCATAGAGTACTTTTTTGATTTTAAATCCTTAAGTAAAAACATCTCCTGGTTTATATTTATAAGATTAGTTGAATGCTTGTAAATCTACATGCACTTTTTTTGCAGACAAATTGATATGTTTTTAATCAAAGTTTGCAGCAATAATTCTTGCCAAAATCCTTTCTTTTACTTTATAACTTTCAGGTTAGTTATTATCCAAATGGTCTTCAAAAATAAATCCAATAAACTATTTGAAAAAGCGGACTACTAAACCGTTTGAAAGTACTTTAATAATTAAACAATTAACCAAATTCCCTGGTTTAGCCAAATGATGGAAATCAGAACCATCTTCTATGTCTATACTGGGATTCAAAATACTTTCTTTAATCTCTTATGTAGTATATTTTAATGATAAATATAACAATTTTTTATTGTTCTCTTTCTTTTCAACTCTAAACATATAAACACGACCTTCTTCTAAATCTTCGTATTAGTCATCCTCACATACATTTTTATCTTTTTTCAAAAAGCCGATGTATTATTAAGAAGTATGGAATACTACTTTTATACCATATTCTTCTTTGGTCAATACTTTTCCTTGTAAAAGCATGTTTTCGTATATTTCATTAAATTATAGGCCCTCATTTACTACAGAAGGCTTTATTGATATATTACTGTTACCTTCTTTTATACTATTAACTATTTCTCCGATTAAATATTCGCCTTAATTGTAAATTCTGAGATCCGATTCTTCATTTTTCTATGTTTATTTATTTTTAGTATATATTTTTATTAGTTTTTTACTTCTTCGACAGCATCAGCAATTGTTAAGAAAGCTTTTTTATTTCTGGAAAGATTAACTATTAAAAATTAACCTTTTAGTCCATATTCATTAACACTGCATAATACTTATGTTCCAAGTTAATATTTCTATTTATTAAATTTTTTATATAAAATTAAATGAAATATTTTATTTTTTTACTATTGTCGGAACTTTTTCTAAAGAAAGAAATTCGTCTTTATTATTAATGAAAAAAGAAGAAAAAGAGGCTGTCAACGGTGCAAAGAAAGTTTCTTAAGTTCCGAAAATTTCCTATTATTAGTTATTCTTTTATTTTTTTTAAGTTGAATTTATCATTCTTTCGAATTCTTCATCTGAATCTACAAAGTCGTTATTAATTTTTTTTTAGATTTTTTTCTTTTGGATTTTCTTGTTTTATATTTAGGGTTTATTTTCTCTTAAAATAGGCATTTTATTGAACATTTAGTCATCATCTTAATTTTAGTTTTTATCTTTAAAATAATCAACTATCGTGTCTTTATATTTATTTTTCCATGCAGGCATTTTTTTAGGCTTTTTGTTGTTGTTGTTTTATTAGTTTTTTTTTTAATTGTTTGGACTTTTTTGTCTGTTATTATTGCCATTTTTGGCTTTTTAATTTTTCATTTTTTTATAATAGTTTTTTTTAGTTAAATTTGTATGAATATAAAAATAATTTGTTTTTTATTTTTTAATTAAATTAATATTTTATACTAACTAAAAATAATATAATTTTATATTATATTTAATTTTTTATTTTTATTAATAAAGATGGAAATAATTATACTTTTTTTTATATTACTGAAAAAAAAATAAAAAATATGATAAATAATTTTAAATTAATTCAAGTTTTTTTTTAAATTAAATATTAGTATAGATATGATAAAAGTTTTTATTGTAAACAGAAACAAAATTATAAAGTTTAAGAAATATATAATTAATTATTCTAATATTTAATACAGAATAAATTAAATAAGAAAACAATAATTAATTCAATAATATAAATAATATATATATTTATTTTATAAAATAAAATTAAATATCCTTTTTTTAATTTATTGTTTTAATATAAACAACTATAATTTTTATCTAAAATAAAAAATTATTTTTATTTTAAAATATAAATTATTTTTATTTAAAAATATATATTATTTATCTTTTTTTTACTAATATTTCAACTAATTACATTTTTTAATTAAAATTATATTATACAAAAAAAGTAAAATTTATTTTTTATTAAAAAATAAAATATTTTTAAAAATTGAATATATATCTATTTACATATATGTAAAGTATTTTCATAAAAATTTAACCTTTATTAATAGGAGTAAAAATTAAATATTTTATAAAATACTTAACAAAATAGTAATAGAAAATAATAATGTAAATCAAATAAAAAAATTTGATTAATACTAGATAATAATTTTATGGTATGGTATTTATTTTCTATGCAATTTTAAAAATATAAATAAGTGTAAAAACTTAAAATAATTATATGACTCAGAATATTATTTATTCAAATTAATTTCTATATAATATTTAATACGATATATATTAAATTTTCTATTTATATATATAATAAAATTTATACAAGTATTTATAAAATGTAAATAACAAAATTAATATAATTATTTTTTTTTTACTTATTTTTAGTAATAATGTTAAATAAATAATTTTAAATTACAGATTTTTTTAAAAAAAGCATTATATTTTAATATAATATTTATTAAATATTTGTATAATTTTTTTTATAGAAAAATATATTAAATATTATTTTTAATAAAATATTTTTTTTAAAACAAATAAGTAAATTAATTACAGATATTAACAATATAATGTTTATAATAATTTAAAAAAATAAATTAAATTTTTAAATTAAAATATATATATTAAAAAAAATTTAAATATTTTTAGAAATAAAAACAAATTTGAATTTAAAATTAATGTTCATTTTAATAAAAAATATTTTGGAATATCGTATGTGATTTATAAATGCTTCTATTTTATTTTAATATAGAACTATTGTATGTAATTCAGAAAAATATTGTATTAAAAAGAAGGAAATGTACACGCTTTCTATATACGTATACATCCTAATTGAAAAGTAGCTGAAGTTATAGAATATATATTAAATAAGGTCTCGTATGTTATGAGGCTATATTTTTTATTTATAACCTATAGTTGAAAACTATTTAGTGCCTTGTATATTAATGATGATTATAGTTTTTATTTCTTGTAGGATGCAAATCTATTGGATTATTAGGACACAGCGTTATTTGAGTTATGAGTAAAGGCTATAATCTCTAAGCAACTTTAAAACCTTAAATTTTATTAAAACAGCAGGTTTTGATGATTCTGATTTCATTTCTGTATTCGCTAAGGGTTGAGATCAATTTTTTGTTTGAATTAATGAATTAATTTTAATATTATTATTCTATTAATGTAATTTAACATATAATTATAAATTAAATTAAAATTTATATATATATATTTATTTTGTTATTATATATTTTTGTAATTATCATTATTTATTTTGTTTATAAAAAATATTTTACACAAAAATATATTTTAATTATGGGTTTAATATTTACATAAATAAATATAATTGTATTTTTAATATTACTTTATATTTATTATAATTTAATATTTTTAAATAAATTATTATTAATTATATTGTATTATAATTATTTTATATATATTAATAAATTACTAAATATTTAGTAATTCTTTAAATGATAACTTAATTATTTTTATATATTTTCATATTCAAATTTTTTAAAAATTATTTTTAGATATTAAATTGTATTATAATTTATATATTTCATAAAGAATTCTCATTGATATTATTTTTGATTTAAAATATTAAGAAAAATAGTTGATAATATAAGAAGTAATATAATAAATACTAAAAATTAATTGCATATTAAATTGAAATTTTTTTTTTTTATTTTTAAATTATTTTATCTTTTCGTTTTAATTTTATTTTTTTCCATAATTGAAATAAAATAAAAAAAAATGCTATTTATCAACATATATAAAAATTCTATAAATTTCTATGTCATTAAAATAAAAAAAAATTAATTAAAAAAAAATAGAAAAACGATTTTCTTTAAAAAAGAATAATAACTCAATTTCTTTTAGATTTATAAAAAGAAAATAAAAATAAAAAATAAATATTAAGTAATTAGCAAAAAATTAAAAAAAAAAATGATTAAATTTTTAATATTATCTTTGCTATGTGTATCAGCATTAGCTGTAAGTGGAAATAAAGGTGCTTGTAGAGCTTAAAATTACACAAATGTCGATGTAGATTTTTCTAATAGATATTTGGGAAGATGGTATAATATATATGTAAGTGCTTCTATGCCATTCTAATATCGCGATGATTTGTGTAATTTAGATGAATATTCTATAGATAAATATGGAAATATGCGAGCTTTGTATAAAGGGATGCATGCTAACTAAAAAGTAACTGAATTTCTTTAATAAGTAAAAAAGGTAGGACCTGGACATTTGAAAATTAAATTCTTTAGTTTACAACCCATTGGAGCAAACTATGAAGTTCCTTACATCAATGATGATTATACCGTTTCAGTTGTCGTAGGATGCAATGCTTTTGGTTTTTTAGGATAAAGTGATATTTGGATTATTACTAGAAGCTATAATCCTGATCCTCTAGAAGTTTAAAAGGCTTTAGATTTTATCAAATAAGCAGGATTTGATGATTCTGATTTGGTTCCTGTAAGTACTAAGGGATGTGCTAAAATTAAATGATTTTGATTTTTTAATTTTAATTTTTATTAAAAATTATTTTATAAAAGTTATTTAATAATTTTTAACATTTAATTTTTATAAAATATTTAAACAAATAAAAAATAACTACAATAAATATAGATATTAATATAATTTATATCGATTATTATTTTTGTTTGATAAAATTATAATCAGCTATAAAAGATCTACAAAACATACTTATATTAATTAAATTTTTCTTTATTGAAAATAATTTTATTTATATTATTTTCATTATTTAATTTTTTAACATTATAGAATGTCATGGCTAATAATTTTGATTTTTTTTACTTTTAATTATAATATTATAATATTATACAATATGTTTTAATCAAACAGTAATATTATCTCTTTATCTGATTTTCTACACTCTCATTGAGCTATAAAACAAATTTTATTTATACAAGCTTTGTAGTTCTAAAATAAAATATAAATGATTTGATAAACAAACTATAACCATATCACAAAAAATTTTATTCTTTTATTTCGAGTAAAAAAATAATTTATGCAGTGTAAAAGAAAAATGCAGAAGTTAGTCATTTAGCTATTATGATTGTAATAATAATTTTTTGATATGAAAAAATTATTGTATTAATAGCCAAACTACTAATATCAAGAAATTTAGGAATGCAGATTTTATACTTAAAAAGATTAAGAGAATGAAAAATGTAATAATTATTAAATTATTAATAATGATTATAATTATTATTAATAATAACTATTACTAATTTAATCTTTATTGATTTTTTATGTACATTATATATATAAATTTTTAATAAATTCTTTTTTTTTTAAATTATAATATTTTGATTGTCAACTTAAATATTTTTTTTTATAATAAATCTTAAACAAAATAAAAAAAATAATAAAGTTTTTATAATTTTTAACGAAGTTGAACTTATTTATAAAAAAAAACATATTGTTATTTGTTAATAATAAAATATTTAATTGAAAGTTAAATCAAAAAATAATATTTATTTATTATTTCTATCAACTAAAATTATTTTTCTCTTTTAATAAATTTCTTAAATTAAATTTAAATCTGAAAATTTATTTGATGCTATGTTTTTTAATTTGGGAAATTTAATGCCTTTAATAAGTTGAAGGATTAAGTATTTGTATTTTCTTAAAAATAATATTTAGCTTTATGAGTAGATTTAAAGATAGTAGATAGTCTAACTAGAATAACTCTTGTTAATAATTATGATTTTTTAAGATTAGAATTAATTTTTTGAAAAAATGAAGCATATTAAAATTAATTAGATTTTTGCTTATATAAAAGTTGTGGGGATCAAATATAATTGAATTTATCTCCAATTTATTTTTAAGGAAACATTAAAATTAATGTTAGATACTTTTATTATTTAATTTTTTTTTGAATAAATAACCAAAATCGATTAAGCTTGTTTTTTTTTTAGAAAATAATTTTAAACATTATTTCTTTAAAGTAAAAATCTAAATTAAAAAATATTAAATTTAATTTTTGTATTGAATATTATTTTTGAATCTGAGAAATTATAAATAAATAATAAATTTGTTTAAAATTTATTACATTTTTAGTTAAAGACGAATTAATAAATATGGCTATTTTGCAAATCCTATTTATGATTAAAGTTATCCTCAATATTTTAATGTATTTAAAGTTAAATATCATAGTTTAATACTACTGTGTATTGTATTTTTTTTCAAAATACATTATAACTCTATTTTTCAAAAACACAAGTCTTTTTTATTTTAAGTTCTAAGGACTTATTTTAAGCAAATTGTAAATTATTATTTTGAAACAAATTAATTAAACGAAAATATCTAATGATAACATTTAATTCATCCAATACATTAAGTAAGATTTTTAAGTTATTTATAAAAACTAAAAATCTAAATAAAAATATGTTTATTTTAAAAAATGAAGTTAAAGTTGTTTGTTATAAAATAAACATAGAAAGATGATAATATTTAGTTTAAATGAAAAATATTTAAATTGAAATTGTGCTTAAAGTTAATTCTGATTATCTTCACAATTATATCAATGATTGATTATAGATAAGTTTTTATTATTAAAAAATAAATAAAAAAAATTATAATTTATTTAGATTTATTTATTTATAAAAGAATTATATTTAATTTTTTTTAAATAATTTTTAAATGAAAATGTTTTAGAAAAAATAATTATAATGTACAAAAAAATATATAATTAATATTTTAATTGTAAAGGAAAATTAAATAAAATTTACTCTGATAGATTTAAAGGAAATAGAAGATTTATTTGAAATAAATTTTCCATATATTTAAAAGAAATTAATTTATTATTTAGTTATGATATTATGGCTTAAATATTTAAATTTAATAAATATTTATTATAGTTAATGATTTATTAATTCTCTAATAAATTTAAAAATGGTCTATAAAAAATCTATATTTATTATAATAGTGGCATTAATATTGAAAATTTATTTTAGGATTTTTTCGAAAATACTTTGAAAATATGTTTCTTTTGTATAAAAAGTTAAAAAATCATGCATAAATTTAAATGGATTTAATACCTGAATTGGTATTTGTATTATTTGCAATAAGTTTAAGATGATAATTTAAGTTTCAGATATAATATAATAAATAAAAATATTCAAAGGTAACTAGCTAATTTTTTTTATTAATTAAATAAAGTAACTTAAATCCTTTTAGGCATTAATGTCGATGAAATAATAAATAATTAAAAAAACGAAGAATAGAAATTCTTAATAAACTTCTTATTGAAAATGCATTTAAAGAAGATTATTATGGATTTTATTGGGATTATAAATCGAATGATTGGAATTATATGTTAGTAGAGACAATTCGTTTAAATATTAATTAAATTATAATAAATATATTTATGAAAATTTAATTTTCAATTTTATTATTTAGTAAGAAATAATATTATTTAATCAGTTAATAGTAATGAATTGATATTTGCCGCTTTATAAAATAATATTATAATGAAGGCTAAATTATTATCAGAAAAGTAAGAACTTTGATAGTCAAATAAATGAAGTAAAAATAAAGAATAAAATTAAGGGACTCAAGTATATATTTTTTATAAATTTTATTTATAACATATTTTTTTAACGTTAAAATTCAATAATTTACAATTTTTTTAAAAAATTCAGAATTTAATGATAAAAACATAAATTTATTATGTTTATGTTTCAAATTTTATTTAATCTAAGTTTTTTAATTAATTAATAATATATTGAAAAATAAAATTTTAAAAATAAATAATTAATTATTTAAATAAAATATTTATATATATATCTTATTAGTTATATATTTAAATAAAAATATAACAATATACTATATAACCTTTTTATATTTTAAATATACAATAAAATATTTTTAAAGGATAACGAATATATATAATATAATATATTAATTTCTAACATAATAAAGCATTTAATAATTAATTTCTTATTTTACGAAAAAAAAAATCTATACTAAAAATTTAAATAAAAAAATTATAATAAATAAAATTGTTTTAATTAAGAAAAGAAAAATGAATCAACAATATAAAAAATAACAAGCCAATTCTTAAAACTTCTATACAAATATATTAAGCCCAAACAAAAAACCAAAAAAGCAAAATATTCCGAAATCAGCTTTATACTTAAAAAAAATCTAAAGCGAAATAAGTATACAAAAAGACTAATCAAAAGAAAGAAAATAATAATCTCCTAAAACTATAATGCCATAATAATAAAAATTTCCATAACAATAAACAGATAATTTAAAAAATAGCCAATAATAGTAAGGACAGATTATGAAACATATAAAATCCGAAATATAACTAAAATTGAATTAATTATAGGTAAGTCAATAAAAAAATCTTCAGTAAAAAAAATCGGTTTAATGCATAAACAAAAAGTAATTTGTTTTAAAGTCTTAAAGAGACTAAAGAAGTTAAGAAAAATAGTTAAAAACAGAAAACAATAGAATTTTAAAGACAGAAATTTAAAGTGTAGAAATAAAGAACAAAAAGAAAGAACCTATTTATAAATAATAGTAGAATGCATTCTTTTTCTATTTATAAGATAATAAATAAAAAATTTAAAAAAAAAACCAAAAAAGTAATTAATTTTAGCAATTTATTTAATCAAAAGGAAAGAATGTAAACTGAACCGACTCCTTTTTCATTTTAATATAAAATTAATAATTCTTAGTTTTCTGAATAATCTAATTTATCTTCACGTTCTAAATAATCTTCCAATAAGTAAAGTAATTATGAAAAAATAACTTAAATTTTAAACGAAAAAGATAGTGATGAAACTGATTTTGCCTAAGAATACCTATCTTAAAAGAAAAATTAGACAGGGCAAAAATTAAAAAATGATTTTTTTTAAATAAATCTTAAACTTAAATAAGATATTTTGCATTTCGAAATTTAATCTAAAGATCGAAACATATAGTGGTTAATTAATTATTTGATTCGCCGAATTTATTTTTATGAAAAAAAAAAATTAAATAATGAAGACAAAAATTAAATTGAAAACATAGTTAAAAACTTAAGTTAAATAATAACTTTTACATCATCAAACTAAAATATAGCACTAACTTATTATTTTACTTAGATTGAAAGAAAAATTTATGTCTTTAATAATAAATGCATTAATATTTAACCTTATTTCCATGAAAATTTACCTTCTTCTATAGTAAAAAAGCAAGTTTCTTTGGAAGATTTTAACGTTTTAAAATGCATTGGATTAGGTGGATTCAGTAGAGTTTATTTAGTTCAAAAAAAAGATTCTGGAAAATTGTATGCATTAAAACTTATTGATAAAAAATTTATTATTGAAAATAATAAACAAATAATAGTTCATAATGAAAGAAATATAATGGTTTCTATTGAACATCCTTTCCTTCTTAAATTAGAATATGCTTTCGAAACTAATCTTTATTTGGTGTTTGCAATGGAGTTTTGTGCAGGAGGTGAATTATTTTACCATTTAAGAAGAATTAAAAGAATGGATGAAAATACTGCAAGATTTTATTTCGTTTAAATTTGCTTAGGAATAGAATATTTGCATAAAAGACATGTTATATATAGAGATCTTAAACCAGAAAACATATTAGTAGATATAGATGGATATTTAAGGATAGGTATATTTATTTGAAAACAAATATGCAAATATAATAATATATATAAATATATATATATA